AACAAGTGAATTAAAGCAAATGAGGAACATCAATGAAATCCCCCACCTTGCCTAAGCAGATTGAAGGCCTGTCTAAACAGAAAGGTCTTTACTTGCTGCCACAGGGAGCTAGGAAAGTCTCCCTGGGAAGGCCCCAAAGTCTGGATGTAGCCACTGAGAAGACGCTGAGCAGGAAATTCCTTCCTTCCCTGACAAGTCTCTTTGAAGAATGGATTTTGCTGTTCACATTCCAAGTATTCATTCCAGGTGATGACTCCCTCTCTGCCATTCGTTCATGTCTTTTCATGCTCCCACAAACTTCAGTGGTCTTCCCAATCCATTCCCCATTCCTATTATTATTATTATTATTATTAATTATTATACCTCGGGTTACATATGCTTCAGGTTACAGACTCCGCTAACTCAGAAATAGTACCTTGGGTTAAGAACTTTGCTTCAGGATGAGAACACAAATCGTGCTCTGGTGGCACGGCAGCAGCAGGAGGCCCCATTAGATAAAGTGGTACTTCAGGTTAAGAACAGTTTCAGGTTAAGAACGGACCTCTGGAATGAATTAAGTACTTAACCCGAGGTAAAAAGGTAAAGGGACCCCTGACCATTAGGTCCAGTCGTGGCCGATTCTGGGGTTGCAGCGCTCATCTCGCTTTATTGGCCGAGGGAGCCGGCGTACAGCTTCCGGGTCATGTGGCCAGCATGACTAAGCCGCTTCTGGCGAACCAGAGCAGTGCACGGAAACGCCGTTTACCTTCCCGCCAGAGCGGTACCTATTTATCTACTTGCACTTTGAAGTGCTTTCGCACTGCTAGGTTGGCAGGAGCAGGGACCCAGCAACAGGAGCTCACCCCGCCGCAGGGATTCGAACCACCAACCTTCTGATTGGCAAGTCCTAGGCTCTGTGGTTTAACCCACAGTGCCACCCGTATCCCTTTAACCCAAGGTACCACTGTATTATTATTATTATTCCCCCACCCACCTGGCTGGGTTTCCCCAGTTGCCAATGAAGATAGGACAGTTTGACATATAAGGGTTAAATTGCTCTTTTTTCCTCCCACATCTTCTCCCTACCACCGCCACCGCCTAAAATCAAAGCAGAGCATGACCTAGGGCCACAGACAGGTAGCCAAGAAGAATATCATGGCAAGAGGAAGAACAACTTGACCCCATCGGTCGGCAGCTGCTCCTATGCTTTGCTTTTCTCTTCCCTGCTCTTTCCCACCCACTGCTTACTAGAACAAAACACCTCTGAGCAGTTCACAATAAACAGCCTGAAAAAGCTATTAAAAACACCGATAAAAACAAACTATACACACACACACGCGCACATACATACCATTTTTTAAAACTAAGTGTCAAGATTATGTGTTAATCCCCTGAACAATGGCAACACATGTTATGTATTATGTTTCTGAGATTGTGAACCTGTAAAGCAGGGATTGTCTTGTCTTTTAATATATGTGTAGCATTTGGGAAAACAGGCCCTGGCTAGCCCCTTCCACAAGCAGGTTTCTAAGCACTTTTACCAGGTTTCCCGGTTGCACTTACAAGTCTCCCTCAGAAGCTCTGCAGGCAACGTTCAAGGATGTGGGGTCAATGCAGTCAGCATTGTATTTCTCCATGGTTAGCTTCTAAGAATGGCTGTAGAGGGATTTGGACTCTATGGCCACATCCACGCCATGTATGTTGGCATCTGTCTGTCTCGAAAGGCAATGAAGTGTGCCTCTGGGGGCAAGGCCAAGCCACTAGAGAGGTCTGGCACCTGCTGTGGGCTGCGGACCAGTAGTTCGTAACTGCTGCCTCCTGTGTTGCTTTTAGCACCAAAGTGACATCTTTGGGGTGCCAGCCTGAGTAGTGTGAATGGAGGTCCTGGGCTGCCCAGACAACAACCTCTCGGCCTCGCTGATGTGATCCAAAGGAACATTGGCACCAACTTGGCTGCAGGAGTCGCCAGAAGACACCGTCCAACACTGCTAGGGACTCCGCTCCAGATTTGTGTAGGGTTTATTCCTTAGCCTTTTCTTCTCCAGAATATGTCCTGCAAGGCAACGGGTAACCATGCATTGAAAGCACCATTATACCACTTTAATGACCATGGCTTCTCTCAAAGAATCCTGGCAACTGCAGTGGTTCACACAGTGGTTGAACAATCAACCCCACTTCCCAGGGAACTCTGGGAATTGCAGCTCTATGAGGGCAACTGGGGTCTCCTAATAACTCTCACCACCCTTAACGAACGACAGTTCCCAAGATTCTTTGGTGGACGCCATGACTGTTAAGGTGGCACAACAATCCTTTAAATGTATGGTACAGTGGTACCTCAGGTTACAGATGCTTCAGGTTACAGACCCAGAAATAATACCTCGGGTTAAGAACTTTGCTTCAGGATGAGAACAGAAATTGCGCGGTGGCAGCATGAGGCCCCATTCGCTAAAGTGGTGCTTCAGGCTAAGAACAGTTTCAAGTTAAGAAAGGACCACCAGAACAAATTAAGTTCTTAACCCGAGGTACCACTGTACAGTTGTGGCTTATAGTTCCCAAACTTCCGTTTCATACCCGCCAACATTTCTCCGATGAAAATAGGGGATGTCCTATTCCATAATATTATTTTTTACTATTTATACCCCACCCATCTGACTGGGTTGCCCCAGCCACTTTGGGTGGCTTCCAACATATATAAAAACATAATAAAACATTAAACATTTAAAAACCTGCCTATACAGGGCTACCTCCAGATGGCTCAGGGTGTGTGTGTGTCAGATAACTCCATACTCTCCAACATTTCTCCAATGAAAATAGGGACATCCTAAGGAAAAGCGGGACATTCCAGGATCAAATCACAAACTGGGATAGCTTCTGTAAATCCAGGACTATCCCTGGAAAATAGGGACACTTGGAAGGTTTGCAGTTTCTTATCTATTATATCATAGCCATGGACAGACCCAGTCAGCATAAGGCCTGAGTATCTTTGAATAAAGAGAATATACTATAAATAAATTTCCCTCATTAGCATCCTCCAGCGAATGAGGCTTTCCATGATTAAACGTTAATATATAAAGAAGTGTTAATGGACATTGCTAGCAGCTGCTGCTGCTGATTCAGTGCAACGGATATCAGAGAAATGTCTCTGGTTCCCCAAGAATTTTGGATTTTATGTATACATAAAATCATTACGGAAGAGCACAGAACTGCAGACGGTGCACTGTTGCTAGAATCACATTGTCCACGTTATTGCTGCTGATGACTGTTTAGCAGATTATCTTGGGGGGAAATGCTGATAACCACAACTTGGCTGCCTGCTCAGAAAGTTTAGATACTGCCATGCCATGCCAAAATGAAAGAGGCTGTGTAGCACAGCACAGCGTTTTAAGAAGTCAGATCCAAAGAAGAAACAGGTCATATCTGCCTGGACTTGTGATGACCTGTGCTCTCTGGAGAGCGATTTGTACACAGCTTGGGATCATGCCTGCTTCAAACTTGGCTGTGTTAACAAACGGCCAGCTATAAGAGGAAACATACAGTGGTGCCTCGGATTACATACGCTTCAGGTTACATACGCTTCAGGTTACAGACTCCGCTAACCCAGAAATAGTGCCTCAGGTTAAGAACTTTGCTTCAGGATGAGAACAGAAATCGTGTTCCGGCGGCGTGGCAGCAGCAGGAGGCCCCATTAGCTAAAGTGGTGCTTCAGGTTAAGAACAGTTTCAGGTTAAGTAGGGACCTCTGGAACGAATTAAGTACTTAACCCGAGGTACCACTGTACTTTAAAAACTGGGTAGCGTCTTATGCAGAATACAGATCCTGCTGCTTCATCGTGCATTAGTTGAGCATGTGTGCAGCCCTTTAAAAAAAAATCACTGAGACTAGAATAATAAAATGTGCAAATGATGCAGCAATGCAATTATCAGTCAAATCAATTAAATCTTATTTATTAGACACCGCTGTATTTCAGTGCGAGCGGAGGAAGCAACAGCTTGTCAGAGAAAGCACCAAATCACCCAGGCGCAGTTATTAGACTGAGAGAAAAGGGGGAAGGTGAGAGAGTAGCAGGCATTTGGGTAGAATCTTTTGCTCTCAGGCCCAGCGCCAACACCTGGTATGGCAGGGGAAATGCTAGGACCCACAGGCTAACAGCAACATCTCCTTTAAAAAATAAAAAAGAAACTTGTTTAGGGACTGAGAAGTAGTGAGAAGCTCCTGACTGTCTGCATTACTCTACCTCTGGGATCCAGGAGCATCCTGGGGAAAGAAAGATGGCGGTTGCTGGAGGTACTCCACCTGCTGCTTCCCTTCTTAGTACAGGTGTGAGCAACACTGCTTGCCCCAAATGTAACATCTGCCAGTGTGGCAATGGATGTGCTGGAATGTCGTCTTGCCTCTGTAGTGCACTGGACAAGAGCCAACAAGCTGAGGCTCGATCCAGATAAGACTGGGACACTATGAGTTCCGTGGTTCCCTAGACCACATGGATGTCAGGTTGCCTGCTCTTGATGGGGTTACTCTCTCTGAAGGAGCAGGTATGCAGCTTAGCGGATCCATGGCTGTCGCTTAAGGCTCAGGCTGTATTGGTGGTACAGAATGTCTTCCATCAGCGTTGGCAGGTGGCCCAACTGGACAGGGATAGCCTTCTGTTGTCTATGCTCTGCTAACCTCCAGGTAAAAAAAATCAAATCATGATGTTCATCCAAGCCCCATCACCCACCCTTTTGTAATCTTACTTTGGCAAGATAAACCATGGTATTGCTAGGCAGGCCTGAGTGTCAATTATTTTCCAGGGCTTCTTCAAACATGGTCCCAGCCCAAGAAAGCTGAAGGAAAATAGACCCTGCAGTTATAAAAGGCAGCGAAAAGAAAAGTTTTGTAGCATGGATTCAAAATCCACATATACTTTGCTTTCTTGGTTTTTTAAAAAAATGCAGAAATAGTAACAGTATATTCTTTTTCAAAATCTCCTTTTTGTTTATCTCGTCATTGCCAATGGATTGAAGGATTTTGTTTTTATTTCTTACCCGTTTGCTAGCAAAGGAGAGCAGCACGTAGGCTGAAGCAATAACTGTCAAGGTGCAATCAAAACGGAAAAGCTTGCCATTTGAAAATTTCCATGAGAACTTAGAAATGCATGAGAATTGTTTTTCTCTTTTTCCTTTTATGGTTTAGATCAGAAACAATACGTTCTCTTGTATATAGCTGCTTCTTGAAGTGCACATCGTTCCTTTCAAATATCCACTTTACGAATCTTCTATAATTACCTGGAGTACTTGAGAGCATCCAAAGTACATAAAATAATTTACAGAGAAGCTAGAAATGAACAGTACATGCAGAAATGGTTTATTCAACCTTGCTATATGAGGTGCAGAGAGACTATTCAGCAGGCAACAGCATTAAAAGAAACCACACTTCCATCTCCCCCTCAAAGCACATATGACCTTAGTGTGATTCTTATTACTTTTTAAAGGGAGTCTCTGTCTCTTCTCTTTTGCGACTGCGTGTCAGGATTGGCCAGCTTCCCCATAAATACAATGGACCCTGAGTGGAAGGAAGAAAAAGTTGTTCAGATGGGAACTTCCAAATAATTGCAATAATTTCATTTTCATTATGTTTATCTGGACATTTCTAACCTGACCATCAAGCACATGGGTAGACAAACTAAGGCCCGGGGGCCGGATCCGGACCAATCGCCTTCTAAATCCAGCCCATGGACAGTCCGGGAATCAGTATGTTTTTACACGAGTAGAATGTGTCCTTTTACAATCATACCTTGGGTTACAGACGCTTCAGGTTGCGTTTTTTCGGGTTACGGACCTGCCCAAATCCGGAAGTACCAGAATGGGTTACTTCTGGGTTTCGGGGGCCGCGCATGCGCAGAAGTGCTAAATCGCGCTTTGTGCATGCGCAGACGCACCGCTGCGGGTTGCGAACGTGCATCCCGCACGGATCACATTCGCACCCCGAGCATCCACTGTATTTAAAATGCATCTCTGGGTTATTTGTGAGGCATAGGAATTTGTGCATTTCCCCCCAAAAAATATAGTCAGGTCCCCCACAAGGTCTGAGGGACAGGGGACCTGCTCCCTGCTGAAAAAGTTTGCTGACCTCTGTTCTAGTGCCTATGTGGGCACTACGCAAAACCACTTGTAACAAATGAAAATCACAGCATCTCACAATCAGTCATGAGTACTTACGCTGCACATTTCTCAATGGCTCCAAGCACTGCATGTTCATTGGGTTTTATCCAACTAAGTTTTCCGCAGAGTAGCTGCACTAAAATGAATGAACCTAAGTTGACCATATGTCTATTGACTTCAGTGGCTCTACTCTGAGTAAGTGTAGCACTGGACACAACCCATGGTCATTGCAACAGCCCTGAATTGTTATTGGTTTGTCACAGGTGGAAGGGCTGAGACTGAGGGATAGTTGTTTGCCTGATGGTGCCTGCCTTATAATTATTATCAATATATATTTATTTACACCCCACCTCCTCCCTGATGGGATTCAAGGCGGCTTACAGATAAAAACAAGAACTGCTAAAAACAGAAAAATCAGTCATTAAAATATAATTAAACATTGATGGAATTAAAGATCTATAACATATATAACATGTATTTAAAACATACAGATAATTAAAATAAAAACAGCATGGCACCAGCCCTTTGATTAAAAGCAGTCAATTCCCAAAGGCCTGTTGGAACAAGAAAGTCTTCACTTGCCAGCAGAAGGACAAGGAGGGAGCCAGTCTAGCTTCCCCAGGGAAGGTCTAGATAGCTTGGACCTAAGCTGTGCTTTGAATTGTGCTCAGAAACAGACAGGTAGCTAGTGGAGCTATTGTAGCAAGAGAGTCGTTTGCTCCCTATGACCAGTTCCGATCAACACTCTGGCTGCAGCTCTTTGAGCCAGTCAAGGTTTCTGAGCACCTTTCAAAGGCAGATCCATGCAGAGTGCATTACTGTAATCCATATAATATTTTTATTAATTTTCAATGACCATAATCCAATAAAAGCCAAAAGCCAATAAAAATTTGGTATCACAATACCAAATTGCAATACAATTAGAAGGCCAATTACTCAAATACCAAATTAAATAATTTTGAGTGACTTCCCATGTGTTGAATTTCAGGGTACACAGTTTTTATTTCTTCCTGCTTCCCTGATCTTGATTGATCCAATTACAACTATTCATTCTGATATACTGTAATCCAAACAGGGTGAAACTAAGGTGTGTGTCACTGGCACAGAAGGAGCTTTTAAGCTCTCCACCTTGTGTGCAATTAATTTGCAGGATTTCAACCAACCGACTTTCAACCATGCAAAGTTGGAATTGCACAAGCAAGACGTGATCATGCTTTACGGTATTATCAGCCTTCGCCCATAACACTGTGATCCTATGTGCAGTTACTTGGGAGCAATTCCTTTTAGAGTTAAACAGAACTTACTGCTGAGTAAACACGTGTGGGATTGAGGTGTAAGATAATGAAGCTATTTTCCATTTTAATCCTTCTGCAATGTTTTCTCAGTACATGTCAAAGAAATGTTTTGGCATACCTGACAAAGGTGACATCTTTTGGGAATATAGTCAGCACTAGAATTTTTTTTTTTAAAAAAAAAATCTTATTGTGCATTGTTTTTTAAAAATGCATTTCTATCCTGCATCAGTGACTAGGCTGCAATAATGGTTTTACTCCTGATTTATTCAGGGGCTCTGCCTCTTCCTTTTCAGTTCACTTCAGCCTCAGGTTAACCCAAATAATGCAAGCAGAGTCTGAAGGAAGCTAAGGTCTTACCAGGGCCTTTTCAACACTGGCTCCGGCCTGGTGGAACGCTCTGTCTCATGAGACCAGGGCCCTGCAGGACCTGATTTTTTTCCAGAGGGCCTGTAAGACAGAGTTGTTCCGCTTGGCCTTTGGCTTGGAGCCAATTTGATTCCCTCCCCCTCTTTCTTTTTCCTTTCTCCTCCTGTGATGAGGCTGCATTTTAATATTTTAATGTTTCAATATTTTAATGTTGTATTTTAATCTTGTTTTTAAGTTGTATTCATTCAATTTGTTTTTATTATTGCTTGTTAGCCGCCCTGAGCCCGGCCTTGGCTGGGGAGGGCAGGGTATAAATAAAAATTATTATTATTATTATTATTATTACCTCTTAAGATCCCTAGAATTCTCTTAGGAGATATATGCAAGACAATTAAGGTATTAATCCTACAAACAGAATGTAGCTTTGAGTCCCTCCTGTGGCCCTTTCCCCTCATTAGATCCGGTGTCCTCTCTGCGCACAATGTGCATGTGAAAACAGTTTGCAGTATCACAAGTTGTATAAAACACACAACACTTTTCTTCTTTTTTCAGCTCGACTCCCCGCCTCCTTTCCTCTCCTGGCTGCTGCCAGTGTTCTATTTGTGGGGCAACTCAGAGCTGTCCAATTTTTTTAAAAAAAATATACCCTGGGGAGTTTTGCGCAAGACAGACCTAGAAGGATTTGTATTTATTATTGGAAGCAGTTGCCAAGGGAGACTTGAGTTTGCTCCTAGCATTAAAGGACCAAGACCCCTACCCACCCATGCCTTTCATAGCAGACCGTTTTCGACTCACTTTATTTTATTTTCCATCTCTTTTTGTTGTCGTTCAGATCTATGCAATTCTATTTATTGTTTTGTTTTGTTTCACAAAATGTATACACTACTTGATTGCTGTAATCCATCTCCTCAAGCTGGGCACACCCTGGCTGCAGGAATATCAGGTCTTCCCACATATGAACTCACCGATCCTTGAGCCACAGAGACTTTGCAAAGCCACTTCGCTCGTGCCAGATGTTTGCTGGCTCAAGCCTCAACCTGCCCCTTGGGTCTTTTAAACCTTAAAAAGACAGTCTGCTTATGGATTAAAAATCCTCAGAAGGAGCAGGGCTGGTGTCAAGGATTGCTAGCCCAGATCCTTCGTTGCTTGTTGATGTGCCCTCTCTCAGCGTGCAAGCAGCAACAAGAGCAAATATATATATATGGAGAGGCATCTTCCAGTTGCCTCAAGCTCAGGTGTTATGGACTGAGAGCAGAGGACGAAGACAAGCAAATGGGCAGAAGAAGAAGAAGAGTTTGGATTTGATATCCTGCTTTATCACTACCAGAAGGAGTCTCAAAGCGGCTAACATTCTCCTTTCCCTTCCTCCCCCACAACAAACACTCTGTGAGGTGAGTGGGGCTGAGAGACTTCAGAGAAGTGTGACTAGCCCAAGGTCACCCAGCAGCTGCATGTGGAGGAGCGGAGACGCGAACCCAGTTCCCCAGATTACCAGACTACCGCTCTTAACCGCTACACCACACTGAAGGGACAAAGAGGGGGGGAACACACTCAGAGGGAAGGCCCACTATGGGCATCTTGCACAAAGCCCCACCCTCTCAAAAAGACACCTGGATCCAGCACTGATGTAGGAGGTTGGAAGTGCGGTGTAGTGGTTAGAGCCTCAGACCTGGGAGACCGAATCCCTGATTGGCCAGGAAGCTCACTGGCTGACATTGGTCCTGTCACTGCTTCTTAGCCCATAAGCACCCTCACAGGGTTGTGGAGTGGATAAAATTGGGAGGGGGAGGGGCATTTACGCTACCTTGAACCCCTTAGATGAAAGGTAGGGTGTAGATAGATTCATTGGTACTTCACAGGAAAGTCACTCTCAAGCTAAAATGCTTCTTTTGCCGGTGAGGCTATCCTGCTCTCGCCACCATTTGGAGGCAACAATTTTAAATACGTTTCATTTTTACATGCCAAATTAGAGTTTAGACACCACCGTGATTCCCAAGGCTCTAATTCCGTTGCGGCAAGGTTACCAAGAGCTTTGATAAAGCCTGTCTGCCATCGCGATGACAAATTATCAGTAATTCAATACGAAAGTTGCCGTAACAAAAAAAAATACTGATTGTGTAATTGCTAAAAATAACAGTAATTTCCCTTCTTTATTGCAGTCACTATTATTTCCTGAAAATGAGCTGCCACTCATCCTAATCCTCAATTTAAAGCAGCGGGTTACTTTTAGACAGTTTGATTTCAGCAGGGAGCATAAAACAGTAATGCAAATCCCCCAAACCCTCACACCTTACTTAAGAACAGGTTGTTAAATGTTATGGAGCCAATAAAGAATGGATTTTCTCCCCTATATTTTCCTATGGATAATGTTCCCATGGCAGCTGTCTAGCTGCAGGGTCTGTTCAGAGACCCACAGCTTCTGTTGGGGGGGTGTGATATAGGGCAGGGGTGGGGAGCCTTTGGCCCTCCAAGTGTTGTTGGACTCCAGTTCCCATCAGCCCATGCCAATGGCAAGAGATGATGGGATTTGTAGTCCAGCAATGTAGGGGGCAGGTTGCCCATCCCCGATATAGCAACTAACCCACGAATGGGCAGTTTTTACAAGCCCCCACCACCCGGCAAAAAGCCCCACACCTGCAGCCAGCCCTTAAATGGAGTCAGATAATCTTGGTCCCAGGCTGGATGTGAAATCATGTCACATAAGACAGTAGTTTTTAGAAATTACTATTATTTATTATCATCATTAATATATCAGTGTTTGTGACAGATTTCAAAGAACGAGAGAACAAGTCTCTGCCCCAAGTGGTTTGCAATCTAAAAAACACACAGTCGGGAAAACAGGAGAGGGAAGAAAATGATGGGAGGGGTGAACAGGAGAAAAAAATATACAATTATTTCAGTGGCACGTACTTGGGCTTAGTTACAGTGGGGTCCAGGGACAAAAATACTGATTGTGTAATTGCTTAAAATAACAGTGATTTCTCTTTTGCATTCAGCCACTGTTATTTCCTGAAAACGAGCTGCCCCATTTCCTAATCCTCAATTTAAAGCAGCAGGTAAATTTAGACAGTTTGGTTTTAGCCAAGATCATAAAATAGTAATGTGCATTTCTACAGCTTTTACAAGAAACAGTAATAGATATTGTAGCGGTTTAACAGCCTATTCCTCCTTACTTCCTGTAACTTCTATGACAGGATTGCCTGGAGTAGTTGATTCAGTGGAAAGAGTTGCCAATCTTGTTGGGCCTGTGGGAACGTTTGCAATTTAGGGGAAACTTTTTTGGGTATTGCACACATACCCAGCCACCAAGAACACACTGCAAAACTTCATCTTGAGGACAGGACGGGGCCCTGTGGGTACCAGCAAAAGCCTCCAAGGGCACATGTGCACCTACAGTTGCCAGTGCCATATTGGTGATGCTTTTGCCTTAGGGTCTGGGCAAACTCCCTTCAAAGCATGTTCTCATAAATAGAGAACACATGTTGAGGTGGGGTCTGGAAAGCCACCCCTCTGTTGCTGGACGGGTAAGTTTGGATGACCATCCGCAGTGATTGAGCGGTTGGGTTGTTGGGCAAATTTTGGTGTTGCCGTTTAGGGGGTTGGACCAAAGGTTATAAAATGAAGTCACCCAGCTCTGACTAGGCACTTTTGCTGCATGCATCGGATCACCCGTCCACCCTCCCTAATTTAGGGCTCCTGGTTGACCTTGCTATGCCTGTCATGGGGTCGCCTGCTTTTGGGGCAGGGGCCTGGTAGGAATTTTGTCCACTTGGCTGATTGGCTGGTGCCATTTGGTTTTTGCCTACTGTGTAGCAAATCGTCACAACTTGTAAGGTTGCGGTTAGGCATTGGTTAAAAAATTGGTTGGTGGAGGGGCATGGATTGGCAGTGCCTGCCCCTCCAATGCTGCTGCGGAAAGGGAATTCTGTTAAAGGAATCCAGGGGCTTGACATTCTTTCGTCCGTACCCCTGAAGGGGGCTTAGGGCCGTGCAAGCCCCAGGGAGCATGAGGGGGGGTGAGGGTCTGGTGCCCGGCTCCATGCTCTCCCCAATATTGTTTTCCCTTACTGGCTTTCGCTGGAATCCGGAAGTCAGTTCTGTCCCTAGGCGTGGGGACAGATAGTCATAACCAATGCCTAAGCAACCACTCACATTTCTGTATTTTAATAAAGTTGTGGCCAAAATTATGCCAAAAACCTTAAATAAAAATTATGTGTGAAGTGTGAATCATTTGGAGATTGGAGGACCTCAACACACAAGAACAACAGAACCCAACAGACATAATCAGGGCTCTAAATTCTGTGAGGAGTCCACGTGAGCATAATAAGAGCTATGGCCTATCTAATCCCGAGTCCTGTTCTCACAGATGAAACCTGAAAGCAGAACCTGAACACAAGAGCACTGGACAGACAGACTGACAGACAGACCTACACACACACACGTTGATGGGCGTACAGTGACGGGCTGTAGACCCATTCTCCCCCCTCACACAATGGTAATCATATCAGAGGAGAAGGTCTGGAAAAAGCTAATGTCTTCACCTGCTGAGAAGTGGTTTAGGACAATGGTCTTTAACTTCCAAACCCTTACCAACCAACCCTTTAATAAACAACAATACATTTAATCTAATGTAACAATAAATACATTGCTTATCCATTTACCTGTCGAGTTATGTCTCAGGATAAAGAGGAAGGGTCGGTTTGCCACAACCTGCTTGTGGGACAGGCTCATGATTGCTGTCAAATGCATGCCTGCAATATATTTTTTACAAAGGCAAAAACAAGCACAAGGTTCAGACAAAAGGAAGTGTTTTTCAAATGAAAAGATACAGTAACAACCTCAATTATTAGCTCTGTCATGGCTACTCAGAATTAAGTCCCTTTGAGTTCAGCTGTGCTTACTCTGTCAGTGGGTAAAGGATTGCATCCTAAAATATATACAATCCAAAAATAACAGCAGTAACGTATAGCAACACTGAAATAGTAGCCCTAAATCCCAACAAGGAACTAGGTAAAAGATAAAGGACCCTTGGATGGTTAAGTAAAGTCAAAGGTGACTATGGGGTGCGGTGCTCATCTTGCTTTCAGGTTGAGGAAGCCGGCGTTTGTCCACAGTCAGCTTTCTGGGTCATGTGGCCAGCATGACTAAATTGCTTCTGGCATAATGGAACACTGTGACAGAAGCCAGAGCGCACGGAAATGCCCTTTACCTTCCCACCACAGCTGTACCTATTTGTCTACTTGCACTGGCATGCTTTCGAACTGCTGGGTTGGCAAGAGCTGGGACAGAGCAACGGGAGCTCACCCCATTGCATGGATTCAAACCGCCGACCTTCTGATCGGCAAGCCCAAGAAGCTCAGTGGTTTAGACCACAGCACCAAGGAACAGCAATAGTATAAGTCCTTAACTAACCAAATCCATGCTGACATAAAACATGGGTTAAGTCCCAGGGATCACTCCTAAAGCCAAAATCAGAGTCTTTTTTCCCAGATGCCTGCCCCCCTTTTTTATTCATTTTTATGTTTTTGCCAGGCACATAAAGCTGAATGCCCACAAATTAAATGTGTGTAAGTTGTGGGCTTGCTGTATGCGTTAAAGCAAGCAAAGAAGGAGCCAAGTAGAATAGTCTTGGGATTCTGCTCCATGGACCAGGTGCCACAACCTAGAAGTGTTTTTCTTCCCCTCTCTTTCTCTCACACACATCAATTCCCTGCCAACTTCACATCTATTGGCAGGGACGACTCTGAAACTGAACCATCCTGTGAAATTTGCACTTCTCTGAATTTTGTAATGCAAAGACTCCAGTCAAGCAATGGGCACAAGACAAAGAAGAAGAGGAGTTTGGACTTGATATCCTGCCTTTCGCTCCCCTTAAGGAGTCTCAAAGCAGCTAACAATCTCTTTTTCTTTTTTTTTAAATGATATTTATTGGGGGAAATTTTTTTTTTTAAAGTTACACAAAAAGAAAACAAAGTAGAAAAAGAGAAAAGCAAACCACTTCCAACAATACGAATACAAATTCAAAATAAGGAAAAAAACAGAAAAAAACAAAAATACACCACAAACATTTAAAAACATTTAAAAACAAATCCATTATTCTCAAATCCTCAACTGTCATTACCTTCTTTCTTTGACCTCCTCCTCCTCCCTTTCTTTGTATCCTAGTTGTTAATTATCCCAGCAAATCCTTTCCATATTTCATAAAATTCTGTCATTACATTACCTTAAACTATTTTAATCTTATCTTTCTATAAAAAAACCTTGAAACTTAAAACTTAAATCTTATCCTTACCAACTTCTCATAACCATAATATTCTTTCATAATTCTTTAAACATTTTTACTAAAGCCGAGTAATTTCATTCCAACATTTTTCTAACATTCATCAATTTTATAAAACAGTCCTAATAGTAAAAAAGAGAAATACAAACAAATCCAATCTTCATCCAGCGTCCCTTCCTCCTGGTCCCGGGTTTTGTCAGTCCTTATTATCCCATCGATCTAGCGCATTAACCTGGCAACCTTATATCCGAGACCCTTAAATCTCTTCCATGTCCCTTCCGCAGCTCTTCTTCATATTTGTAACTGTATTTTCCCTTGTCTCCTGCTCGTGGGAACTCCAGCTTGGCAATATTTTTGACCCTTCTCGACAGATCAGCCCCTTTTCCATATTCAACACTAAATTCCATGTGGTATTTAAAAACATGTTCCAAAAACCCTCCAAAATTAAGAGCCCCCACAATCCCAAACATCTCACGGCCCATTGCCAGATTTGAAAAGTCCAAACATCCCTGCATAGGGGGGTCAATCCAGCCCCCCATTTCCAAGCCAAACCAAACTTTTTCTTTCCAAATCTGGCTTTTTCCAAGTTCATTTGTCAAATCCGAAAGCTCATATTCCTGTTGGGCCTGTTCTGTCTGGATACACTCCTGATTTAATTCCTGGGTTGGCTCCACATATTTTCCCACTGTCTGTTCAAAATTTCCCACTGCCTGTTCAAAATTTCTAGTCGAATTCGCCATCAAATTCATCTTCTCATGTAACTGTTCCAGTAGGGCATTTGTTTTATAGAAAGCACGCAACAGAGCTTCTGAATACATTGTCCTGCAAGGTCAAATGTCTATTCCCATGATTGTAATCTGTAACAGCTGCCGGCTCCCTGGAATTGGTTACAGTTTCACAGTCTCACTCTAGGGGGAAAACTTCTATTTGTTCTTGCAACAAAGTTTTCCTTTTTGAGATATTTTGTCAATATTTGTTCCTTTAAACTGCGAAGGGAAACAGTGGAATCACTATGTTTCTCTTCTTTTAGCTATCTGTCAAAAACGTTTGTCTCTGGTCAATGAGCTTCAAACGTCAGTCCTGACACCCCGCTCCAGGATCAGGACGGTGGAAAGTTACTTTACTTTAAACTCACTTCTGCAGGTTTAAACAGTCCGAAAAGATCCCCTTCTTCTCCTGCTGTCGAAGGGGGGTTCCACAATTTTAAATGATGAAATCCAATCCTTTAGAGGCGATTTTCTGAGCTCTAGTTTACGTTGTCTTTGCTTTATTCTGTCTACAAAAGAACGGAAGGCTGACTTCCTGTTTAGACCTTCCCGTTTCAGTACCAAATTGAAATAAATTTTTAAGTCCAATTCCTTTCTGCTCGCAAGTCCTTATTTAAAGTCCAGTTGTTCAAAGTTTAAGTACTCACGGGTGCTTATTTTAGAATCCAAATTGTCCCAGGAAAAAGGCAGCGCTCTCCGGCAACGGCTATGCGGCTTCGCTCCACGAAAATAACAGTTGACTCACAGCACCGCACCACTTCCCCCTCTTCACTTTGGAGCCCGTTAGTGGGTTCCTTTGCGAGTTGGGGGGGCGCTAAAGGTGCCCGCCGAGTCCCATGGTCACAGGCTTCATCCGCCTGTGATTTTTAAAAGGGTCCCCGCTTCGCCGTAGCGGAGAAGACCCGTTTCACGCGGAGCTAGTCCCTCCAGTTCAGAGGGAGTCCGCCATTGCCGATGGCGCCACTCCGGAAGTCAAAGCCGGTAACAATCTCCTTTCCCTTACTCCCCCACAAGAAACACTCTGTGAGGTGAGTGAGGCTGAGAGACTTCAGAGAAGTGTGACTAGTCCAAGGTTGCCCAGCAGCTGCATGTGGAGGAGCGGGGAAGCGAACCCGGTTCACCAGATTACGAGTCCACCGCTCTTAACCACTACACCACACCGGCTCTCAACATGCACATATTAGTGAAAATAAAATACAAATATGCATTGTATTAGGGGAAACTACTTGTAAAAAAAAAAGTGCCTGTTTGAGAAAATTGCATACAAAATGTTTATATTAGGAGAGATTCACACTAAAATAGGGATGAGAATTTTTTTATATAAAAAAGCAAAGTCATGCAGAAATGTGAAGACCTGAACACTTGAAAAATGAAAAGAAATCCAAATTGACAGTTTCAACCATCCCTAGTCTTACAGTGGAATTTTGTGCTAAAAGTAGTAGGAATCAAAGTAGGGATTTGAAGAGCCACATATCAGGGCGATGAAAAGTGAATGGCAGTGGTGTTCTGGTTAGAGATGAGAGGCACAGCAAGCAGAGGCCAGAGAGAAGAAATATCTCTGCAGTAGTCTGGGAGCATGACCTGGACTTGTAGGCAAGAGAGCACGAAGGAAGGGGTGGGTACCTGCTGTGTTGCTGTTTTCAGAAGCAGTGACGTGGCCCGTACAAGAACAAGGGAAGCGTTGGAATCAAAGAGCAAATCAAGGCTTTGTAGCTAATCAATAGAGAGAGTCATGATTTTGCCCTTAAACACCAGAGAACAAATGAGAAATATAGGGCTTAAGTCATGGACTTACAAACCCAAGTGATAATTTAGGGAGGGCTATGATTTTTTATGTGTCCCATAGAATTTTGCGGTGCTAGGGCTCTGTATTTTATAGATAAGGATAATTCCCGAAACATGCGTCATTTCTTATAAAACGTGAGCAGTCCGGAAAGGAAAAGAGAGCCTAAAGCAGCCTTTTTCAACCCTGGGTTTCCAAATGATGTTGGATTACATTTCCCATCATTCCTAGCTAGGATGCCCAGTGGTCAAAGATGATGGGAAGAGATATTGTTGCCATCCGTCTGTCTGATGGAGTGTGCCTCCAGGGATGAAGTCAAACTGCTGCATTAGAACCATCAAAGTGACCTCCCCAGTGTGCAATCCTGGGCAGTGTGTATGGAGGTCCTGGGCTGCCCAGACGACAAAACCCCACTTCTCAGCCCCACTGGAAAGCAGAGCAATAGTCAAACAACATCTACATGGCAGCAGGTTGGGGAAGACTGGTTTAATATGGCTTGGTCAGTCAAACAAAGGACGCTTTTCAAGAATGAGAGTTCTACCAGCTGTATATAGATGCCAATACCTGGTTGGGATTCCTTTACACTAGCTCATCGCAGCCATAATTCCTGAATGCCTGCACTTCTAACATATTCTGCCCCTCTACTGAAAACATGGGGGGTGGGGTGGAATCAGCTGCTGAGTGATGGATAAAAAGGAATGTGGCAGGTACTTGAAAGGCAAACAGCAAATGTGTGTGGGAAACAGTTTTCCAAAATGCTTAAATGAATGCATAATACCATCCAATTGTCATATCTGACATGTTTGAATGTGACTCTCCAGGGTAGAAATGTAAAAGGACATCGTTTTCTGTTCGGCTATTTTTGTCACATGCCACAATGTTTCTGTTCCAGTGCTGTTCGTCTTCCACCCAAAATATGTTATTCCTTACTGTTGAGAAACTGTGATTCACATAATCAACTGTGCAATCAATTATAGAAGTCAAATGTGAAAATTACATAGTTACATTGCCATTATGTTATTTCACCCCATTCATTTAAATGCAAAGGAAATGCAATGCAAATTGGGGGGGGGGGACCATAATCAATTGCATATTGTTTGTGGGCTGACTCAATTAGCTCACTCAGGACAGCATGAGACTCTTAAGGTTGTGGGTTCAAGCCCCATGTTGGGCAAAAGATTCCTGTATTGCAGGGGGCGGACCAGATGACCCTCACAGTTCCTTCCAACTCTACAATTCTATGATCCTATGAAAGAGACGAGACGCGGGTGGCGCTGTGGATTAAACCACAAAGCCTAGGACTTGCCGATCAGAAGGTCAGCGGTTCGAATCCCCGCGATGGGGTGAGCTCCCCTTGCTCAGTCCCTGCTCCTGCCAACCTAGCAGTTCGAAAGCATGTCAAGTGCAAGTAGATAAATAGGTACCACTCCGGCGGAAAGGTAAACGGCGTTTCCGTGCGCTGCTCTGGTTCGCCAGAAGCGGCTTAGTCATGCTGGCTACATGACCCGGCTCCCTCGGCCAGTAAAGTGAGATGAGCGCCGCAACCCCAGAGTCGGTCACGACTGAACCTAATGGTCAGGGGTCCCTTTACTTTTACTATGAAAGAGACACAAATTTCAAATACCAATCACATACACTAGATTGCTTTCCCTTCCAGGCATGGGGTGGACAAATGAATGTATTGCCACTCCCTACCTGGGGGTGTTGGAGATCAAACATGGGACCTTCTGAATGCAAAGCAGTTGCTCTGTCCCTGAGCTACAGCCTATAGAATTTGCTTAGCTAAATCATCTGCAAAGCTCCCTCCTGTCCTGTCAACCGATGGGATATTCCAGTAGAAAAAGCATAATATTTTATAACCTACTTCGTTCAGCCATCATGAACTGTATATCAGTTTCATGGCCAAGGGGACACTGATGCCTATGTATTAACATAGCTGAATGTGTCACGGATTAACAATATTCCTTATACCTTTTTAGTAAAAAAAAATAAGATTTCCTGTAAGAGATCAAACCACCATGTGCCATCAGTTAAGCCTCCAAAATATGACTCAGAAGAAGAGAAGCAATTGTTAAATCCTGTTAAATGCTTTTCACTTTTCGGATCACCTACCGTTCTGAGCAAAATCTTTGCAAGTGGAAAATGAGTTACAACATTCTCCCCCACCCTCTCTGCCACTTTATAGTTACAAATCATCAAAAGGCAATTGAGCCATTACTGGGAAATTCTTATACACCACACCGTTGTTTTATAATATGGCATTTTCTTTAGGGATTTCTCAAAAGCTATCAAGGATAATAACCTGCTAGAGATGCATTGAGTTGAAGAAGTTGAAATCTCAAGATACGGCTCTCCATTTTGAAACTCATTTGAAGGACATATTTGTGACTATATTCACTTTTAACTATAGTTATTACCTTCCCTGCAGGCATTTGTCAAACTGAAAGTTTAAAATGGGCAACATAAACTGCAAAATGTGCTTTAGAAGAGTGGTTTAAATCTTAAAATACATTTGCCTTTTCCCTCTTTTCTTTTACTTTTTAGCAGAAGGCACTATGATAGTAGGGAACTATGCCATTAAACTAAATATCAGCTTTTGTTCAGATTCTTATTAACACCTTTGCTAAGTGAAGGTAATCATTTGCAAAGTGACGTTATATACTGTACCACTTGCATACAAATATGCCATACAAAACAGTCAGCAAAGCGGCCACACTCCTGTCCAGGGTTTCCTGAGCACCACAGGCATTCAAGCCTTCGATCCATACTTCTTCTAACTGTGAGAAAAATTGGCCTTGCAGAAGAGGTCCAGATCATGTAAGCCAGTCTGCCATATGACCCGGAATACCAGGGTTCAAACTGCCACTCAGCAATGAAGTTCACTAGATGACCTTGGGTCAGTCCTCATCTCTCAGCCTAACCTGTGAAACCAAGGGCTCACTTCTTCTTGTCTCATGCCTAGATAGCACATGCTCAAGTTTTGTTTTGCTTCCGCTTTCTAGGCATGGGTCTGAGCAGTTTCCCCCATGCCCTGCTCTTTTCCCGCAGAAAACTCACTCCTTAGTGCTAAATTGGAGCAAACATCAATCCAGAAAAAAACAGAACTACTGTTTGTTCCGATTGGGTGCTAAAGAGCAGTTTTCCCCAGGAGAAAGCCATGGGACCAAAAGAAAGTGTGCATAAACCCTAAACAGAAAGGGGTTGTTGCAAGGATCAGATGGAGAGGGAGAAAATCGTATACATCACCATCTTGAGCTCCTTTGGGGAAAGGTGGAATATAAATGTCATTAGGGATAGGGATATCTGTCAGCTTTGGTTTCTCTCAGTTCTTCAGTTTTCCAGTCTTAAGTACAGTTCTCCAAATTTGCACACAGTTTATGATTTTTTTTTAAGTCCTCATGAAAATCCACCCACATTTTAGTGTGCATTTCTCTTTATACACACAGTTGTATGCAATTTTGCCTAAGATACATATTTTGCAAAGCAATTTCTCCTGACATCAATGTTTGTATGGTGCTTTCACTAATATATGCCTTTACCCTGTGAATTTTTACAAACATCGCTTCACTGGAAAAATGCATTGCTAAGGGGAGATCGTAGGAACGGCCCTTTAGGATGCATATGCATGAGCTCAAAAGAATACAGCAACTTTTCTCTCCCATAGGCATATAAGCATCAGCCCAGCCATAGTCTGATGCATATTCATTTAAAGTACTTGCCCACTGAACAACAATGAACTTCACATTAGACTTTTCTCCACTGGCCATTGCATTCCTGAGAGATGTCTACAGAATAACTTCCAGCGAATTCAGCCCTTGAACAGGAAGAACCTTGGAAGACAGAGCCACATGGCTGACTCCCAAATGAGTGTGAGTTCTAGGACTGCAGCCTTCAGATCATAGAAATTCAGGCGGCATCTTTTGCATCGCTCTAGACTGCTGAGAAGCACTAAATATATTCCGATGTGTCTGGAAGGCTACAAAGTCATTAATTATTGATGCCACTAACAAATGGCTCCTCTGGGTCTTGACTTTTAGACCCTCGTGCTTTGGGGGCAAATGCGTTCTGCCTAAATTATAAGTTAACCAAAGGAAAACCAGAAGGCTAACAGAATAACAACAGTTCAACATCTCCTCTCAAATTAGGACCATGCCCTCTACTGCATCCTTTGTTTTCTTGCCCCAGTGAAGCCCAGCAAACTCCAACAAGCTCCAGACCTGAACTGGTGTTTGTATAATGTATCTCCAGTCTCTAAAGGACCTTCTTCTTCAGCTGCACATTAGTGAGCCACATAAAACTTGCTTGGAGTCGTGGGCTGGGGGAAGGGGCTTTTCTGTGGTGGCCCACTAGGCACCTTCATTACATATCTTTAGGTGCCAGGTAAAAACATTCATCTTCTCCCAGGCCTTTGTTTAATTTGTCAAAATATGGCCTTTTAAACTGCAGGGGTGGGTGGTGTGTTGTTGTTGTTTGCTTGTAGTAACTATGTTATATATTCGTGTGTGTTTTATATTGAAAATCACCCTGTGATCCCTGGATGAAGCGTAGTATATAAATTGAATTAATTAATAGCAACCTATGCTTGTTCATATGCAGCTCATCCTCCAGTTCCCATTCACCCCAGCCACCAGGGCTAATGTGTATGGATGATTGTGCTTGTAGTCTAGAAATGTCAGGAGGAGGAAAGGTTTGCCATGTCTGCTGTAGAGCATTTGTCTCTTCATCTCCCAGGGCTCCCCTGTCCTTACCCTGACATGCAGCTTCCTTCCATAGGCTGGACGTTTTGTGCCAACCAGCAAACATTTAGCACGTGCCATTAAAGCTATGGTTTTCCCAGTAGTGATGTATGGAAGTGAGAGCTGGACCATAAAGAAGGCTGATCGCCGAAGAATTGATGCTTTTGAATTATGGTGCTGGAGGAGACTCTTGAGAGTCCCATGGACTGCAAGAAGATCAAACCTATCCATTCTTAAGGAAATCAGCCCTGAGTGCTCACTGGAAGGACAGATCGTGAAGCTGACACTCCAATATTTTGGCCACCTCATGAGAAGGGAAGACTCCCTGGAAAAGACCCTGATGTTGGGAAAGATGGAGGGCACAAGGAGAAGAGGACGACAGAGGACGAGATGGTTGGACAGTGTTCTCGAAGCTACCAGCATGAGTTTGACCAAACTGTGGGAGGCAGTGGAAGAGAAAAGTGCCTGGCATGCTCTGGTCCATGGGGTCATGAAGAGTCGGACACGACTAAACAACAACAACAACAAATTATTTCCCACGAGTATTATTGCCCACAAGTGCATACACAGTTTAAAAAGTACAACCCTTCGGCCTTTTGGGCACCTAACATCAGCCCATCCCATCCAAATATGGTAGCCTAGATCTGGTCATGAGACATTCGTCCTGATAAACCAAATAAGATCTCTGTCATGTCATTACCGGCAGATGCTGCTGCTTCACTCCCATCTTCATGCACCTCAAAACAGACTTTTTGAATGGCTTTAGAAATGTGGACATCAGCAGAATCTGAGAGGGGACATGAATGATAAAGAGTTCACATATGATGCATGTGTCGTTATTAAACTCAATCCTGCCTATAGAGAAGGGGGGAAATCACATGGGATTGTTCAGAGCAAAAGACGAGTCTTATGCAGCCATCCGGTCTGCAACACAGCCAACCAGATGCCGAAAGAGTGATCACAACTTGTCTCCTGCTATTGTTACCCAGTTACCGATATTCAGAACCTCAGTTCCTGGAGGTAGCATGCAGCCTTCATGACTAGTAGTCCAGTCAACCTTGCAAGGTGCCAAGAGAAGCGCTCCCTCGAGGTGTGTATTCTGCAGTTACTCACTTTCCCACGTGGGACAGTGGTGAGCAGTTCCCGACATCTTCCACTGCTATACTGTAGCCAACAAAAATCCAGGCACTGCTACCACAGCTGCTATTAGACTCCAGACATTTCTCTCAGAGACTAATGGCAGTCTCTGGTGCTATTAGGAAATTCCCCTCAGAGACTAAAGGCAGGCATGTGTGTGTGGATTTTTGTCAGGTACACAGTGGGTAAGGAGAGCATTTTCAATGTCTGCATGGTCCCAATAAACGGGTGGGCTGATGTGGGGTGGAGAGATAAGCTGACATTAATTTTTTTAAAACAACACAGCAGCAATTGACATATTTTGTGTCCCGCCATCTAGTTCAGCCCCAAGAGATTAGCAACAGTTTCATGGCTGCCTCTGCTAACACTTTATTCCTTGAACATGCCTTCTCCTGAGAAGCAACTTCCTCATTGGCCTTGAATTTTACTTTAAGTGATTTGTGTGTTGTTGTTGTTTTCTTAAAAAAGAGGGACATGAACATTTGCAACAAAACTTTTAACAAACTTCAAAATTGCTTAGCTGTTTCACCTAAGGAAAGACCACATTTCACATGTGCTTCCCTCTGAGGCAAAAAAACAGCGTGGCAATTCTGTTCTGAACATTGTTCCTTTTCATGCCTTTGCTTGAAATCTGGGGTGAGATAAGCAAGGATTCTGTCACAGAATAATAACCCCTCACTCTTTTTATATAGTTTTAAAAACCCTATATGTTTAAAAAACAGGGTGTTCCTTTGTCCTTGAACGAAACACTGAAACACACTTTGTTAAAAGTACATGATTACAGCAGACAATAAGGACCGAAAACACAGATAAAATGTTCGCAGCAGCAACCATCAGCATAATAAATCAAAGCACCTGTTATTCCAGAAAGGTCACAGCCATTATTAAAAATCTCAGTAACGTTGAGAGGCTGGATAATCTCTTTCAAGTCCACCACTTGCTCTATTTTAAACCTGTAGGAAGTGAACATATAGAATCAGTGTTGGCTGATTCCTGTTAGAACCAGCTAGGTGCAAGGCAGAGACACCAGTAATAGCTGGAGCCCAAGTCAATGAGAGGCAGAGCCAACTAATTCTAATTTTGACCCAGCCCACCTCCCAGCTGAGTTCTACATGGGCAACACAGAAATTAAGGAGGAGGAAGCTGACAGACATTGCTGCCCCCTGATCTGGACATAAGAAAGATGGCGGGGACCTGCTGAGGAAATACTAAAGGTGATGGGACACATTCACCCTAATGGAACAACCTCTACAAAGGTATGGAATTGGGCTGTGCAAAAAAGCATTAAGGTATCCTTGGTCCACCACGGATAATTTTCTTTCTTTATGTCTCAGTTTCATTCAAGCTGGAGAGTCAGAATATGGTGGGCCCTGGAATATCCCTCCCTTCGAAGCAGTTCCATCTGGCCTCCCTTTGCCAATCCTACCTGTGAGGAGCATATATGGCAATGGGGTTTTGAAGTTGGTGATAGAGGAAGAGGCATGGAGCCTTAGCCCTCTCCAAAACCAATTGATGGGAAGGGATCTTAAAAACTTCCCAAATATTGATCCCTATTGGAGGGGAGGGTGTTTTACTGCTTCTGTTGTAAGTTGGATCCAAGGTCTCTTTGGTGAGGAGGGTGTTGTTGCAGATACAGTGGTACCTCTAGTTGTGGACAATCCATTTCGGGGTGCTGTTTGCACCCCGAAAAATCCGCAACAAGAGCATGTGTGTGGCATGATCGAATGCTTCTGTGCATGCATGAAGCACGCCGATTGCTTCTGCGCATGCGCGCGGGGCGAACCCAGAAGTAAACACTTCCGTGTTTGCCGCGTTCGTAATCTGAAAGTCCGTAACAAGAGCGGAACACAGCTAGAGGTACCACTGTACAATGGTAAGTAAGGAGTCTGCATTTATCTCTGCAAAGGCTCAGACAGACAATGTCCTTGATGAGCCTATACATGCTTTGCAAGATGAGAGATAAGGAGAAGCATTTTAATTTGTGGGGGAAATATAAATATATATCTAAGAAGCCTTTTATGGCATTTTAATGAGGTTTGGCTCTGGCAGTGTGACAATGCAACACTATATGTGCCTACGCAGGAGTAATTCCATTAAGGCCAATTGGGTTTACTCCCGTGCAAGTGGAGATGTGATGGCAGAAGATTTACTACACTGGATAGATTTTGAATTTTTCTTTATAGATATTATATGAAGGCTATGACAGGCGCATTTTGACAGTTTCATTGGATGTATTATGAGGGATATACAGTAATAAATCATCCTGATTGTAATAAGAGTGGTTGGAGTATAATAATTGTAGTAATTATTTTACTTGGTTTTCCTGCTTAAATTATGGATTGGATCTAAGTTTGTATCTTTTACTAGCATGCCCTTGGTTCCTCTTTACCCATATTTTAAAGATGAATTGGCTCTATTAACAGGCACTACTTCATTTGTTCTGCTTTCCCAGATTATCCTTTTCCCTTCACCCACCCACAACTCTTTGCAGGTGAAAATACAAGGGTGCTCATGTTTCTGTTCAGCACTCCAGAAACGATCACTATCTGAGCTCCCTGGGCCCTCAATTTTTACACATTGCTGAAGACTCTTTCCCACCTACTGGTTCATTTATTTTGCACCAGGCTATTTTAAACTTCAGGTTGCACGTATTATGGAATCAGCAGGTCTTGCAGCCTATTCTCAGCCCTTAATCTGAGTGTTTCTGTTCAGGTTTCCTGACATACAACCAAGCCCTCCTCCAGTTTATTATGAGCTATACAGGACTTGAAGGACTTAGCCAACCATGCAGTCCACCAAGACACTAGCAACACATGCTAACATTTAAAAACAAACACAGTTGGGACAGTAAGTACAAGAAAAAAGGGATTAAAGCAGGGATGGGAACCTTTGGCCCTCTAGATGTCGTTGGACTATACATCCTATAATCCCTGACCATTGGCTGTTGATGGGAATTGGAAGCCATCTATATTTGGGGTGCCATCTCTGGATCAAGGCAGTAAAAGCACATGGAACCATTACCAGCTTCATTGTGCTTCTTGGAGGAATAGACATTTTGTACCTGTCAGCTCTTAATACGCCCTAATTTCATTTAAATTCGCTAGAGAAATTAGTAAACACAAACTGCCATTAGCTTAAATAACTGCAAAGCTCCCAGGTCAGTAAATCAGTTTGCCCTTTTCAGTTTCTTAATTCCACAAACTCTTCCACAAGAAGGATTTAAGACCAAAAGGGATAACGAGGAAGACCAGATCGTCACAGAGGTCATTACATACCTGGGAAGGCTGATTTCTACGTCCTCGTCCTCTTTCATCTCAGCAAACCAGATTTTCATCAGCTGGGCTGTAATGAGTTTCTCGACCTCTTCTATAGGCACATCTTCTGCTGGGAGGATCAGCACGAAACTGAATTCCTCTCCTTTGTACGGCAGCTCCAAGACTTGGTAGCTCACATTATGGTCAGAGAAATGACCTAAAACAAAGAATAGAAAATGTGCAAAAGTCTTAATTACTGAACTGTAATAGGAGAGAGGTGGCAAACCAAGAGCAAATGAAAGAGGATCCCAGAGGCTTCAGACTATTCATTAGACCATGGTGAAGATTTACAGAGCAATCCAATCCTCCCTTACAAAAGACTATGGCTGGTTTGGGTTGAGTGGAGGCATCCCTCCACTCATCTCTGCCAGCTGAGCCAGCCTCCAGTTGGCTGTCAAATACACAGGCAGAAGGCCTGCAGGTGTTGCCAGGAGCATAGGAAGGGGGCGGGGAGGTGGTCCACCCCTGGTGTCATCTCTAAGGGGAGTAATAAAAGCCCCCACTGGGCGGATCGCTGCGGCACCCCTCCCCGGGCACCAATCACCGCACCAATCTCTGCACCAATCACCCCCCTGGATGCTGACTGCCACTCCAATCACCCCAATAGGCGCCAACCACTGCATCCATTGCCCCGCTGAGTGCCGATTGCCCCCCAATGGGTGCCGATCGCCATGCCGATTGCCCCCCTGGCTGGCACACCCCACCCCCGGGTGCACGACATGTGAGCTGTTTCAGGTGCCCAAGCGGATAGCTCCACCACTGGCTCCGTGGGGAAGCTGCTCCGCTCTTGGCTGGCCTCCAGTGCCCTTCTTCTCCTTCCTGGTAACGCATTTTGCCTCACTGGAAGTCCCCATATGATGTGTCTTTTGCTGTTGAACCAATCGTGCAACATTCATTCCCTACTAATAAATCTACAACACTTAAAATATAAATCCAGGGATATTAAATGAAATCCAGGGACATTCCGGGGACGGCTGTTGTCCAGAGACAGATGTGTAAATCCGGGGACTGTCCCCGGGAAGTGGGGACGCCTGGTAACCATAGCCTATACTGAGTTAGACTGTTGGTCCATCTAGCTCAGTATTGTCTACACAGATCAGCAATGGCTCTTCATGGTTTCACACAGGAGTCTGTCCCAACCCTACCTGGAGATGCCAGCAATTGAACCTGGGGCTATTTTCATATAAAGCAGATGCTCTACCATTGAGCTTCATCCTTTCCCCCAAGGAGGGGATAGGGCTGAGCCAGCCTGGGGTCCCCTGGCTGGCATCAGGTCTCATCTGTCCACCTTCCACCATGGCATGAAGACAAGACAATAGGTCACTGCACTGACTCTGCATTCTTTAACACAGGGTGAATTTTGCATATGCAACACTAGTGTTCACACCTTTCTCTGTGTTGCATCTTAAATTATGTAAGTGATGCTCTGCCAAGCCATCAGGTTCCAATTCTGCATGTATTTTAGACATCTCTGTAAAGTGAGGTAGCCAGAGCACTTCTGAGTATCAATTTTTTGAGAGTGAGGAGGCAGAACAGTCAGTGGTGGAGCATATGCCCGCGCTGCCCAGGGTGTGTGTGCTCCTGAGGGGAGAGGGGAGCACTCCCGAGGGGGCGGAGGGCACCCTCCCAGGCACTGGATAGCCACTCAGGTGCATGGAGTGGCATGCGCGCTCTGCAGCCGGAGCTGTAGGCGCTCATCTTCCAGGCAGAATGAAAGGCACACCCACCGATCCTGCTTCCTTCCCACCCCCCTCTGTTGTTTGCTTGCTTGCCTCCTTCCCATCCTGCCCCCTGCCTGCCTCCTCTAGCCAGGAGCACGGGGCAACAGTGCCACACACGCCCATGACTCCCAAACCTACCACAAGCCGAACGTCAACCCCCCCTCAGGGATAACACCCAGGGCGGTCCGCCCCCACCACACACCCCTTCCTCCGCCACTGAGAACAGTCAACAGCTTTATAAGACCAAGTGGAAAGTTATTGGTTTCTTGAGTCACTTGACCACAGCTGAACTGATAACTGCCTTTGGCCATCTGCAGTAATGGCGTGGAGGCAGGTGCTTCTCCTGATAAGCTACCACAGTGGTGCAGCGAGTTAAAGCACCCAGTTGCCAGAGTCCCTGGTTCAAGGCCCCCTGCTGCCTTATAAGGCAGGATCAAACTCACTAATAAACTGAAATGCATACATGAGTCCTTCATTTTGGAAGGGAAAGAGTTTGACATGCTCCGTCCATGATTAATTTAGCACATCAGGTTAGATTCAGAGAAAGAGACAGAAATAACAAGCAGAGATCTTGAGATGTGGAAATTATTTGTCTTGTACATGCGCATGATTTAATTGGAATGTCACTATTGCTACTTCGCAATTTTGAGGAAAGCGTCCATTGATCTGCTTTGCCACTTCTCTTTGAAAGCGTCTGCATTTCGTGGGGGGAAATCGCCTCCGAAACACCACACATTTAAAACGGCACTGTCATACCAACACTTCTGTGCTGTGGTTCACAGTATGCAGTGCACTGCCACCAGAAGATTAAAAGAAACGACATTAACAATTAGAAAAGAAACAAAGAAAGGAAGTTTTAAAATGGCACAGGATAGAATGTGATACTTGTCACAGGAAATATTCAATAATTAACTGCAGTGCTATTTTTCTAAAAGAGAGAGAGAGAGAAAGAGCTCACCATGAACTCACCATGAACACCTCCCTCATTCTCTTAGAATGGCAATGGCGCCCACCTGAGGGATGCTGGAACAAAGTTCCTGCAAGTTCCCCCTGGGGGGAAAAAAGCCCTGAGTGACTGTAATAATGGTAGCTTTGGGCAACAGGTAGATAAGCACACAGGAACTCGTGGTCCTGATGCGAGTAGGCTCTGAGTTCAACAGAAGCTACTGTACTTTTCCTTGTATAAGACTGTTTTTTCTTTAAAAATCATGCTAAAAAGTGGGGGTCGTCTTATACATGGGTAGTGCATAGGGTGGCTGTTTGATTGGTTGCTGACATGGCTGTCTGTGGCTATTGTGTGTGTTATTGGTTGCTGTGTCAATGGGCGGGCGGGCGATTGACAGCTTCTGTTGGCAATGGGACAGACAGGAGGTGGATTTCGCAATGTGTGCGGGTGAGCGATTTTCAGCAATCCCCTCTAAAAAAAGCTAAACAACCCTGGGTAATCCTCCCCCCCCCCAAAAAAAGCTCACAACTCTGTGCCATCTCCCCCAATTTTCTTAAATTTGAGTCCCCAAATTTGGGCATCTTATAGACAGACAAATACGGTAATTGGCTGATCTGATAAACAGACTGGAATATAATTAACCTTCAGATTTTGCACTTCTCTAAAATTTTGTGATGCAATTCTTGTCTCCAAAAGCGTACCAGAATGCATTTATAAAATGTCTATTTTAGGGTAAAATGATATTGAATACATATTTTGTGCTAAAATACATAGTTAAGTAGGAGTTTAGATATTATTTTTGTACAGATCGGTTGTTTGTTTTAAGAATCACACCATGGTGAGGAAATGATATGGAACAGACTTAGGAATAAACACATGAGAAATCGACCCGGAGCAGAAATGGACTGATCTACACATCCATTCATACAAACTCATATACAATGGTACCTCGGGTTAAGAACTTAATTCGTTCCGGAGGTCCGTTCTTAACCTGAAACTGTTCTTAACCTGAAGCACCACTTTAGCTAATGGGGCCTCCCGCTGCTGCTGCTCCATTTCTGTTCTCATCCTGAAGTTCTTAACCCGAGGTACTATTTCTGGGTTAGCGGAGTCTGTCACCTGAAGTGTCTGTAACCTGAAGCATCTGTAACCCGAGGTACCACTGTATATGCATGTGAAACCAAGTGGGATGTCTGAATTACCAAGCTTTGCCGTGAGCTGAAGGTGCATCATCGGTATCTCAGTCACGGAACCGTCACTTTTAGTGAAAGGCATCAAACTGGTGTCCTCTGCTTTGAACATCTGCTTCCAGTCCCCTTTGAAGAAAAGGGCATTCACCAGCAAAAGTCTAGTCAAGGGACCAAGGTCTCTACTTGCCACGAGGTTCCTGATTTTACCTGCGCAGAAAGAGACTGTCAGTTGTGTCTAGCTGTTTCTCTAATTGGCCAGGATGCAAATTAAGATAAAATAAGAACAATAGCATAGAATCTCAGAACTGTAGAGTTGGGACCCAAGGGTCATCTAGTCCAACCCTCTGCAATGCAGGGATCTAAGCTAGATTATACATGACAGATGGCCATCCATCCAAGGAAGGAAAGTCCACCACCTCTCATTGGAGTCTGCTCCACTGTCAAACAGCTCTTACCTCTGTCCATTTTAATATCACTTTTGATAGGCTTTATTTATGTATTATGCTTGTTTGCTGGTGTAATCAAAATTAATATATTTGGAAAAATATATTTTGGGGGGAGTTGAAATGAAATTTAAGACCAGTTTGGTGGGTGTTGCTTGGTAATACATCAGTAGGGGCTTTTGTAAGAATTTAAAGGAACTTCCTTAAGACTAGCAAAATTTCCTAAGAGGACAATTCCCATATTTTTAGCTTTATAGCATTCAGATGGAACTAAAATATCTTTTCATAAAGAAATTATGCATTTAATTGGTACACCGTGACACAAAAATAATTCCATCTATACATATAAAACATAAATTTAAAGGCACAATGCATAGAACAAACCTGAAGTTTAGGGATCATAAGTGTGGTACTTATTAGGTCTCCTTGGTTACTATTATGGCTTATACGCAAAATGTCAGATTACATTAGTGAAATGAGCATACAAAGCTGGGCTGAATTTTGGAGCTAAAATATCTTTTTAAAGGAGGATAATTTGAACAGTCTTAAATTGCACTGTGTGCACAGAATTTCCCAATATTTTTTCCTCTTTTATTCATGTGAATGTGCCTTTAACTCCAGGGCTAGCCCAAGGCATTTTTCCGCCTGAGGCAAACAACAAAATGGCACCTCCCCCAGTTGCACCTTCCTTCAGCACTGCCTATGGGGATAGCGTCCTCCACCTCCATTACAGCTGAGGAGAGCAAGCTAGCTTAGGGTATGTGTGACAAAAGAGGGGAATAGACAGGGGCTCAATGTCTAGGGGCGCTGCTGCGGCCACCCACTTTTTGCCACCTGAGGCATTTGCCTCAATCCACCTAATGGTTGTTCCCATGAGCTCTGCCCTTTGAAAAAAGCAATGAGGCCTAACCAGCATGCACTGGGAAGCAAACCCATGCAAGAAAGGGGCAGGGAGATTTTTTTTACCATCTGTTTTGTTTTCTACCCAAGTGCTTATGGCCTCTGCGGAAGCTTTTGTATCTTGGAAATTCACCAGCTTTACAGCTGTCTGAAAGAATTCCTTGTTGCTATGGAGATACTGTTCTTTCACCATGAATCCTTCTTGAAGGTAGAGGGCATTGGCAAGATTAAATGTAAATGCCTTTCCTTCTGAGGGGACGGAGAACAGTGTCTGAAGCGGCTTGAAGGCTTCACCTGAAGAAAATAAGTGTTAAGAGTTAACATCTTCATTTGAAGAACACAAACCAGCTGTGTAATAGGGTAGTTATCCAATACAGACATGCGTTCATAATCCCCGCTTCCTGGCCGAGGTGCTCCCTAAGTTAAGTCTGCAGCAAAGATGAAGAGACACAACACAAATGCTATTATACCTGGAGCAAAGAAAGAGTAAGAATGGGGAATGGCAGAATCACCTCTCCCGAGAACCGAATTTGCTTTTAAATGAACCAGCCACTCAGGCAAAATGAGAGCAAAGCCTTGATAAAAACAACAGACGGGTTGGTCCAACATCCCTATCTATTAAGTTAGCATTGATCTGAGAGCCAGAATGGTGCAGAGCAGGAATGGGGAAACTTTCTCAGGTTGAGGGCCGCATTAACTCATGGGCAATCACCCAGAGGCCGCAAGCCGGTGGTGTGTGGTGCTAGAGACAGAAATGGGTGGAGCAACAGGTGCCAACCCTCCAGTCATTCATTTCCCATATGGTTTTCCCAGTAGTGATGTATGGACGTGAGAGCTGGACCATAAAGAAGGCTGATCGCCAGAGAATTTATGCTTTTGAATTATGGTACTGGAGGAGACTCTTGAGAATCCCATGGACTGCAAGAAGATCAAACTTATCGATTCTTAAGGAAATCAGCCCTGAGTGCTCACTGGAAGGACAGATCCTGAAGCTGAGGCTCCAATACTTTGGCCACCTCATGAGAAGAGAAGACTCCCTGGAAAAGACCCTGATGTTGGGAAAGATGGAGGGCACAAGGAGAAGGGGACGACAGAGGACGAGATGGTTGGATAGTGTTCTCGAAGCTACCAGCATGAGTTTGACCAAACTGTGGGAGGCAGTGGAAGACAGGAGTGCCTGGCGTGCTCTGGTCCATGGGGTCACAAAGAGTCGGACACGACTAAACAACTAAACAACAACAGTTATTCATTCATTTATTTTACCCCACCCTCCAGTTGTTGTTAGACTACATATCCCATCAGCCACTGGCCATGTTGACGAAGGCTGGCACTGGTCTGAACAAGGTTGGTCTAGGAGAAGGGAAGCCCACGTTCAATTCCTTTCCAGCCATGAAGCTCACTGGGTGGCTCTGGTTGAAACCAGGAACCATCTTTCAGCCTAAGCTACCTGACTGGTTTGCTGTGAGGATAAAGTGAGATGACAGGGAGACAGCTATGTATATCACCTTGAGCTCCTTGGGAGGGGGGGAGAAGGATCACCATGTAATTAATGAATTGGCTATAAACCAGGCCAACTCTGCCAGTGACACAGTCTAGACAGGTGGCGAGAGTGACCCAGTTCAGAAGCCATCTGCCAAGCCACAAGTGGTGCAGACATTTTTATCATCTCCTTGCCGCATGGCCGGATCCTTGGCCCTAACTGAGGTAAAGGAAATCTTTGAGTAGCAAGACAGCACAGCTACCCCATAACAATGCTGTGTATGCATGCACAGTGCATTTCTAATAATAATTTTAAAGTGCATTACAGTTTTTAAAACCTAGCATATGGGTCAACGCCATCAAATTATTTATCATCCTAGTGAACAGTTTTTAACAACCATGCTACTTTGCTGTCTATCTTCATGCCCTCTAATAAAATGCATCAACTTGGACATAAAAGCTACTGGCCATATCCTCGGGAATCGTTCCATTATTGAAGGAGCATCAGCATTTTCTCCTCTTAATAGTCTTGAATGTTTCCTTCTTTTTATTGCAGAAACCTAGCCCTTGCAGATTTAACAAGGGCCCCTTAAATTTTCCCGGATTAAACTTCACGAATGTATCTTTGAAGGATGCCTATTCCAGGAGTCTTGAAGGATGCACAGGGCTTCTGAAATGGTTGTGGTAAGCTTGTGAAATTGACATGGTCTAAAGGAAAGGGTTAGGAAGGCCTGAACTCCCTCACCATAGCCCAGACATTCAAAACATTGCTTGCTTGCTACTTTGTGCGGTGGTCCCCAGTATTGCTGCCAGGTTTGAGGCAGGGGGCTAGTCAGGGTTCCTGCCCATTTCTTGACCCTCCCCCATGTCACCCTGTCACTTTCTGGCCACTTTTGTTAGCTTTATTTTAGAGCAGACTTCCCCCAACCACATGCCATCCAGATGTTGTTGTTGTTATTGAATCTGTATGCCGCCCTACATTCATAGATTTCAGGGTGGTTCACAATATAAAAGAACAACATAAAAAACACAGAATACATAATAAAAATAAGAACAGAAACAAACCAAAAAGTCTCCCCTCCCACAACATATTTTAAAAGGGCATTGGATGTCAATCAGCCAAAGGTGTGTTTAAAGAGGTATGTTTTCACCAAGCACCTAAAGGCATATAGAGTCATACCTTGGTTTTCGAGCAGCTTAGTTCTTGAACGTTTTGGCTCCCGAACACCACAAAACCCGGAAGTGAGTGTTCCGGTTTGCAAACTATTTTTGGAAGCTGAACATCCGACGGGGCTTCCGTGGCTTCCTGCAGCCAATCAGAAGCCGCACTTTGGTTTCCGAACGTTTTGGAAGTCAAACGGACTTCCGGAACGGATTCCGTTCAACTTCCGAGGTACGACTGTGTAATGAAGGTGCCAGCCGACCCTCCCTAGGGAGAGCATTCCACAAACAGGAAGCCACTGCAGAAAAGGGCCATTCTTGTGTTGCCACCCTCCGGACCTCTAATGGAAGAAGAACATGGGCCTCAGAAGATGATCTCATATGGAGAGAGACACTGCTTGAGGTATTGCTGTCCCTAGCCGTTTAAGTCTACAACTTCCAGAGATCCTGTTCATTGGTCACACTGTCTGGGACACAAAGGCACCAGGTTGGGGAAGGGTTTTTTAAAGACATTTTACAGGACGATGGCTGTGCTGCAGACCACCAGATAAGATTGCACCAAACCATGGGGCCCAGAGGTACCCTGTGGGAATGAAGGCAACAGGTGGCTGGAGCAGGACTCAGCCAGTGCTACACTTCACAGCAAGACCAACCTGCGTGAAACATTTACAAAACAAAACAAAAATAAAGAAAAAAGAGATTTTGCCACAACCAGCTTCAGTCCCATATAGATGTTGGGGGGGCATGTGCTATAGAGCCCCATATTATGTCTTGAAGTTTGGCCTTATGAGTGCCATTGGCACAATGGTTTAAAACTGTGCACTAGGGTGATGAGCCCGCTCACCCTTTTGGTGCCGTGACATTGCAGAAGGGCAGAGGCTTCACCAGGGCCCCAACGAGGGAAATGGAACAGTGGTGCCCTTCCTGATAGGCCGTGAGGGCTGTCTATCAGTAACTGGATCCTAGCCTGCACCCGGCTTTGGCTAATGGGGCTGGGGCTGCACCAGGGGGCAGAGCCGATGGAGCAGGTAGGCTTTCCTCGGATCCACCCCTTGCCCATTTAAGCAGCCAGCACCTGGGGCATTACCTGTTTGTTCCTTCACCAGGTTTTTCCCCTGCCCACCCACCCTCGATTTAAGCTGTTAGTCAATGACTTCGCTGTGGCTACGGCGGTCACCGTCCTTTAAGGAGCTGGGTAGGAATTTGCCCACCAGGCTAATTGGCATGGACCCCATGGTTTTGCCTACCTCATAGCAATTGTCACAACTGGTTGGGCATTGGGGCAATCCTTTGTTTTGGATGGAGGGGAGGTTGTAGTCTCTGCCTGCCCCTTCAAATGCTGGGGTTTCCCTTTAAAGTGTTACGGGGGGAGTGGCCATGTCTGCATGTCTAGGCGGGGCCAGGGCCGAGGGCACTCCCCCAGACGGTGTTCCCTGCAGGGGTCACCTATTTGATGTAAGTCTTAGGAACCCCCATCTGGACTGACCACGCATCACTTCCAGCGGGCGGGCCAGAAGTATTTTGATTGCCCCACGCCCAGGCCAAACCTCTTTAATTGCCTGAAATTGAAATACTTTATTGTCACTTGTACAACTTGTATACAGTGAGATTACACAAACACCCCCCACTCAGCTCTCTTAGTCTTAATTCCCCTCTTTTACTGACGCACACCCACCAACACACTGAAAGTCAGTTGCCCTGTTGTCATCTTTTCATTCAGCAGCCTAACAGCCCACGGATAGAAGCTGTTCTTTACCCTATTGGTGCAACTAATCACGCTTCTATATCTTCTGCCTGAGGGCAGGAGATCAAGAAAGTGCCGGCCAGGGTGTGAATCATCCCTGAGAATTTTCCTCACTCTCCTGAGGCAATGTTCTTCCACTATTTCATCCAGCGGATTCACAGGACAGCCCAAAATATCTTGTGCTGTATTCACCACCCTCTGTAGGCACTTCCTATCAGTTGATGTCAAACCAGCGTACCACACCATGATGCAGTATGAAAGGACACTTTCTATTGTTGACCGGTAGAAGGAGATCATCAAATGTTGATTGACATCGTTCTTCCGCAATATTCTGAGGATATGGGAGTCTCTGTTGGGCTTTCTTAACCACCTGGGTTGTATTTATTTTCCAAGTAAGGTCTTCACTGAGATAAACTCCTAGGAATTTAAAGGAAGAGACTCTTCATCTGTATTCAATAAAGTTGTGGCCTGTTTTGACCCAAAACCCAGCCTCGTTGGTCTCTTATTTGCATGGGTTGGGGTATGGGAATCCGATGCCTGGTCCTGCAAGTAACTTGATGCCATTTTTAAAGCCTAATGCTAGGCTTTAAAAGCTGTAATGCATTTTATGATTTTTATTAAAAATGTACTGTGCATGCACACTCACATAGCATTGTTATGGCTATGCCTTCTTGCCACTTGTAGTTTTTCTTTTGCTCAGTTTGCAGCCAAGGCTCCGGCCATGCGGCAAGCAGGTTATAAGAACTTCTGCATCGCTTGAGTGGTGAAAAGTTCCAAGGACAATGCTCTCAGGGTTAGATTACTTGGATGAGAAAGTATTGGAAGCTTGCAGAGCGCAACCCTATGCATGTTTTCTCAGAAGTCGTATTGCCTCCAGACTGTCAGTATTTTGCAGGAGGGATTCAAGAGCACAGCAGAAATATAGGTTTGCACAATTCAAGGGAGAGCTCTGTCGCCTTGGTGTAACAAATCCACTTAAAAATAAGTTAGTTGCAGTTAGGAAAATGATAGGAAAATGCACCTCAGAATGTGGAGTGAACGGATTATTTACAGGAAGATGTGTAATCCTGCAATCATTTCAGGATGAATATTCATTCCCTTATAACCTCCCCACAAACAAATCACAATGAAAGCTCAGTAAAGACCAGGCTTCATCTAAGTATCAACTGACTACCATCCTTTCCTATAATTAACTGACCACTGGAGTGGTCTAACAAAGGAATGGTTTTTCAGCACTGCTGTCCTAATGGCACATATCAGAGAATCAAGGAATTGTGGAGTTGGAAGGGACAACAAGGGTCAATGCAGGAATCTTTTGCACAAGATGGGGGTCAAACCCATAACCTTGAGATTAAGAGTCTGATGCTCTACCAACTGAGCTATAGTCATACTTATTGCTGGAGTAGGAAGTGTGGAGAAGCTGATGGCAGCAGCAATAGACCAGTAAAATATAAGAGAAACACAGCGGTGCAGGTCTTATAGGGTTTCTTTTATGATGCTCATCTCTATTGCTTTAAAATGTGATAAGTCATGCCTGATGCACTGTGGTCCTCTCCCACTCATTCTGGTGAGCAGGACATTGGACTTCTGCCCCAAAGTACAGTATTGTTCTGATGGCATCACAACAGAAACCCCATAGAGGCAGCAAGAGGCAGAATGGGCCCTGGGCTACAGTTGAGACCAGAGAGAGGGACAGCAGCTTGTCAACAAGCAAGCATTCCTATTCTCTGATGACAGACCCCCTGGTACTGAATCTGAATTATCCTCATTTCATGCCACAAGTTGTTCATTTAATACCACGGTGGCTGTGTAAGAACAAGGCTGATAAAGTACATTATTTCACACTCCTCCTAATATCACTTCATGTTGCCATCTAGCAAGTCAGATGTTGCATTTCTAAAGCAATAGAAAGTCCCGGGAGCTCCAGCAGGGATTAAAATAAGCTTAAATAAGGAGAAAGCAAGATCTGTTGAATTTAAGAGCGAGCTGAAAGCATCCAAGCGCTGTTCTGATGACATATAAATTTATCTTTCAAAACGACTCTGCACAATTTTCAGAACTGGTGTTACAGAAGATACTGAAGCTTTCAAAAAATTACTTCATGTGTTAGCCATCCTGATCTTTCCTTCATGAACGACTTATATGTACTCTAATGAACCTTCTCCCCTCTTAAAGGCACATGTCCCTTTTAAAGTGATTTATGGGTTTCCTATTTGGGTTTTTCTTCTAGTGGTGAAATGTGCACTTGAAGTATAATCACCAACCTTTTATTAACAAGGAGACAATTGAAACCTTATATGGTGGAGATGCATGTGTGCATTGACCACAAAGTTTGGTTCAGACTCTAATTTGGTGCTCCTTAAAACAACCTAACCCAGCAATTTAGAGGCCCCCCAATTTACTTCAGGGATCCAGGCTTGCCTCATTTCCTCTGCTGCATCTCATATAAGGAAATAAACATGAACTAAAACTATTTTTTTTAAAAATTGAACAAAAATGTGTGTAATTTTGAAGCATGGTAGCCTCTAGACTGCCAGATTGCAGACAAGTTGGTCCTTGGGGTTTTATGTTGGAAGATGTGATTCGCCCCACCCCACCCCTGGACTTAACTTTAGCTATGGCTATTTTTAGTATGGCCAAACTGGATGGAATTTGCAGGCATGGTTGCCCCTTCTGAGAGCATGAATCCTGCCAGATTTCAGAAGGATAACTGATTTCTCTACAAGGACAGCTATTACAGTTTCGGGGTGGGTGATGAGCAAACCACTTAATCTCCCCATGTGTTTTATGGACCATTGTTCTGAAAAGAGCAGATGTGAAGGAGGTTGCCTCTGGATAAGAAAACTGCTGGATTTCAGGCAAATAGGTCTGGGGACTTTTAAAGCTGATTTTTGGGTAGGAAGACCAGATAATAATAATAATAATAAATTTTATTTATTTATACCCCGCCCTCCCCAGCCAAGGCTGGGCTCAGGGTGGCTAACAACCAATAATAAAAACAGCTGAATGAATACAACTTAAAAACAAGATTAAAATACAACATTAAAACATTAAAACAATTAAAATTAAAATGCAGCCTCATCACAGGAGGAGAAAGGAAAAAGAAAGAGGGGGAGGGAATCAAATTGACTCCAAGCCAAAGGCCAGGCGGACCAACTCTGTCTTACAGGCCCTGCGGAAAGAAATCAGATCCCGCAGGGCCCTGGTCTCATGAGACAGAGCGTTCCACCAGGCCAGAGCCAGTGTTGAAAAAGCCTTGGCTCTGGTTGAGGCTAATCTAACTTCCTTAGGGCCCGGAACCACTAGGGTGTTGCTATTTATGGACCTTAAGGTCCTCCGTGGGGCATACCGGGAGAGGCGGTCCCGTAGATACGATGCCTATGGGAAGCTCAAAAGCAGGACCTGGGTGAAACAGCACTAATCCCACTTGCCATTCCTAGCAAGTGGTATTCAGAGGCATAATGTCTCCCACAGTGGAAACAGAACATAGTCATCATGACTAGTAACCATTGATTGCCTTTATTCTCTTTTAAAGCCATCCAAGTCTATGACAATCACAGCCTCTTGTAGGAGAAAACTCCACTGTTTGCGCACTGAGTGAACTTTATTTTTTCTGTCATGAATCTTCCAAAGTTCAGCTTCATTGGACGGCCCCAAGATTTTGTATTATAATTGAGGGAGGAAAACGTTTTTCGATCCATTTTCTCCACATCAGGCATATTATTGACAACCCCAGTCACCTCCCCCACCCATGTATTGATGTTTTCTTCCTTAACCAAAAAGCGTCAAAGGTTTGCTCCAACCCTTTGAGCATGATGGTTGCCCTTTTCCAGCTCTGCAATATCCTTCTTGAGGTGAGATGACCAGAAAGACACAAGTTCTAAGTACCGTCTCACCATAGATTTGTATGATGGCATTCTAATATTGGCAGTTTTATTTTCAATCTCTTTGCTAATTATCCTTAACAAGAATTTTGCCCTTTTCATAGCTACCACATACATGGCCAACACATTCATCAAGCTATCCACTGACCTGGGGCATTCAGTTTTCCATTTTTCTCTGCTAGGTGACAATGATTTATTTATTTCTGGAATCCTTATAATAAAGCTATGTTTGAGCTGCTAAAAGACATATTTAGTCATTTTTGAAGAATGATGTGATAGAGGAAGATAGTCTGGCTACAGATCAGGAAACTGGGAAAAGAAATATACGGATTATTAATCATGTCTGGATGACTTACATTTACACCTGGGATACCCCAGTATAGGATGATTGCTGGGATGTGAATAAATGTTAGGAGAGGATATATTTATTAGATAAAACAAAATTTTAAAATTACTTCCTGTAGCACCTTAGAGACCAACTAAGTTAGTTATTGGTATGAGCTTTCATGTGCATGCACACTTCTTCAGATACACTGAAACAGAAGTCACCAGACCCTTATATAGAGAGAGAGGGTGGGGAGGGGTATTACTCAGAAGGGTGGTGGGAATGGGTGATTGGCTGATAGGTGTGGTAAACCTGTTGACGACTGTTAACAACTGCAATTGCTCTTACAGGAAAAAGCAAGGGGTGAGATGGCTAAAAATAGCTTTATCAAGTATAATGAGATAAGAATCCAATGTCTCTGTTGAGACCAGGTCTCTCCGTGGTTTTACAATCTTGTAAAAGGTAAAGATAACATTTTCTCATCCAAAATACTTGTTGAAGAATAAAACAGCAGCTTTGTTCAGGCAGGCTTAAAATGGTAATTCAGTTATGGAGACATACTTAAGTCTAGCTTAAGATGGAATCTGAGAATTGGACCTTAGACTTAGCCTCTGAAAAGGAGAATGTGCCCAGGCAGGTAAGAGAATATTTATGGCTACGCCCTCCCCCTATCACGGCACAGTGAGAGTGTCTCTCACAGTGTTCTCTCTAGCAAACTTACAGGAAAACTCCATGAGCTTCAGCTCCTATCATGTGCCTATCTAGCAAGACACAAATTGTTGGTTTGAGTGCATTTTAAATATCCCACAACGATAAACAGGGTAAGTTCACACAATCTATTTACTGGGCCTTTGTAAATCGACAGGATACTCATTCTCTCCACTGTGCAGATGATAGCCTAGGCATTCAATGAAAATTGTTGTTTGTGTGAAAGACTCATAATTGTGAAAGAGAGAAATGTCCATGGTTGAGTATCTGAATGATCAGGTCAACATAGAACACCCGTCTCATATGTTTACACTGAAGTGTAGGTGGGTTCCCACGGGGCAAGACACAGCGATAATGGCAAGAACCTTCATTGAACTACATAACTGGGAAATAGGTGCAAAGCAACTGCTTATATACATTCCTGAAAGCCTGGGCCACTCCCACTCCCAGTGTGATTGGCTGTCTGAACTTCCAAGCTGCAAATTACGACTCAGAGGTCAAGGGCCAATGGCAGAGGCCCAAATCCTGAAATGTTCTGTGACTGGACATCATGTATCGAATCAGAACACAGGAGCTCAGAATCCTTAGTCCAGACTTAAGCTCAGGCAAACACAGACCACTGAATACATAACATACACCATCTACATGGTAGAGGAGGTGGAATGGATTAGTCATCCGACATGTGCAGACTCACTGAGGTGTGGAAACAGGGACACATACTTTTGATGTAGCCTACCATGCCTGACCTCCTTCATGGATCACTGCCTACTTTCTTGGGCTCCATGATCACTGCAGATGGTGACAGCAGTCACGAAATTAAAAGATGCCTGCTTCTTGGGAGAAAAGCGATGACAAACCTAGACAGCATCTTAAAAAGCAGCAACATCACCTGGCCAACAAAGGTCTGATAGTTAAAGCTATAGTTTCCCAGTAGTGATATATGGAAGTGAGAGCTGGACCATAAAGAGGGCTGATCGCCGAAGAATGGATGCTTTTAAATTATGGTGCTGGAGGAGACTCTTGAGAGTCCTGTGGACTGCAAGAAGTTCAAATCTATCCATTCTGAAAGAAATCAGCCCTGAGTGCTCACTGAAAGGACAGATCCTGAAGCTGAGGCTCCAGTACTTTGGCCACATCAGAGAAGAGAAGACTCCCTAGAAAAGACCCTGGTGTTGGGAAAGATTGAGGGCACAAGGAGAAGGGGATGACAGAGGACGCAATGGTTGGACAGTGTTCTCAAAGTTACCAGCATGCGTTTGACCAAACTGCGGGAGGCAGTGGAAGACAGGAGTGCCTGGCGTGCTCTGGTCCATGGGGTCACGAAGAGTCGGACACGACTAAACAACTAAACAACAACAACCATGCCTGACATTGGCAGCTGGCATGCCTGTGTACCTGCTGGAGCTCACATATATATAGAAGACAACTGCTCACCAGAGACACCCAATCTGACCGATAAAGCAGAAGATGGTTGTCACTCCTCCTCCTCACTGAGAGAGCGAATGAGAGGGAAGAGGACAGAGGTGGAGGATAATTGCTGAAAAGAATAAATGGGTACCATGGCCAAGATCTCTCTCATGCCCCTCTTTATATCTCGAAGAGCGGCATTTTTACAAAAACAGCAGTGTGAAGCCAATCAAGCATTAAGCCTGTTCCATCACTAGATCGTGTGATTGCATGTACTGCACAGACGTTCCAGAGACCTTCCTTTTGTGTCCGTGATTGATAGCAAGGCATTTGGAGGAATTTAGAGGAAAGAGGGTTTATTTCATAATGTATTTTCTAAAGGGGGAAAAATGAACCATAATAGTAGGCAATCATCTGCTTGAATGGGTGGATTTACATCTTCAGTGAAAGGGCTAAAAGAAATGCCGCAAAGATGCCCATCTGTCTTTTGGTTTTGTTTTTTAAATTATTTGCCATAGATGTCAAAGGATTATTTTTTTAAAAAAAATAAACTAAGCTATGCAAATGTGTTCCTTGCACACTGGGGTTGATTTGTAGATTTCATTTTGCCCAAACTGCGTTTGAGATACAAACAATTATATCCAGTTATTACATTTTCTTAGACCTTGCATTTGAAAGCAGCCTTCAGTTATCAGACCTTTTAGCTTCATAGGAGGCAATGTTTGCTTTGGTTTGCTTTTGCTTCTGCACAAGATACAGAAAGCAAAATGTCATGTTGCATGCCAACAGACAAGAGGTAGGGCTTATACCTCCCCACTGTGCAAGTCACTCACAGTAAGAAACCTCAGAGAACTTTGGTGATATCTACGTTTCTATGGATGAACATACGCTTGCAGAATACTTGGGATTTGAAAAGGCCCAAAGTGAGAAGTGGAGCAACATGCTGTTGTTGATTTTTGTACTTATAAAGCACCTTATTTTTTCTAAGCACTGTGCACATATTAAAAGATGAGGGCATCCCTGCCCAGATGCTCACAATCTAATAAATAAGATGCAAAAGGAATAAGAAGGGAAGAGGAAAACGAGTATTGGAATAATTGCTCCCACACTGACCAGTGAATGGAGCCAGACTGACTTTGTCACTACAGTGGTACCTCGGGTTACATACGCTTCAGGTTACATACGCTTGAGGTTATAGACTCTGCTAACCCAGAAATAGTGCTTCAGGTTAAGAACTTTGCTTCAGGATGAGAACAGAAATCGTGCTCCGGTTTCAGGTTAAGTACGGACCTCTGGAATGAATTAAGTACTTAACCTGAGGTACCACTGTATGTTCTTTCTGGGAGGCAAGGGAATGCTTTCTCTGAACGTGGAACTTTTTGTAGCCGAAACAACACCATTCAGGCACAAGAAAGAGCTATCACCAGATGGGCAGCAAGTAGGGCAGAACTTCAAGGTTTCAAGGACAAAATAATTGAGGAGGAACCTCTGCAAAAACAAAACAAACCCCTCTCCATTGAGGACTGAGCCTATCCAGTAGCCACAGAATGATGCTCACTGACAGTTGAAGTGTGTGGCATACAAAACCAGGCAGAGGGGAATTGGAATGGAGGTTTTTTTGTCTTTAAAAAAAATGATTTTGTTGTGTGTCAATAGTTGGTTTCCATATTGTATCAAAATTAGTCAAAGTGGTTCACTACAAGTAGTATATAATATTTTTAAAAATAACCTATTTGTCTCTGTGCATACACCAATTATTATTTATTATTCCATTTATTATTATTGCATTTACATCCCACTTCCCCCCTCCGTTTGCTTACAAATACAAAACCCAACGTAAAAAACAAAAGTGATTTAACTGTTACCATGCAACTTAGCAAACTAAAAACAACAGCAAAACTCAAGAAGAACAGATAGCTAGCCAGATCATTCTGATTGCAAATATTGGATGGCTACACTGGCTGGGTCTGATGAAAGTTGCAGTCTAAAACAGGAGGTGGAGGGAAAAGGGAGCACCAGGTTTGAGAAGGCTGGTGCGGATACTCACCATCATTTCCTTGCAGGTTGAGAAGTTGCCTGATCTCATCACGTGCTTTTCCCTTGGCTCCTAAGTGGATTGTCCCGAGGGCCAACAAAACTCCAAGTGGAGAATAGAGAATGTTCTCATTTTTCCGGGAGACAGAAAGAACCCGGGACAAATCCACTGCCAAGTGTGCAGTGCTTTCAGCCACAGGTTGGGAGGTATGGCTTCTGGTGAGGTGGATTCCGGTGACAGCAAGGAGAAGGCTCGGAAGTAGAGCTCTCCTCATTGTACTGCAGAATGCTCGGTAGCTCCTTGAGCTGTTGAATTGTTGGAAAGGAAGTTTAATAATGCATAGTCAAATTGCTACCATTCCCTTTTAGGAATTATCCTCTTCCTGCCACCCCCCAACACAATGAAATCTTCACTTAGATTTTGTTTCCAGAATAACCTCATACAAGAGGCTGCTATTTTCAAAGTACACCTTCCCTTTTGGAAGGGGGGAGGGTGCCTTCCCAGCACCGCACATCCTTATCCAACTAGCCCTTCTGCTGTCTTCAGGGGACTGGAGGAGAAGAAGAAGAGTTTGGATTTGATATCCCGCTTTATCACTACCCGATGGAATCTCAAAGCGGCTAACATTCTCCTTTCCCTTCCTCCCCCACAACAAACACTCTGTGAGGTGAGTGGGGCTGAGAGATTTCAAAGAAGTGTGACTAGCCCAAGGTCACCCAGCAGATGCATGTGGAGGAGCGGAGACGCGAACCCGGCTCACCATATTACGAGTCTACCGCTCTTAACCACTACACCACACTGGCTCTGGAAGGAAGGAATTGTAGTGTATTTGCAAATGCAATACATATTACGTTTGATGTAAGCAAGTGTAAAAGGATGAGCAATGAGAAGGGGAATAAAACACCCTGTCATAACATATAGGTAAAGGTAAGGTAAAGGACCCCTGGACAGTTAAGTCCAGTCAAAGGTGACTATGGGGTTGGGGCGCTCATCTTGCTTCAGGCCAAGGGAGCTGGCGTTTGTCCACAGACAGCTTTCCGGGTCATGTGGCCAGCATGACTAAACCATATTGGCGCAACAGAACACCGTGACGGAAACCAGAGTGCATGGAAACATCGTTTAACTTCCTGTCACAGCAGTACCTATTTATCTATTTGTACTAGTATGCTTTTGAACTGCTAGGTTGGCAGGAGCTGGGACAGAGCAACGGGAGCTCACCCCATCGTGGGGATTCGAACTGCTGACCTTCTGATATACACTAGTGGGGTTATGACCATATACACAGGTCTTGGGGTTGTGGTGGATAGGAACATAAGAAGAGCCCTGTTGCATCCGGCCAAAAGTCCATCTACTACAGCACCCCGTTATCACAGTAGCCAGCTAGATACCTATGGAAAGCCTGCAAGCAACAAACCTCTTTCCACTTGTAAGTGTTACCTTTGTACAGTAGGCTGCTTTCAACACCCACTCACCCACTCTATCCAAACAAGCAAGAGGCATTGGCAGAGTTCAAGGACCTGTTCTAGCCAGGCAAGAATGCTTAGGGTTCAAAGCAGGACCAGCGAGGGCTGTGGCTTGCAGAGAGTTCCAGGTAAGAGAGGCCTGAAGGGAAGCATTTGGCCTCTGGGTCTGAGGTTCTCAACCCCTGTTCTAAACTACGCAGGACTTCCTTATGAGTAAACTGCAGGCTTGTTTAAGCCTCTTACTATTAGATTCCTGGTAAGTCCCCTTATATCACTTTTAAAAGAATGAACACGCCACAATCTTGTTTAAAGTATATAAAAGAAGTTTACTCACATCATCAGTTCACAGTTGGATCCCTGAAGGCAGACTTAGTTACAAAGTATATACATGTGGGTCTATCCCATATGGAGATAGTCCCTTTGTCCTCTGAAAGCCAACAGAGCATCTCTAGCCATAAAGCTGCTGGTCCAACGAAGGAGGAAGTCAAAGAGAGAGAGATGGCTGCGTACCTTGTTCTTTTTGTTACCTTGACAGGTAAGGTCATGCCCATGCAAGAGGAAGTATGTCTCAGCCCAGGAGGAAGCAGGAAGTTCCGACTGGCTGAATCAAACATCCCCCTGCATGTCCACTCTAGGAAAACAAGGAATGTTGTATTTGACTGCTACTTATGTATCACATCCCACATAAACTCATTTAGAGCTGGGCTTTTAAGATACCGCTCAGTGGACAATATTCAATTCCAAAGGAACAGCCACCTTCCTTTCACAAATGCAGTTTCTCTGACAAAGTAAAGCTTTCTTTCCCTTATGCTCTATCACCAGCGCCTTTATCGCACCCATAAATCAAAGATCCATTTGAAAGGCAGAGCGAATACAGACTCCTACGCCGTGTTAAAAAGGTGATGGAGACATTTTCATATCCTCATGCAGGGACGATGTCTGCAGTCGCAAGCCGCCAGCAATATTTATTCTGAATGGCCATTTAAGACACTCCCAACATAACTTAATTTTCTTTTCCACTGATGGAAATTACCGTGCTGGAGTTCCTGGCATCAATGATCAGCAGTGCTGTTTTGCCACTGATAATTAATGGTTTCGTGGTAAATAATGGATGCAGCTGCAGAGCCATTTGGCATATCCGTAATGTGAGGTCTGCTTCCCGGCGTTAATGAAACCGACATCCCAGCATAACCTGTGTTTAGGGTCAGTCAAGCTGTTTGGGGAGTAGGTGAGTGGGCAGATGAAGAAGAAGAGGAAGAAGAAGAAGAAGAAGAAGAAGAAGAAGAAGAAGAAGAAGAAGACAGCCCTCTTGTAGCATTGATCAGTTGTATAATGAAAGTGCGTGTTATGCAGGGTGGAGAAGAGCTATACTAGGACTGAAATACAGTGGTACCTCAGGTTAAGTACTTAATTCGTTCTGGAGGTCTGTTCTTAACCTGAAACTGTTCTTAACCTGGAGCACCACTTTAGCTAATGGGGCCTCCTGCTGCCGCCGTGCCGCTGGAGCATGATTTCTGTTCTCATCCTGAAGCAAAGTTCTTAACCTGAGGTACTATTTCTGGGTTAGTAGAGTCTGTAACCTGAAGCGTATGTAACCCAAGGTACCACTGTACGTACATTTGCACTTGAAAATTCTCCTCTGAACATTGGCAGGGGGTGATGGAGAAGTGGAGAAGCAGTTTTGGGTACAGTTTGGAGTAAAGTGGCAGGAAAGGAGAGGGTGAAGCATATAACATAGTGTCATAATTTTTCCTTTAAGGCTGTCTCCCAAATATTTTCTTTAAGCCATGCGACTGGGCAGAGTATTAATATTTATTTATTGCATCTATATCCCACTTTTCCTCCAAGGAGCTCAAGATGATCACATGGTTCCACCCTCTCGTCATTTAATCCCCACGATAACCCTGCGACGTAGGTTAGGCCAAGAGGCTGATCCAAGGATACCAGATGAGCTTCATGGCTGAGAGGGGATTTGAACCCTGGTCTCCCAGGTCCTAGCCCAATGCTTTAACCACTAAACCACACTAGCTCTCTTTACAGGTTTCTTTATCAATACAAAACTTTAATATCCTGTCCATCCTCCAATTTGGGGGTGGCTAACAACAATAATTTAAAAAAAAAAAAAGCTAGCCAAATTAAAACAATGTTTGCAATGTTTGCCTTGGCCCTGAGAGTTCTCCCGTATCTTTAAGTATGGCAAACAAGGAGAAAATAATTGCCAGCTGTGGTTTTTCCCATCTGACGTATCTAATCAATTCTTGAACCTATTTTTCTTCTTCTCTGCACAATTAAAGTTGCAAAGTCCTGCAATCCATAAGGCAGGTATGGGGAACCTTCAGCCCTCCAGATGTTGCTGAACTACAACTTACATCATCCATGGCAACATCTGGAAAGCCGCTGGATAATCAAACACACCGCAAAGCAGAAACAACTGAGGATCCAACAAGTGCAGGAAACTGGTTTATTGGTCCAAAATCTTAACACATTTTGAGCAATGCCAGCTGCCCCAGCAAGTGTAAGGAGCTCGTTTTGGAGCTAGTCTTACAGTTCAAAACATATTGGGAATAATGCTTTATACGGGTTGGGTCAATAAGCCAGTTTCCTAAACCTGTGGGAGGTTTTCATTGTTCCTCGTACTCACTTGACAGCAGGGATAGGGAAGCTGAGGCCCCCCAGATGTTGTTGGATTTCAACTCCCCATCAGCCCTGACTTCTGACCATGCTGGCTGGGGTTGATGGAGTCTACCAGCCTTTGGAGGGCCAGCCCTTCTCCACAAGCCAAAAGAGAAGGCAAAGTCCATTACAGACCAAGTGAAGGGAGGGCAGGACACTGTGTTCATGAATCACTTGTCCTGCATGCATGAACTAATTCAGTCCCTGCTTTGCTTCTTCATATTTCAGTACTGGGGAAGCCATGTAGATGCCTCCAGCAGAGCTACCAAAGCCAGGATATTTCAGCACGAGCTGGAACAACATCATTACTTATTTAGAAATGGACTCGTGTGAACTCTTCAGGAGCGGGATCACTTTCTGCTGCAAACTTAGTGCAAAGAGCAAAGCAGAAATACTCCCTGTAACCATGGTGAAAGAAAGGAAAATGACATGGTAATGAAAGGTAGGGCTTATAAGTCACTTGAGCTTTGCATTCATAGCTGCCACTATTGTGCCATCTTCCCCCTTCACTTTTTTAATGACTTTATCAGCACATATAAAAGGCACGTACCTGGAAAACGGCAGCATAAGATTCACCATTCAGCGATTTGCAGAAGGTCTGTGCTTCCAGCGTAGGCTGTCGAGTAATGCAAAGATCGAGGAGAAGGCCAAGGGCGTTTACATGGCAACATTTATTGGGGAAAGCCGCTTGATTAATGAGGCGGGCACATAACAGGTGGTCGCTGAATGTGTTATGAAAGGCTGCTTTTCTTCCCAAAGTGCTGCACTGTTAGATAAACCAAGCAGCTCGCTTTGCAAGAGGCTCAAACATCAGGCCGTTTGTAAGCGTTCCAGCAGAATGGAAACGACGACCGCGAATCTCACGAGGAGCTCCAGAATCCAGTCCAATTTGTTGCTGCTTTACCGTGGGTGTTATTGGCTGGAAAAGTTATTTATACAAATTGCTCCCCTAGTGAACGCTGGGACATAAATGCTCATATCCACCTGTCCAGTGAGCACTTGGCTAGCTGAATGGTTTAATTGTGTATATCCTTATGGACACGTGCATAGATACATTTTGAAACGGGCAGAAATGATGCAGGGGTGTTTAAGAAGGAAAGTCTACATGTAGCAATTGGCCAGAGTCCTTGAGGGCTTAAGTTTGAGACAGCATTCAGCATCGGAATCTATTTTTACTGAAAGCACTCAGTCCTGGTTTGAACAGAGCATAAGCGGAATGACGGGTGGAGGCATTAATGAAATGCAGAAGCCTTACTCCAAGTCCAGGGCCAGTATCAGGTTTCAGGAGGCCCTGGTCAAAGTGCACTCAGTGGACTTCCTCAGTGGGCCCTTGTAGAAGATGCAGAGTCCTCACCATGGTGGTGTTGGGCTTACCAGATAGCAAGCAGAAATATGAAGAATTGAACAACGGGGAAACTGAGAAACTGAAATTGACATATTTGCCCATCCCTAATCAGTGCTGTGCCTACTTAACATTGTTTTGTCCTTTTGCTGTTGCCACCAAAGTTTGTGAAGTCTTAGCAAACCCCACCCCACCCCCAAAAAAGACTGAGGGGCTGATCAGGTCCCCAGGATGGGGGTTCGCCACTCCTGCCCTATTTGGAAACAAATGATCATGTGAAATCAACCTCACCTAGAGGAGCAATAACTTTGGATTTCTGAACCTTTGTTTTCGGAATGGTTAAATATTCATTACATGAGCAGAGGACTGCATAAATATCTTTAATGAATTGCTATTAAGACAATCTTCTTCAATAAAGGAAATGGCTTCCAGTTCTTGTCTGCTTTTTCTCAAGTACATAAACAAATCACAAGTACATGGCAGGCAAAAGACTCAGGCCTGCAGTGCTGACATTTTTTCATCATTTTTTTTTTTTGCTGCATCTCAAAAAGCAGACAAACCTTTAATCCATAATAAATGTAAGAAAAGAAGCAAAACTTATATTCTGACTGTACGACACAAATGCACTTTTTCATTCTGAATTCGGATTTTGAAGCTTCTTGTCGTCCTTTGATTTGGTTAACTGTTCCTCAAACCATTTTTCTTCTAGGGTCTAGCAATGCTGTGCAAAACCTCGCTCTAGCAAAGGAAAAGAAATATTGAGAATGAAGTGAATAGGTTTGTACAACACAAAGACTCCTTGTTTCCACTTAGGTGAAGCATAGTCAAGTTTATTTAGTTTATACAACTTCTATGCAGTGTTAGTCTTGCTCAGAACAGATCCATTGGTTCCATTGTGTCAGGGGACTGCCATCGGAACAAGGGAGGGAGGCAGGGAGGCCGTTGGGATACAGAGAGCCTCTGAAACCCCTGAGGAGCAGTTCCTCTTCCAGCGGTGAGAAAAGCCACACCTCCAGTGGAGAAGAGAGGGAAGGGGCCAGCCACTCGAGGAAAGGGCTCGAGGATGCTGCTGAGAACCCCAGCGCCTCACCTCGCCAGGCTGCCCAGGAGGGACGCAAGCCACTTCCGTCACCCAGCTTGTGCAGAGGCGTGAAATGCAAGGAGGGGAGGAGGAGGTTTGGGGTGCCAAAGTTCTTATGTTGAAGGAGAAGCTGGAAGGGGCCACTCCCGGATTCTGCAAGTGACTAAGACGGACATGAACTTTGTAGATCTACACTGTAAATAGTTTGCACAATTGGTCTCCGACCGTAATAAATTAGAATCATAGAATCATAGAATCATAGAGTTGGAAGAGACCACAAGGGCCATCGAGTCCAACCCCCTGCCAAGCAGGAAACACCATCAGAGCACTCCTGACATATGGTTGTCAAGCCTCTGCTTAAAGACCTCCAAAGAAGGAGACTCCACCACACTCCTTGGCAGCAAATTCCACTGTCGAACAGCTCTTACTGTCAGGAAGTTCTTCCTAATGTTTAGGTGGAATCTTCTTTCTTGTAGTTTGGATCCATTGCTCCGTGCTATCTATCTATCTAGTTTGCACAATAAAACCTGTAAAAGACAGGTCGGAGTCCTGCCTGGTTACTCACGAGCAACCACTATCAGCATCTGACACATTGGTTCCATTGATTCTCCATTCTTCAAAGCCCCAATCAGAAAAAGGTGACTTTACCTCAGGAACACAGGAAGCTGCCTTGTACCCCGTCAGACCATCGGTCAATCTAGCTCAGTATTGTCTGCACTGACTGGCAGTGTCTCCTCAGGGTTTCAGGTCAGGAACTCTCCCAGCCCAACCTGAAGATGCCGGGAATTGAACCAGGGACCTTCTCTATCACTGAGCCATGGACCTAGTGAGGATGTCTGGCTACATCCCTTCAGAGGCCCCATTATCAAGCAAATGTAGACCAATAATAAGCATGCAGTGGAGAGAGCAAAACCACACAAATGATCAAGGATGCATTAAGATATTAAAGGGAGAGGGGAACCAGAAAGGCTTTTAAAAACAAAAAACCTGTAGAATTAGTTTATAGCTAATTCTTTTGGTGAAGTTTAAAGAACTGGGGCAGAGACAAGGAGGAGAAGGTGATCTGGGTCAACTGTTTCCATCCAATTTGTGAGACAGAAGCAAGGGTTTTGCAAAAAAAGCATTGTAATATGATATATTATAACCTAACAAAATGTAATATCAATGTACTGGAGCCGAGATTATGTACAATGTATTATTTATTGGGTGTAACAGGCAAAGTTCTTTTAAAAAGAGAACAGGACATTCTGTGACTGCACAGGACACAAGCTGTGTACTCCGAACCAGTGCTATTTTTCTGGAAAAAGAGGTGCTGGAACTCACCATGAACACCTCCTTTGTTCCCTTATAATAGCAATGGTGCCCACCTGAGAGGTACTGGAACTGAGTTACGGCTGAAAATAGCCCCGCTCTTAACAACAGGGGGAGGGCATCTCAGCTAAGCTTAACACCCCTGGCAGATCCTCTGGCATTTCACAGGGACACACTCCAGTGTATGAGTGGGAGGGGCAGCGATCAAAGTCCAGCGGCATAGCTTGCATGACAAGGTCGACACAATCCATATGCAATCGGAAAGCTGGGACTGGTAGATGGCTCCAGGTGACAAAAGCAGGCAAGCAAGCCATAGACCACTGGTCCCGCTAGCTAGGGATCATGGGAGTTGTAGGCCAAAAATATCTGGAGGGCCGAGTTTGAGGAAGCCTGCCATAGACTATAAAGCAAGTCAAATACATTCTCTCTCTCTCTCTCTCTCTCTCACACACACACACACACACACACACGGAGGGAGGGAGTTTATATGGTTAAGGAATTCGGCATTAACAGGGGATGTTGGCTCCATTTGACAGATGAGGAAGACCAAGGTCCAGCAAGAAGTCGAGCACTCTAACCATTACACAACACTGTGTCTCAGTTTTCAGTTTTCAGTTCCATGGCAAAGCAATTGCATAGCAAACAGTGGGGGCTTCCATGGTGGACAAATCCAGGATTTCCAAGGGAATTTTGTTGTTCCCTATCTTTTATCTAGGGAAGCTCTCTCACACGCAGGGTCTGTAGACTTTCTTTAGAGGAATTACCTACCCAACCCCTTTATCACCTCAGAAGCTGTCTTTAGACTCTTTCCCCTGCCTCCTTCTCAACGGGCCAACGCTTGCCTCATGTCATCACCAGGTGGCATCCTTCATACCTACCTCCTTTTTTTGAGGCAAAGCTTGATTCATTTTCCTTTCAACTTCCCTTGCTTTCTCTCGTTTGTTATCCTGCCTCTGTTGCACATTTCCTCATGCAGCTGCCTTGATTTTTTTTCACGGTCCAGAATTTCTTTGGGGAATAAGTTCTTTTCATCAAATGCAGCTTTCAGGGCTACAGGACGAAAATAAAGAAAATTCATAAATAACCCCATTACAACGGGACCGGTTCATCTTTATTTTAAGAGAGAGAGAGAGAGAGGAAGAGAGAAGACTTGTGGTGAATATGAAAATGAATGAGAGGAAGAAAGCAATACAAAACACAGCCTATTTATTGGTAAGTCGTCATCCTATAGCAATTAAGAAACAAAAAACCCCTTTGGTTTAACATGTTAAGGGCTTTCTGTGTTCACATAAGCTCCAAAATGCTGGGGAAAGCTGTTAAGTTGCATGTATCCAGCTGGCAAATAATACCACTCACATAAAAATCCATTCATGTAGAATTAAAGGTAAAAAAGAGGGGGAAGGACCCCTGGATGGTTAAGTCCAGTCAAAGGCGACTATGGGGTTGTGGTGTTCATCTCGCTTCAGGCCGAGGGAGCCGGCGTTTGTCCACAGACAGCTTTCTGGGTCATATGGCCAGCATGACTAAACTGTTTCTGGCACACGGAGGACTGTGATGAGTGCCAGAGCGCATCACATGACGTTTACCTTCCCGTAGTAGTGGTACCTACTTATGTACTTGCCTGATGTGTTTTCAAACTGCTAGGTTGGCAGAAGCTGGGACAGAGCAATGGGAGCTCACCCCACTGCATGGATTCGAACCGCCGATCAGCAAGCAAAAGTGGCTCAGTGGTTTAGACAAGTGTTTCCCAACCTTGGGCCTCCAGCTGTTTTTGGACTACAACTCCCATCATCCCTCGCTAGCAAGACCAGTGGTCAAGGATGATGGGAATTGTAGTCCAAAAACAGCTGGAGGCCCAAGGTTGGGGAACACTGGTTTAGACCACAGTGCCACCCGCTCCCTTGTAGAATTACTAGGGGCCTTGCCCCAGCTCACTTCACTCGTCAACCCTGCCAACCGCTTTCCCAATCTCCATCCCCTTTTAAAGAAGTGGGCACTTTGCTAAAGTGCTTTGTAAAGCACCTCTCCCTCCTGGGTTAAACACCTGTGACCAGTGCTGCTTCCTTGATCTCCTGCCTGCTGTTGGCTCACCCACTGGAGGCCACACAAACCGCAGACCTAGATCTCTGTGTATGTGAATAAGAAGGTGGCTGCAGCTGAACCATAACTTCAGCTACATAGGCTTCCATGTGCCTATTCAAGTGAACAGACAAATCCAGGACTTAGGATTCACCACTGACTCCAAAATTATATTGTCCAGTTGGTGCATGAAAGAGCTTCATATCAGAGGCTGTATTCTTCCTCACTTGAATATTCCACTCACCTCCATCCATTTTAAGGGTGAGGAGAAGGGCTCAAACTGCATAGCAATATGACTTCCAAAGTAAACATTGAGGTTTACACATTTTTATGACAATGAGAGATTGATCACCCTGGATACCAAAACAAAAACCTTCTGAATCTTTAATGGTTGCAAACTCCTTACTGAAAGTTAACATGAAAGCTTATTTAGTCTTAGTTAGCTTATTTAGTGCCTAAAACAGGAGTTTCAGGAGGATTAATGAGAAAAATTCTGAAGTGCTTCATATAAATTTAATAATAGCATTTTGTATCCAAAGCTCCTGGGGAGCAGGGAAAGATCCAAAATTCTGGCAAGATTAACGACAGCAAAGAAAAATCAGCATTTTGCCAACTAAGATGATGCACCTGGCTAGTCAAAAAAGCTCTTTGGGAATTGATCCAGCCTCCAAAAGGATTATATTTTAATTTTTTTAATTGCTTTTTGGAGCCATGTGGGGGCTGTCATTGGGCTGTGCTGAATCATCAGCATAAACTCCCATTTAATTCTCTCCTTTTTCCCCCTCAGGGGGCTTTCCATCTAATTCTCTGTTGCCTCTTCTTATCTAGCTGGAAGATATATTTTTCCCTCAATCAAGTCAGGAGTTCTGATGCTGAGATATGAAAATAGCCTTTCTCCTGCACCAGCTCCATTCACTGTTATAGCCTACGAATGATCTGAGGAAGCCTTTGGTGAAGAATCTGCTGCCACGAAGGCAGTCTCTTCTGAGCAGCACTATGCTAAACACTTCTTCTGATGTCCCCACAACTATTCTCCATCAATCAACAAAGGGGTAGGGAACCTTTTACAGCCCAAGCACCACCTTTTTTTCTGAGCAACCTTCCAGGGAGCCACTTACCAGTGGTGGGTATGGCTAGAGACAAAGGTGAGTAGAGCAATGAACACAAAATTTACCTTTGTACAGTAGGCTAAGGAGCAGGTGGGGCTTGTCAACCTAGGAAGGCCAGGAGAAGGAAAACTCTGATTCTAACCCTCTGCTGCCTTGAGAGACATATTCAGGAGAAGAAAGGGCTAAGAAGTAAACCCTACACAAATCCAGAGTGGAGTCCCTAAGACAGTTGGCTAGTGGCTTGTACGCCTCCTTCCAGCAACTCCTGCCAATCTGGTGCCATACGTATTTCTCAACTTTCCTATGGACCACGTAAGCAAGGCCAAGAGGGGAGTCTTGTTGTCTGGACAACTCCGGATGTCCAGACACACTGCCCAGGCTTGCGCCCCGAGAAGGTCACTTCAGAGCTGCTAACACAGCAGTTTGACTTCCGCCCCAGAGGCGCACTCCATTGTCTCTCAAGATGGACAGATACCAGCAAGAAAGGTTGGCTAGTTTCTGCACACTCTAATGCACCCGTCTTTTTCTTCCATCCAGGCAAGCAGGAAACATTATCAGAATTCAAGAACACTCATTGAGGGCTGATGGAGTGGCTTAGAAGTGTGTGTGACCTGGCTTGGACTGCCACCTTCAGCCCTCAGACCTGTGGTTGCCCATCCTTGAGGGTACTTGTGTTGAGAAATCACGTTCAAAAATTAGCCAAGGGGAGAGAGAGAAATGAGTGGAATTCTTCTGGGTGCAGTGGAAGGGTCTTTTGTCAACAATTATTTTATTTTCTAAAAGTGATGTTTGCTGTTGAAGAATTCAGTGTGGGCAGATGTTCGCTTGTTTTTGAGCAAAAAGAATGGACTTCCCTTAAAAACTAGCTAGAAGAAGGGAGGGAGGGTAAGAAACCAGGAACAGGTGTGATGTCATTGTTTTGTGGAAGGGAAAACACAGGCTCAGAAAGGATCTTGGGCAGCAGGCCTAGGGAAAGCACCACTTCAGCCTGTGCAGATCTGCTGTGGTCTGGCTGGCCAGTACTGGGCTTAATGGAATCTGGATAAAGCAGTTCATCAAGCCCCTTTGTCATAGCTGTCAACTTTCAGATTTGAAAATAAGGGATCAGCAGCCTCATCTGTCCCGGGGACAGTCTACGGGATATCTAACAATCCAGGATAGCAGTGGGAAACAGCGCTGGAATAAGGGAATTTCCCGCCAAAAAAGGGAAGGTTGACAGCTATGCCCATTGTGTTCATGCAAAAGACCTCCAGTGATCAGCTACCAACAGCAAGAGGCAGCTCCCTCCTGCCACTCCTACTTGGGGGCTGCTCATGAACTGGAGCTCCTTCCTGGAGACTTTTGCTCTGGCCAGCAAAACGGTCCTCGTATCTTTGGCTGGGCAAAGCTACAAAGCAAAGGAGTCTCGCAGTTCCGAAATCCACCTGTGGCTGACTCAAGAAGACTTTAGGCAGGGACTGGACCACAAGCTCAACATCCGCTTCAGGCCATCCTGGATAACAATAATGAACACCTCACACAAGATGTTGCACGTACAGAAAACATCTCATGGGAGCAAATTCCACCATTTAACCATGCACAATATATTCATTTGTCTGCCCAATACTATCTGTCATGGTGGCAGCAGCGTATCTCCTATCCCAGCAGAGTAACTGAGCATCCACCATACCCTTTGATCCTTCAGTGGTCACAGCTTGAGTACAGGCTTGCTCTGCAAGCGCCCTAACCATTTGACCACGGCAAGTGACATATTTAACATGCCAACCTTGTTTACGGCTTGGATTGCCTGCTTCCAGCAACTTCCTGGCTTGTCACATCCTCAAAGGCTTGCCAGTGGCCAAGTGATAAATTCTAGACTTTCCTATTACCGTTACTTTCTTTTAAGAGAGATAAGCTGGTGACCTTTATTTTTGCCTCTTGCTAGCAGGAGCTAGAGTAATGAGGATATAATGAAGGTCTACTTACTTGCCGAAAGGGTAGGCAGCTTTAAATCTTCAGAGTCCTTCTCCGCCAACTTTCCCCCAAAGTATTTGTCAGGGTGCAGAAGAAAGTCGCTCTCATTCATTTCTGTCGTCTCCTCCAGGGCTTCAATATTTAATGACCTAAATACAACTTTTCAAACCAGAGGATTATTCCAAAGGCAGAAAATCATTTCACATATCAGCACAATTGCAGTTGAAGCAAAGCTAATGTTTTGTGCCTAATCATACTATGCCACTTCCACAACTGAGAAATATTCAGCTGGATAAACACAGATGCATATGCAGCGAGATTCACTGGCCATTTTTTATTAAGTTCTGCCAAGGAAAACTCTTAATCTTCCGCATTAAGAAAGGGAGGGCCATAACCCTTAATTTTAATTAACAGGCAAGTTTTCCAAGCAGACGTCACGAAATCTGTCATTTACATAAGATAAATATGATTCTTTTCATTGAGGTTTCCCATCAATGGGAAGTTCTTGACTAGTTCTTGCAATTTATCCCTTGGCTGGGACCCAACAAGCCATGCTGGGGCTTTTCAGCTATTTCCTTCCAGTGACAGTCTCCCGCATTCCATCCCCCAAACCAATCCTGCCCCCCGCAAAATGTGAGGGGAGTGAAGGCATGGCATTCTATGAGGTATGAGCAGGGGTTCACCTCTCAGGTGGGTGCCATTGCCATTATAGGAGAACAAGGGAGGCATTCATGGTGAGTTCTGGCCCCTCTTTTCCTTGAAAAATAGCACTGGGTGGGAGGCGCTGCATCAAGGATGGAATACATCAGCAGCCCACGTTGTATGCAGGCCCAGTATGGGACATCCCATGCTCTCACAAAACTCCAAACTCCCATAGCACTAGCAGCAATTTCTACAAATATCTGAATTCATTTCTTTGAGCCCGGGATGGGCAACCATTTTTTCTTTTGTAGGCCTGATTCCCTCAGGTGCAATCTATCAGAAGTCACATCCCAACTGTGGGTAGGGTCAAAGTCAGGAATGGGTGGGGCCAGAAGCCTATCCCTTCTTCCTTTTTCTTTTTCTTCTTCCCCAACCAGAAAGGAGATTGTTAGCCGCTTTGAGACTCCTTAGGGTAATGATAAAGCGGGATAGCAAATCCAAACTCAACTCAACTCAACAAGGACTGGTGGCTCTTGCCATAGGTAAGGAACATAGGAAGCTGCCTTATATCAAGTCAGAACAATGGTCCATCTAGCTCACTATTGTCCAGGTGTTTCAGGCAAGGAATTTCTCCCAGCCTTTCCTGGAGATGCTGGGGGGTTGAACCTGGGACCTTCTGCATGCAAGGCAGATGCTCTTACCACTGAGCTATGCCCCCCCCCAGGTCTGAATGATTGCTTGAGACTGCTTTTGAACTTGGGACTGAAGGCTGCCCTGCATTAGGCTGAAGGATGCCCACCCTTGCTTTAAGCCAACAGATTGGCTGCATCCACTAAGATGTCCAAATGTTGCTGAATTCATCAAATTAATGACATACCTGTTGGCTTTATCACAGCAGTTCTGTTGAAAACAGTATGTTTTCTTCTCTTCTGTGTTTTCCCCTCTTTGTATCTTTTACCTAATATTGTGTTGTCCCATATATTCAGCCTGGACAGACAGAAATCAAAAAGCAAAATGAACTGACATTCCACAATTTGTTTTATGGCGTTCCTGAACTGCCCTTCTGTGTACAAAGGATCACGACTTCTGAAGATGCATACACTTTTATTTAATGGTATAATACAGCACTAGGATTAGAGGCCAAATGGTATGTTTACCCTGAAGTGTAGTTCACTATCCATCCCTCTCAGTCGGCTTAACAGGGCTGAACAAATCAGATGGATGAATCAAACAAAGCAACCAAAGAAAATATTTCATAGCGCCAATGCTGAGTATTGTCAGATTCCTATAACACCCAAACAGAAGCTCTCAGGATGAGACAGAGGTGAACCTAAAGTTTGAGACCATGCTGTAAGGCTAAATCAAAGAACTGTCAAGAGACAAGGCTTCTTCACAGAAGAGGCTTCAATATATTTAAATATTTTAAATGAACAAAATAAATCTTTAATTGGTTTGCGGCACCAGTACTATGCACATTTAGCTGGGAGTCAGCACCGATGGAGCTAAATTCCAGATAAATGTGCACAGGACTGCAGTCTTAATTATTTAAACAACTAAACCTCGATATCATTTTTGCTAATGTATGCGTTTTTACACAAAATTCCTCCTAATACGTGCGTTTAATTTGTAGACATTTTTGGGTTGTGAAACTGCATCACAAAAATCAGAGGGTACGTTTTGAAGAATAGCCTTGCTTCGGTTTGCATATTGTTTTGGTCAGAGCAAGTTGGGCAGGGGGTGCATTGAAAACCAAATTCCTTTCCCGTTCCTGCCTTAGGACATGAGACGACACTGAGCAAATCAGTCTCCTGAAACCAGCACACCAGTTGCACACCAACCATCAGCACCGATCCTGCTGTGCGGATCCTCAACTGTTGCTGCGCTCAGCATCTTTTCCTGCCCAAGCGCATCAAGCTCCAGGCAAAAGGGTCATAGGAATTATTCCCTGGGGAGCTGTGGCAGTATAGGAAGGTTACATTCTTTTGCCCAAGGTTATTAAAATGTTTAATAATACAAAGGCTTCATTATGTTACATCAAGGAAGTTATTTAAAACTGAGGAAGCACTTAGCCAGAGTTTAATTTTACTGTTCTTATGCTCTGGCACAGTATACATTACAAAGCCCCATGAAAGATTTATACATTTTAGAATGTATGAGCTCATTCGGAATCAAAGAGCCTCGCACCTCTAACCTCTCAGCCGTTAGAAGCGCAAAATTAGACCAGTTTGCCATAAAGAGTATTTCTGTATATCGTTGCTATGAAATGAGGATGCTGTAAAACCTATTTCTAAAGCAGAACACAGCACGTTGTCATGGAATATCTGCACACAGGACTGCCACCTTCCTTCCTCGTTCTGCTCCTGTGCTTTTACGCCATGGCCGAAGCTTTTGCTGCAATGTATTGGGCTGCTATGTGTCAGGGGCCAAAGGAAATACTTGCCTTGTACAGTATACGCAGGATCAGGAGAGAAAAGGCAAAATAAAATCATTGGGTGGCCAGAACTAAACGTCAGATGCATCACAATAATTACCAGTTACAATTTCTTGGAAAATAAGAGAGCCTTGATCCGGGACCCAAAACTGACTGTATAAGTGAGGATGGCATGTGAGTTTACCTGCAGAAATTCATTTCTCCACATTTCCACATTAGTTTGTGGTTTTTAAAAAACCACATACTCATGAAAATTCAGCAGCAATTTAGTTTGAATTTCTTCTAATATACATCTGTTTGCATTGCCTAATATACACATTTCTGCAACACAACACTTCCTGATATAATGCACTGTTGCGTTTTTTTACTAATTTATGCTTCTTAATGTATACATTATCCTAGTATATGCATTTATGTGCACATTACTTGACTAGAAAACAGCATGGCAAAAATCTGAAGGATGGCTGTGTTTGGGGGAGTGCAAATTAGGTAGATGTGCCTTTAAATGCAAACTGAATAGAATTTCTCTCCCATCCCTACTTGGGTGCCACCAAGAAGAAGGCCATTTCCCTGGCTGCCATCCTGAGTTTGCATCTGCTGCAAAATGGAGCTCTCGGGCCCTGTAGAGTTGGCTCATTTCAGCAAACATGTACTAGCCGTTAATACCTACCTTGAAAGCTTAGAGGAAACGGCTTCTCTTCACTTGATGGCCCAAACACTCCCGGAAGAAATTCTCCAACATCATATTTTTCTCCCTCAAACCTTTCTGACTTAGACCCCAAGGAAAAACTGCTACTGGTGGGGTGGAGATTCAGATCTCCTACAAGAAATCCATTTCCTGGCCAGGCCTATTTAAAATATTCTCTCTGAAAGGAAGCTCCTGATAATTATATACTTTGGCTCTGTCTTAATAGCCTCCCTTTTTCCAAACGTGTCACTGTAAATCAAGCTTTTAGGGAAATTACTTACACGCGTGCGAAGTTGTCGTTATCCTCTGTAACAGGTACAGCTTGTTCCACTGGAATAGGGGGAGGCTCTTCCTCTTCAACCAAGGATACGGTGTTCTTTTTAATATCATTCTCCTCCTCTGCGTCATACTTGTTTTCTTCCTTGGGGAAGGATGGAACATGATTTCCAATCCTCCAATGTCCTTCCTAAGAAGGAACAGAAGGTACAGTACATGTATCAGAGCTTCGCAAGAGGGGTCCATCTCAGACCCTCCAAGCGTCCGTATTTTCCAGGGACAGTCCTGGATTTACAGAAGCCGTCCTGGTTTCTGATTTGATCCCAGAATGTCCCACTTTTCCTTAGAACGTCCCTATTTACACTGGAGAAATGTTGGAGGGTATGGTAGGACGTCCATATTTTCATCAGAGAACTGGTGGAGGGTCTATGTGTTCCATCTCCTGTTCAGGAGACTAAGGCTGCAGTCCCAACATTTTCGCTAGTTTGGCAGGTGTTGACTACCATCTGTGGGTCATTTTCATCATATTTCCTTTTAATGCGTAACACGCCGTAAAATTCATATTTACTTTCCATAAATTCTCCCATAGCTCATAATTAATATTATGACCCACATTCCTGTGTCCACTTAATCATACTTGATTTCACAAATTCCTCTTTTGTTTCCCACTCTAGCAGCAGTTTGCTCATTTTTGATAATACTTTTATTTTTGTATCTAATAAATCCATTGTAATTTGGGGGTTTTTCTGCAAATCCAATTTTCTAATCTATTTTAAACAGTTCGTTAATCTGATGTATCTGTAACCAATGCATTAATACATTTTTTAATTCCTCGGGATTGTTCAACCTTGGTTCCTGTCCTGTAAGATCTAGGATTTCCTTATATGTTAATCATGGTTTATCCATATTTGTTGTTTTCTTCACTCTGGTATTTTCCAGCAATATCCAATATTTTATCCACCATAAACATGATGCCTCAAAGTAGATTTGGAAGTCCAGTAGAGTGAAGCCTCCTCTTTCTTTTCTATCAAACATAACTTTATGTTTTATTCTGGGCTTCCATCCCTGTCAGATAAACCCTGATACATTTTTTTGCCACTCTTTGAAGCATACCTCTCTGGAAATTGTTTTGCCTAGAACAAACATTGTCCTGCTGTTGCAATGCCTGAAGCTGCAAAATATGCCAGACATCAGACTTCCAAAAACCATGGGGTGGTGTTGCTGGTTTTTTGAACAATCCAATAATGAAACCACTTTGAATTGGCTTAATAAATGTGAAGCCCTGATCTCCAAAGACGGGTTGGGCATTAACGTCCTAATAGCTGATGTCTTAAAAGCTGCTACCGCTATAGCTGGCCAATGAGAGTGTATTAAAAAATAAGGTCATAGAGTTTATATCAGCTGTGTCTCACATTCAGGATTTGCAGTGCTCTCAACATCACCGCTTTATTTAGACAAATTACGACCCATCCAATTATTTCTTTGAGTTATACGTGCTTTGAGGAAAGCTTTTACCTCTCTGCAATTTCAAACATTGCCTTTGGCGCATTTAACGGGGAGATGTGCCAAAGTCCCTGTGAGTTGTTGCTTTATGTATTTTTGGCAAGGGAGAGAAAACCTGGCACACTATATATGAGATTGCTCTTTATGTGCCTTCCCCTGGGGAAAGATCTCCGCAGGAATCCTTGACAACTTTTTATTCTTAAATGATGGTAATGAGTGCAACGCTGAGAGGAAGCAAATAGTAATGTCAAAAACACAGTGAAAACAGCCACCTTCCTACCTGCCCAAATATTCCAAACGGAACGCCAGAAATATCAGTAAGAACAATGCTGCAATCTGCCGAAGACGAGAGGATAAAGAGGCAGTTGTTTCGTACACAGGTCTCCAGATAAGTGATACAATCATCGTGCATCTGGAAAGATCTGATCAGAGTGGGTGGCTGGTAATTCACATTTTCTCCCAAAATAAGGCAGTAATCCTTGTGGGAGGAAGAAAAGAAGCAAGTGCTAAGGTTATTAGAAAGAAAGGACAAGGCTTGGGAATGATTTTTGGCTGGGGGGGCTGCATTGCAAATCTGAAATTGGCTACTGGGTCATATCTAGTGCAGAAAGAGACAGAATAGCCTATAGCAGAATTGGGGAACTTTTCCAGGCCAAAGGCCACATTCTTCTGGGAACTTCTGAGCAGCTGCTGAGGGGCCAGAGGTTGGTGTGACCAGAGGCAAAAATGGGCAGATTGGTGAGTGTGACTCTTACCTTTGTACAATGGGCTACATTCCAGCCATATAAAAGTCAGAGGTTTCTACCCAACACAAACACACTGCTCCATCATTCATCCAGTTCAAGGACACTTTCCAGGCAGGTAGAAGCCCCCAAGGAAGACATGGATGAGGTGCAGACAAAGGGTGTCACCTGGGGAAATGAGGTGTGGCTTAGTGAGCATCTCAAGTGTTATATAAAGAGGCCTGGGGGGCCACATTTGGTCATTGGGTTTGAGATGGAGGCTTCTCAGAATGTCCACCTTCATCTACTGTCATGGACTGGTTGTATGCATCAGCTGGGGAACTCCAAGGGGAAGAAGGCTCAGAGCCTGGGGGGTTGGTGGTGGGATGACGGCAAGTGGTCAGAGAGAGAAGGAGCAAACTGAGGGTGGATGAGGTGTCGGAAGCTGAAGAGGCAACAGGGTTAAGTGAGCAGGAAGAGGCTGGGGCAGAGGGCAGTCCAGACTCAGAGGGAGGAGAGGAAGAGGGCTAGGAAACAGAGATGAGGCAGGCTGCTGAAGAATCCAGGTAGTCTCCCTCTCCTGCTGCAACCAGGTCTCCTTCCCCCTGGTCTCCCAGAAAAATGAAGAGGAAGAACAATGAGAGGCAAGACAATGGAGCCTTCGGCTGCTGGGGAAGAAACCAGGGAAGGAGAGTGGTGGGAAGGCAGGGGCCTTCAGTCCTCACAACTGCCTCTTTGGGGCAAGACCAGCTGGGAAGGGTTTTTGTGACCACTTGGACTGAGCTATTTTGATTCCTTGAATAAAGAGTTAACTTCACTGACATCGGGTGCTTTATTGTTTTATTGCTAACCTACACCTGACTCCAGCTCCTGGCATCTAATTTATTGCTGCCTTGGAGCTTGCTTGCTCACTCTGCTATCCTGCACCACTGCTGTGTGCTGAATGCCACAACCAGATGGGTGCAATGAGTCTCACCTAAACGCTGACCTTCTAGTGGAGAAGCAGTTGAATGAGAAAGGCATATGTGATCAGCCTCACTCAGACAGTTATATCCATCAGAGATATCCCTGCTTGATTAGAGCAAATGTCTATCTAGTCAAGCATCCTTTCCCCCCAACTGTGGCCTTCAGTAAAACCCATAAGCAAGGCATGAAGGCAGAAAAGCCTTGTCCTGTTTGCCTTCCGACAACCGTTATTCAAAGGGAAACTGCCTGAGGACATGAAGGCTCCATAGCCAGCAGACTTACCCTCTATGAATGTGGCTTTTAAAGCCATCTAAGCTAGGATTGCCATATTTCAAAAAGTGGAAGTCCAGACACATAAGTTGTTGAGCTTTTTTTGGCCAAAGTTGTTGAACTTTTTTGGCAAAATCTCAAAAAGAGAGAGGTTTTTGAGCTATTTTTAAGGTAATTTGCCAGAAAAAAATCAACATTTCCAACACGGGTTACCATATGTCTGGGTTTTCCTGGAAATTTCAGCGATTTTTGGAAATTTTGCCTGGAAATCTCGACAGGCAAATATAACTGCCTTATATTGAGTCAGACCGTTGGCTCAACTGCCATGTTATGGAGCCTGCTTTGACTAAGCCCTAGTTGGGGGAGTGCTGCTACTTATGTTACTTGGAATGATTTACATCAGATAACACTTTTTTAAAAAAGGAAAAAAGAAACACAAAAGAGGCTGGAAACTAAATGCACCATGCTTGGGCCATGATTTTGAATTGAAGCTTATTACTTTTCAGTCTGCCTCACCTTTTCTGGACTGATGTATGACTCTTTCCACTTACCTCTATGTTCCAGATCTTCACCCATCCAACCAGATCTCCAGTTATAAGGTACTGGCTTCTCTGATCAATGGCCATGATAATGGACCCCACCCCGCTATGGGCTTCAAACTCTGCCAGCAGCTTCCCTCTCTGCGTGTTCCAAAACCTCACGTAACCAGCACCTCCACAGGATACCAGGTTTGCACCTCCTAAAACATAAAAACCATGGTGCGTTAGTCCAGTTAGCTCTGGGAACATCTAACTCAGGGGTCCCCAACCTGCAGCCAATGGGCTGGAAGCAGCCCACGAAGGCTGTTTAACCAGTCCACAAGCCGCCCCCAAACCGAGCCGCCCACCCGGCGAGTCCCCATGTGCTGTGCTAAACCGGCGCAGCGCAGCACGGGGACTCTCTTCTGCGGCTGTGAAAATTGCTTCTGCGCATGCTCAGACACCGGAAATCATGTCTGCACATGTCCGCGGCACCGGAAATCACTTCTGCGCATGCCCATGTGCAGGTGCAATTTTTGGCATCTGGGCATGCGCAGAAGCAATTTCCGCAGCCGCGGACATGAACAGCCGCGATTTTCAGCGTTGCGCTGTGCCGGTCCGGCCCATGGAGAATCTCCATGGGAGTGATCTGGCCCATGCCCGGTAAGCCTTGCCGACCCCTGATCTACCACAAAATAATTGTGGTGCTGGGATCAAAAGAGGGCTCTGTAGAAGTAAAAAGGTAAAGGGACCCCTGACCATTAGGTCCAGTCATGACCGACTCTGGGATTGCGGCGCTCATCTTGCTTTATTGGCCAAGGGAGCCGGCGTACAGCTTCTGGGTCATGTGGCCAGCATGACTAAGCCGCTTCTGGCGAACCAGAGCAGCGCACGGAAACACCGTTTACCTTCCCACCAGAGCTACTATTGATCTACTTGCACTTTGACGTCCTTTTGAACTGCTAGGTTGGCAGGAGCAGGGACCGAGCAATGGGAGCTCACCCCATTGCGGGGATTCGAACCACCGACCTTCTGATTGGCAAGTCCTAGGCTCTGTGGTTTAACCCACAGCACCTTACTTCTGTGGAAGTAAGGAAGTGTAAATGATCCTCTCCAGGCAAAATGGAGATTGTGGGAAGAGAGAATGAACACTGATTTTTGGAGTCTTTCACATTTTATAAGAAGCTGAGCCTGTGCTGGACTTGCACATGTTCTTATGGATATTTTGGGTGTATCATTTACTGTTTTCTGTTTTGAGGAAAGTTCTGCAGGTAAAGCTTTAATTAAACTTATGGGCTTATGCTTTATTCCCAAAAGGAGTCCGTTTTGTGCATCCAGTCACTTCAAGCTGCACAATGTTTTTTAAATGTATTTTTATTAAGGATTTTCTCGGTTTACAAAAGTATGTGCAATCTCTCTCTCTCTCTTTTTCAAGTAACATTTTTTACAGATCAGTTTCTTTTGTTGAGACATTAGGAAGAAGAGGGGGAAAGAGGTGGGGGGTGAAAGGTGAGTGGGGGTGGGGTGGGGTGGCGATGTATACTTAATATATGTGGGGTTTTGTGTCAGCGTCGCTTGAAGCTGCACAATATTAACATCTGCCACAAAGTTCCCATCCGTGCCAGCTGGCATGGCCCATAGTTAGGGATGATAGGAGCTGGGATCCATCAACATCTGGAAGGTCACAACTTAGCCTCTCCTGCTCTCATTCCTGACATACCGGTATATTAACATATGAACCCGCTTTAAACTGAGTCAGACCATTTATCTCAGTGTTGTCTGGTCTGAATGACAGGTGGTGGTCATCCAGGGTGTCTCTCCAGGGTCTTTTCTTTCTTTCTTTTTTAACTTGAATTATTACAGAAATAGAGAGAACGAACAAAGGAAAAAGAAAAAAGACAACCTTTACACCCTTACCGTACAGAAAGTAAATAAAGTTATTACAAAACCAAATGAAAAACACAAATGACTTCCCGTCTACTCCTTAGTTCAAATACTGTACACAAAACTTGTTGCCGATACTAACTATTATCGTTATTAAACTGCTTCTTAGTTAGTCTTAGGTCTGCTTAAAACTACTACTAAAATTAATCAAATGCTGCAACAGAATTTAAGCGGCTATAATTATTTTTTAAATACATTTTGAGGACTTCCCATTTTGATACAAATAACTCCAGGGTGTTTTCCAAATGTGTTACCTGCTGAAGATTAAACCTGGCACCTTCTGATTGCAAAACATTTGCTCTGCCCTTGAACTAAGGTTCCTCCTTCTCCCTGTCCTCAGGAGAAACATGGGGTGTAATGTCCTATGGGAGTCAATATTGTGTAATGCTGATTTGCACTCTCCTTGTGTGCTTTTGCCTGGCTAGCCCTTGAACTCTGATCGTGCTCTTGCTTACCTAAGTGGAGGAGAGAGAGAGAGATGGGCAAGTACCGTATTTTTCTGTGTATAACATGCCCCCGTGTATATATTTCTGGGCACTCAAATTTAAGAAAATGGGGGGAGATAGCCCAAAGTTGGTGATCTTTTTGGGGGGAGGATTGCCCAGAGTGTGGAGCTTTTGGGGGGACGGGATTAGCCAAGGTTGTTTAGTTTTATTTGGGGGGGGATGCATAAAATCACTGACCCGACTAGCAATCGCTAACAATCAATCGCGTTCACAAAACCCAACAAGCGCCTACCCACTCGACAACAGCAGACGGGAATCGAACGCCCAAGAGCCACAGCGTCAGCCAATCCACAGCAGTCCTTGACAAAACAACCAATCACACACCAAATTACTGCAGCAGCAGCCAATCAAAAGCAGCCCTTGCCACAGCCAACAATCACATACCAAAGCACCGCTGACAAGATGCAGCTTGCAGCTGCAATCAATCACCAGTCCCCCCTATGCACTGTCCGTGTATAAGACGACCCCCATTTTTAAACATTATTTTACAGTAGAAAATCCTCGTCTTATACATGGAAAAATGTGGTATGTTAACATTTGTTGCTCAACCCACTTTTGTTTCCAGACAACTGACATGTAGCCCCATTGAAGGTTGACTAGGAGGGAATGCAGCCTTCAGGCTGAGAGAGGTTCCCCACCCCTGAATGTGTGTGTGTGTGTGTGTGTGAGAGAGAGAGAGAGAGAGAGAGAGAGAGAGAGAGAAGCTGTAAAGTGATTGCTTCCCCACCCCTCCTAGAAAGAGCACTCAGGTTCAAATATCAGTCAACCTGGGACAGCAGGACCAAAGGAAAACATCTGTTGGACCCATTCATCGGCAAGATGGCTAAGGGTTGCTGGGGCATGCTTGTGTTTGTGTGATGTATTTCTGTCTATTGATAATAAGCCCTGAGAATTGCTTGATTGGAAGGCAGGGCATGAAACTTTAAAATAAAAAATATATCCATGCCACCTGGATGCATGTCCTGGTAAGTCCAATGGCATTTGCTCCCATGTGAGTGTACCCAGAGTTTTAAGATTACAGCCTTGAACTTGAATTATTTTTTTTTTCTAGCGTGTCCTGCTTGAGAGTAGTACAACGGCACTGTGCATCACTTTCTGTGCTTAACTTTCTCAATGCAACTGTCCTTCTCTAACAAAGACTCTCCTCCTGAAGAGGGGGGAGTGGTTGTGGGCGGGAGCCTGAGCCCCGCCTCTAGCAGGGGGCGTTAGCCCCCTGCCTCCCACTCACCTGGCCAAACCAGGTGCCTCCGAGGGGCGTGTACAGCAGCCTTAATACTGCGGCGCCAGCCCCTCCTCAGCCTCACTCTTCATCGACCCATCGCGATTCACCCACCCTCCACTCCCTTTGAGCTCAGGGTCTTAGTTTTCCTTGGCCTTGCTATGGACCTTAGGTTGGTCACCCTGGTTGTCCGGGGGGCCTGGTAGGAATTTTTCCATTTGGCATTAGGCATTTTGGTTTTTTCGCCTACCTCGTAGCAATCGTCACAACTTTCGTGGTATTGGTGGGTAGGTTAGGCATTGGAATAATGTGTCGTGGTGTCGAAGGGCTAGGTGTGGCCATCGCCTATGCCTTCAATTTTTGGGTATTCCGTTAAAGGAATCTGGCGGTCGTGTATTCTGTCCGATGCCTGCTTGGCGGGAGGCCATGGCACGACCCTCGGTGACATCAGGAGAGAGCCTATAGTTGGATTAGCATCAACAGGCTCCACCTACTGGTGAATAAACCCCCCTTGTTTCAGACTCACCCCTCTCTGAGGGGGTGGAGTCAGCTGACGTAATCCAATGCCTAAGCCAATACCTTTTCACTTGCTGTAATCAATAAAGTTGTGGCCTTTTCTTGCCCATTAACCTTATATCACGTGTCCTTGTGTATTCATTCCACTTTGGGGGGGATCGGATCCTCGAACCACAACAAGCAATTCTCCCACTGTGCATGAACCCGGTTAGATTTGTATTTTGTTTGTTTGGCTTTTGGTCTCCATTTTAATACTGCAGCTTTCCAGCAGCAGTGAAATACAGTTCAATCCATTGCCTCCCCAAACTGAAAGAAGTTACAGGAAAAAGAAATTGGGCCTTGGGAACTCATTTTCACAACCTTTTATTTTTCTATTTGCAAAAGTTTCACACGAGACTGTAAATCTTTATGTAAATGGTTTTCTCTTTGGCAAACCAAAGTTCTTCTTGTCAATTGTATGTTCTTTATGGACACCGAAGAACCCTAAATAAACCCTTAAGGCAACAGATTTCCCAAATCATTGCAGATAAATCTGCAGAAAGATTCCAATTTGCCTTGGAGGGAAATAACGATAATTTGATTCAGAAAACACCTGGAAAAAAGCTGCTAAGATGAGAAACGGTTTTATACTCTCAAGATTAGCTGCTGCAAAACTCCCCACTGGACCAAATTCTATCATGACTTAACATCCTGCAGCGCCTTGCTGGCTTGCAAGGGGTATAAATCAATAGTGAGTTTGACTCTCTGCATGCAAACAGCCTTCTCCTACACATTTGCTCATTTGGTTTATTGGAATTTGCAGTCTTATCTCAGGGACAGTCGGCTCAATTCTCTTAGGTCTGGGCCATGGGCAACAATCTGGGGGGAGGCAGGAGAAGGGAAGAGGAGCTATGGGGCAAATCAGGAGGCAAGGCTGAGGAGAAATCCCAATACCAAAAAGCAAGTTAGAACTAGGAGGCAGAATTGAAGAACAGTGGAGATCTCAAATGGAACCAGCCTGATTAGGAATTGGATTGGATTGATAGTTCCAGACCAGGTTCCCCCCACCCCCGAATGATCTGGGACTGTCACTGTTAATGGTTTAATTCACACAGAAATGAAAAATGTATATGTATTAATGAAAGCTTAATATGGCTAAATGTGTATTGCAAACACTGGGGGTTTTCCACAAGAGTTTTTCGAAAGGATTCCGAGCTGTAACTAGTTAATTACCTGTTGGTTGTTTCTCTACTCTGTATTGAGAGTGAACCTTTGATCAAGTGATAAAGGTAAAGGGACCCCTGACCATTAGGTCCAGTCGCAGGCGCTCATCTCGCTTTATTGGCCAATGGAGCCGGCATACAGCTTCTGGGTCATGTGGCCAGCATGACGAAGCCGCTTCTGGCGAACCAGAAAGTTTTTCGAAAGGACTCTGAGCTGTAACTAGTTAATTACCTGTTGATTGTTTCTCTACTCTATATTGAGAGTAACCTTTGATCAAGTGATAAAGGTATTGAGTTGCAAATCTGCCATCTTGAAAGGGTGGTGGCTGTTAGTCACATGTGAAAAACAGGTCGGAGAGAGAGACACCTTTGCTTTTAGGTCTGTTTGGAATATTTCATATTTTGTAAGATGCTGAGCCTGCGCTAGACAGCGCAAGATATTGCATAGATATTTTTGATGTTTTAATTCTGTTTTGAAGAAAGTTCTGCCGGTAAGAGTTTAAATGATATTTTCATGGGTCTGGGCAATGCTTCATTTCCAAAGGAGTCAGTTCTTATGCTTCCAGTTGCTTCAAACTGTGCGATATTTAATATCCGCAACAGTCAAAAGGGTGGTCAGGCGGCAAGATGGAGGGCGGGGGGATAAGAAGAGGCAGGTAAGGACTGCTTCACCAGGACTTCCCTACAGTGAACACACTAGGAAAGGAGCACTCAGCAGGATTTAACTCTCCGCTAAGAAGCTGGTGAGCAGAAAGTTCAGTCTTCATTTTTGCAGGGGTCTGGAAGGTTGCCCACAAGAGAAGGCGTGCATTGGGCTGCAAAAAAGGTTTCCTTTCCTAATGCTCATAAGAGATGGCTCCTAAACCAAAAGAAGGAAGAAGCTCTTCTCTGGTAGTGTTATTTGGTATTCCGTAACTGGAATGTCTCACATGCGTTTACGCAGGTGTGCCTTTGCTTCTGCAGTGAAAAGGGCAATCTCAGTGTTAGGAATTGCAAGGAAGGGGCTGGAAATTAAAGAGCAACTTTCAGAATGCCATTATATAAATCTGCGACACAATCCCATTACAGAACCTGGTGGCTCCCATCCCGAAAAGGACATCGTTGTAGATCCAGAAGAAAGGCTGAAGAAAAGGGTAGTCGTGAAAGGCCAAGAAACTTGACTCATCTTCTTTATGAAGAAAACTTCCACATTCTGGGGAAGAGGAATGAGTTGGTGGGAGGCCAGGGGTCAAAGCCTCCTACCATCAGTGACTATTTTGGCCAATACTGGGAGTAATCCTGCTGTCACTTGTAAACATTCAACTAACAGCACAATCCAAACCAGAGATCCCTTAGGTCAAGAGAGTTGGGATATGGCAGATCTTGGGCTTTCTCAACAAGGGCTCAGTCAGCAAAACTTAAGCCAGTGTCATTTACACCAGCACAAGTCCACCAAAAGGGCTGTGGTGGGGGCTTCCTTGTGTGTCAGGGCAAGGAGAGGTTTTCACCTATTCCAAAACCCTTCCAGCTCAATCATGTGTCCAAGCAACCCAGCAGAACTTAGCCAGAAAAAAGGCTGATGTCGGTCATATTCCTCCTGAACGAAGTTTGGAACTGGTCTAATTTATGCTGGCTTCCTGTAGTTAGGATTGCTTTGTAGGCTGAGTTGGCACCCATCCACACTTTCTTTATTAAAAGCATTTTTACACCATTCTTCAGCTGAAAAAGCTCTCAGAGCCGCTTACTGAGCAGTTTTTTAAAAAACAACACCAGCCAGTCCCTGCTCTCAGAATTACAATTGAAAACATGGAACAGAAGGAAAAGGGGAGTTGGGAATCAAATGTGAGCACGTTCTTAAAAATATGGTATTCTTATGAAAACAAGCTGGGATGAAAACTGTTCAGAGAAAGGAAGTACCAAAGGGAAGTTGTCAGTGTGGTGTAGTGGTTAAGAGCCGTACACTCGTAATCTGGTGAACCATGTTCGATTCCTCCTGGACTGTCTTTCTTCTTTGAATAAAGAGTTCACTGAAGTCATGTGAGTTATTTCTGACCTGCTCCTGGTACCCACCCCTGAGAGCCAGCGTGGTGTAGTGGTTAAGAGCAGTGGACTCGTAATCTGGTGAACCGGGTTCGATTCCCTGCTCCTCCCCATGCAGCTGCTGGGTGACCTTGGGCTAGTCACACTTCTCTGAAGTCTCTCAGCCTCACTCACCTCACAGAGTGTTTGTTGTGGGGGAGGAAGGGAAAGGAGAATGTTAGCCGCTTTGAGACTCCTTCGGGTAGTGATAAAGCGGGATATGAAGTCCAAACTCTTCTTCTTCTTCTTCTCCTCAGCAGAACCACCCTACTTCTCAGACCCTTGCTCTGCAGTCCGAGAGAACACCTTTTGCTCTTCCGAGGTGACACTTGAGGAAGAGGAAGAACTGGCTGCTCTCTCAACAGGGCCATTGAAGTGGTCCGGCTTCCCTTCTCACCCCTCATCCAAATGGCCATAGAAAATGAAATGCCATTCCCTTACCTGACACTGAAACTTTCCTCGCCTCCAGGAAGAAGAGCCTAGTAATGGAATGATAGTTCTCGTCAGAGTTGGCGTAGTCAGCTGCAGATAGTGTGTGTCTTCTGGAGGACAGCCTGCCAGCAGAAGTTACGTTCCACTGCATCTGAGAGCCTGTGAGAGAAGCTCCTGATTAGGGTCTAAAAAAAGAAATGTATGCTCTCGAGATGCCAACAGCGGCCACCTCCCCAAGCACAGGTGCTTTCTCCGTACGCACTTCAGCTTATTTTTTTATGACTTCCCCTCTCAGCAGCTGTCTCAAAACTGCTTTTAGAACTCCTTTGGGTTTTTAAAAAGCTGTTTGCAGAGCTTGGCATGAGAGCTGCTGGAAGGGAAACCCCAGGGCAGGGAGGGACAGGGAGAGGGATCCCTTTTGGCAACTTTCTCACCCAAAGCCCCCAAAACAAATGCAGCCATGTCAACTAGGAACTTGCACTTTTTTATATTAAAAAATGTAAGCTGGCTTTCTGAAGAAGTACAGAGGCAGGCAGATTTTAGGCTTGCCAGATCAATTTTGTTTTTCATTAGAACCTCAGGATTGACCAGCCATATCCAGCTACGAAATACTGTTGGAATTGAAGAATAGGGTGCTTCTGAGTCTATTTTCAATACCATGCCATCCACTCCTGGTTAAGGTTTCTTTTTCCAATTCCCATTTGGGCAACCCCATTTAAGCAGGAAAAGTCATTCTATTCCACACTTGCTATTGTTGGGAATCAAAAACCCTGGTCAACCTATTTCAAGTCACCAGAGAACTACCAGTAGGTCCCAATGTACTTTTCCGCCCATCCCTGAGCTATAAAACCTATGCCATTTTGCACATTTCTCATGTTGTATGTGTGTGATTGATTTATTATGTAGAGCCAATTTTGTACACGGGGGTCAGTAACATTCTGGGGCCCACAGGGAACATTTGCAACCAGGAGAAGCTGTCGTGGGAACCACACACAAACCACAAACCAGTTCCCCCTGACATCTCTGCTGCCACAACAGAATGCTTCTTTCCACACCAAGGAAGAACCCTGCAGGTCCACCCAGGGCAATTCCTCCAACATTTCTCCACTGAAAACAGGGACGTCCTATTCCATAATAATAATTTTATTATTTCCACCCTGTCCATCTGCCTGGGTCGCCCCAGCCTGTCTGGGCAACTTCCAACATATATGAAAACATAATAATACATTAAAAGACTTGCCTATGCAGGGCTGCCTTCAGATATCTTCTGAAGGTTGTATAGTTACTTATCTCCTTGGCTCGGGGGTTACATAACTCCATACCCTCCAATATTTCTCTGGTGAAAATAGGGACATCCTAAGGAAAAGCGGGACATTCCAGGACCAAATCAGAAACCAGGATGGCTTCTGTAAATACAGAAAGGTCCCTGGAAAATAGGGACACTTGGATAGTCTGTCATGGACATCACACCGGCGATCAGCTAGACTGGTGACTGGGAGTGGCTGCCAAGACCACATAACACCAGTCCTGAAAGACCTACGTTGGCTCCCTTACGTTTCCGAGCACAATTCAAAGTGTTGATGCTGACCTTTAAAGCCCTAAACAGCCTCAGCCCAGTATACGTGAAGGGGCATCTCCAACCCCATCATTCAGCCTGGACACTGAGGTCCAGCTCCGAGGGCCTTCTGGTGGTTCCCTCACAGCAAGAAGTGAGGTTACAGGAAAGCAGGCAGAGGGCCTTCTTGGCAGTGGCGCAGGCCTGTGGAACGCCCTCTCATCAGATGTCAAGGAAATGAACAACTATCTGACTTTTAGAAGACATCTGAAGGCAGCCCTGTTTAGGGAAGTTTTTAATGTTTGATGTTTCATTGCGTTTTTGCTTCTGTTGGAAGCCGCCCAGAGTGGCTTGGGAGGCCCAGCCAGATGGGCGGGGTATAAATATTAAATTATTATTATTATTATCCCTGTTGCATGGGATGCTTTACAAAGAGCAGCTAATCCTTTTGGAGGCACTGTTCCTCCAAATCCCAGTTGCTAGGAATTGCAGGTGAGAAGAGTTGCTGTCATGGTCAGATCCTGCTATTGGGCTTCCCACTATGAGAACAGCATGCTGGGCTAGATGGAGCTTTGGCCTGATCCAGCAGGGCTGCTCTTATCTTAAATAGACCCAAGGACAAAGCAGAAGAAGGTGGAAAATGGCGAGGTCATGGGTAGGCAGGAGGAGAAAACGTTCTTACACATACTTAGAGACCTACACTCTGAAATTCAAGAAGCATCCAACCAGTTCCCTGGGAAGAAGGACTGACTGTTAAATTTTAAACACTCATTAATATGCAAACTGAACTGAAATTCTCCCCCTTGCCTAATTACCCCTATGTTATATTATACCTAAAGAAGTTAGCATTCCCACTTCCTTGCAAATAGAATTTTTATTTTTATTATTTTAGAGAGAACTGTCACTCACATTGCAATTGGGGAGAGGTGGGTTTCTGAGCAAGCAGACTCTTTCACCTTTACTGCCGAAAGTTTTTAAAATACCTCTTTGGCATAGAAGGCAACATCTTTTTTACAAGGAGATTTGTTGATTTTAATCATTTGCATTTTGATATGTTTGCTCAGTTCTGAAATGATTTCATTCCTACATGCCATCCTCGGTTTATATGCTTGTTCAGTTTTGTTATGGCCTATGGGTTCAAAACTATAAAATTGCTGCCGCTGCATATCAAATCAGAAGATAAGTTTTGGAAATAAGGCCTGCCTTTTGTTAGACAACATAGGAAACTTCCACAGCCTCTTGCTGCTTTTTAAATTTGGGGAAGTTTGGTAGAAAGGCTCCCTCATATATGACTACAAATTGACCCTGTGCCACCACTGTGATTGCTTTTTCTGCTGCCACCACCCCGTTTTTCATGGGGACACACAGAGTCCAGACAGTTGTTAACAAAAACAAATAATTAAGTTTATTTTTAAATGCAGGAACAAGCTTATGGTTTCAGTTAGTTTTTCTTCACAGTTTCTTAATCTTAGTTCCTAACAACTTCACACAGATTATCCCCAACTATCTATCTGACTCCACCTGACAATTCCTCTCTCACAATACAACTCGACCAACCCACTTCCTGTTCCTCCCTCTTCCTTCTTCAATTCCCAAAACTCAACTAACTTTCAAAACCTCCCTCTCTAACTTTTACTCCTCCCTTGCATTCCCACTGGCCAATCACATCACACTCATTTAACCCTTTCCTTATGACCCACCTAGGAGGCAAACACCACAGGCTCCCTCATATATAACTACAAAATTGTGCAGGCATACAACCAGATTTTAGGACATGGCTATAATATTGATATGCTCTCTTGTATTTCCAAGCAGCGAGAGATTCTAGGGACAACTGCACTTCCCAGGGTACAGCTTCCTTGGAATCAAGGTCGATGGAGACTATGGTATCTTTAGGATATATGGTTTTATTTACACAAATATACCACCTGAGCATGGGACACAGGCGCTCACAACATTAACACTCCCATAGATTTTGCCCCCCCTTTAGGTTTCCAAGGGAGCCCCAAAGACCAGCACAGAGCAAGATATGCTTCTTTCTCCATCTTCCAACATTTAGCTTCTAGCTCTCACAAACAACTCTGTCTATTGTTCTTCTAGGTAAAAGGTAAAGGACCCCTGGATGGTTAAGCCCAGTCAAAGGTGACTATGGGGTGTGGCATGTTGGGATTTTGCCTATGTGCAACTTCCCACAGAGGCAATTAAGAGTTGGCCGAAGGCCAAGAAGACTGAGCAGGGGGAGTTATTCTGCCTAGAGATATGGGACCTTGGATAAAACTCTGCTATTGATCGAGGTCTCCACATAGGCATGATGGTTAATGACCTTCCTTGGCTGGATAGCTGGCTGGTCAGTGTTGTGTTCTGAGAGTCGTTTGGAGTTTGTTAAGAGAGAGAGTTTAAGATCCATGTCTGTATCTTGTATGTAGTAACTTGTAAGCGTGCTGTAAATAATAAACACCTCTAAGTAACCAAGTTACTAGTAGCAGTGTCTTGTTCCTGCTTCATCCTGCCTGCCTGCAACTGATTGCTTCTAGAAGTCTGTGTATGCTCTGCTATATTCAACTGGGTCTGGCTAAGATCCTGCAACAGGTTAAAGTTGTGAAACACCAATATGGCGCTCATCTTGCTTCAGGCAGAGGGAGCCAGTGTTTGTCCACAGGCAGCTTTCTGGGTCATGTGGCCAGCATGACTAAACTGCTTCTGGCACAACGGGACACCGTGATGGAAACCAGAGCGTATGGAAACGCTGTCTACCTTCCTGCCATAGTGGTACCTATTTATCTGCTTGCACTGACATGCTTTCAAACTGCTAGGTTAGTAGGTTCTTCTACCTACTAGCCAGGTGAGGAAAGGCCTACCCATTTGTTTCTACAGCAATGGGGCTCACTCTTTTAAGATGGAGCTCACTCATCTAGGATGCAGGTGTTGAGTACTTAGCTGAGCAGCAAACCTTGACAAAGGGAATCGTTTGACCCCTGTTTTATAATAGGGGTCACATCTTGGGCCAGCACCATTGGAGTTCTCATAGGACTCCAAAACATGTTATTGTAATGATGCTGGTCTAGAATACAATGACCTGATGATAGCCAGATCCACTGAATTGGGCTGACGGATGGTCCTGTTAGCTCATTACAATCTCCACGCTGCATTTTAGGTTCTCAGGCGTTCGGGAAATCTTCCTTCAACAAAGTAATTGCATTCATACCCATTAGAGTTTGTTCCTGGCACATCTAGATAGATCTAGGGATTATTTATACAGTGAAAATTAGGCATTCTCCCACTTGGGTGTTTAAAAGGGAGGAAGGGTGAAACCTCCTTTCCTGTGGCTTACATAGAAGCAATAGATCAAAAGTGCCCTATCATATCGTTCTGCCTAGTGTTTTATAGGCAACCTAGACAGCAGGATTTCAGAAGATTAAATATATATATATACTAAAATTTGTCTTGGGAGAAGTGTCAAGAAACCTAAATAAGAAACATTTAAAAACAATTTGTCAAAGCCCTCTGTAGTGTTAGTTTCTCTCCCTGCTACAGAGCCCCTTTCTGCCCCCCACCCCCACCCCACTTTATCCGCCAGTATTTCTCCCATAATGGAAGCTGTGGTTTGTAGAAGAGGGAACAATTACGCATTGCCTGCTAGCACAGCGCTTAATGTATGATAACCATTAGAGTGTGAAGACTTTCAACCAAATGACATTTTTCAGGTTATGAACAGCCTCAAAGGAGGGGGGGCAGGCAAGCTCTGCGAGGCTCTGTTCCGGGAGGGTGGCCTGCAATTATTTATCACCCCTCACCAAAAGAAGGCGAAAATTAAGGGAATGTTCCCTGCTGGAGGTAATGATATAAAGAAACGCTGACGTAGATCCGGAACAATAAACAGAAGCAATAGCCTTGAGAGCGATGGGGAATTAGCGAGCCCCATCCCAAGGAAGAGCAAACTCGCTGCCGACGCTTTGTCACTCTGACGCAGCGAAGGCATAAACAATCCCAGAGCTGGAACTCATTATTAGTGATTTCATAGATCAAAGTTTTTCTAGCCTGGTTGATCCCACAGAATGAGAGACTTAGGGTGCTAGGAGGGTGAAAACAAATGATCATTTACCAAGTGGATAACTTGTTTGCAGCAGCTTTGCAACCACACGGGGAACTGATTGCCTGTAACATCTGCCCATATGATAAGGAGCATTTTGCCACCACTCCTGGCACCAGGGGCAGATACTTGTCAAATTATTCTTGGACTGATAGTGCAGATTATCAGCTCCATGTGCAGCTTGTTATCCCAGGGAATCTTGGGATCTGTATTCTCCACACTGCTTCCCCCACACCCTCGAGATAAAGCGAATGTCCCTTGGGGTGACTATCTAGGTTTATGGAGAGGCATGGCTCCAGTCTAACCTGCCTTGGTCCACCTCTGTGGAATCAGCTTCCACTGGATGGTCTAGAAAGATGACTCAGGTCTACAACCGTACATTCAGAGCTAGGGCCATGGTGGGCAGTTTCCTGCTTTGTGGAGGAGTTACACATGTGGTGCATGTGTACCCACCAGTACCTGTTACAGTGCCTGAAAAATGTCTCATTAAATATCTCCACAAAAATGCTCAAGAGGCTTGTGGATTTTCTTGTTCAGTGTTTTGGATCAGACTCTCTCCTAAACTAAACTTGCTCCACTTGTCATTGGATCTCCATATGTCATTGGATGCCAGGATGGGGCTGTTGGGATGCGTCCAAGGAAACTGGGGCAATTGGCAGGCCCCCAGCTGGCTTCAGCCCACCGGCCAGCAGCCGGGCAATCTCCGGTCCTTGGTTGCATGTAACTGCAACACGAGCTTCAGAAGCTGAGCACACAAGCCAGCAGAGGAAAAAAACTCTTCACAACAGAAGGGCAGATGAGGCTGTGTAAAACGTAATTATAGGCATTTTATTCAGCATCAGGAGAAAGGGAAAAACATGTCTTCCCCCCTTCGTGTCCAAGCAAGCAGCATAAGCAAAAGCTATACACAAAAACGGAAGTTCCCAGCAAGCTGTGCTGTGCTGGGGTATAAACAGACATGTGGCACACGTCTGTTTTTAAGGTGGAATGGAATATCTCAACAGGGGCACCCTCTTTTCCCTCTGTTCCCATGAACAGAGGAGAGATGCAAAAAGGTTCTCCCTGTGATGAAGCTTGGCTGATAAGGTGCCTTCTCCCCACTGATGAGGCTGCTGATACAGGGTTGCTGGTCTTGCACCATTTTTGCGACCCTGTCTCTCATTAGCAACACTTTTGTGCTATGCCACAGCCCATGGCAGCCATTTTGTGTTATGCTACACCCTATCGCAGCCATTTTGTGACTGGCACCAATACATCCAATACGCCCAGTGGCCCAAAAAGGTTGATGACCCTCTGGTCTAATGTTCTTGGGTGCTCCTTGCATAGACCAAACTCCAAATAAAGGTTCCTCCTGCAGTTTTGTTTGTCAATGTCATTTCCCTTCCCTAAATTAAGGAAGACAGAATCATCACACTCCTCCTAGGTCCTAGGGCTCTCCATCTCTACAGGGACTCCACAGCTTTTTTTCTTGCTTTTTTTTTTTTTTTTTTTTTTGGTCTCTCATAAAATTTGGGTCATATTATGGTTTCACACTGACCTGAGCTGGATTTCAGTGATCTCCTGGAATTCAAGTGCAGCTTAGAGCAGGCGCTTTCTGTGCTGTTATTCCATACAACAATGTCCCCATCAGAACTCCCTGAAATAGACAATGAAAAGTCAATGCACTTTCAAGGTGGGCTATAATCAAAGATGAAATTTTGTAACTTAAGTTCTTTATTTTAAAGTGGGGGATGTGCTGTGAAAATGCAATGTCTTTTTGTGGCTTCACAGGCCTGTGGGGAATACAAGCCAGAGCTGTTAGAACAACAGCAAGGTCTGATTTCAAAGAAAAGAAAAGAAAATTCTATTGTGCAGATGCTAAATTAAGTCATACAGCCTGTACCTTGTATCACCCAATCTTATTGTCCCATCTGATTTCTGTTTCCAGCATTCAACTTTCCTTATCAGGTGAACATTTCAATGCCATTTCCCTTAAACATTCAATTGTCTCAGATTCCAAGCTTTGGGCAGTATCTAATGAAGTAGATTCACAAAAATTCCAGCTTGCACAATGGAACCACCAGAACAGATTTAGCGAGCTCAGAGGCATGCAGGGAAAGGAGGTTTTGTGGCACAGTCAAAAGTCATTGCATTAGTAGATCTGCTTTGCTGGATACTGCTCTTTGTGCTTAGCTGTTCAAAAGGTACTGAACAGCAACTGACTTTGGATTAAACATCAGATTCATTTGCAAAGAGAATCTATAATATATAACAGGTCAGCTGACTCAGCATTTAAGCAAGAGGTCATGGGCCATACTCCCAGGAGAGGCATTGTCGCAGCTTTCAATTGCAAGACACATCATCAAATACTTGGGATACATCCTGATCCTGCCAGCCGGTTGACAAGAAAGGATAAAGTTTAACCAATGGGGCATCCATCACAGAGAGCATCTTAGGACCTTTTGTAGCCTGATTCTGCCCAGTGAGTGATTAGGAGCTTTCAATTCTAAAGCTGAGCTGGCCACATTGTGACTTGCTTGGCTCTTATTTGAAGGTGCAGGCAGAACCAAACAATCATATTAGCATAGCTTTTATATTTAAAAACTATTGATTTCAAGCAAATATTGCATCCAACCCCTCCTACTGCCTTGCCCCCTTAGTTGCTTCAACAATTCAGATCATATATTGATTTTGCATGGTAGGTGGAGGTGACTTTTGATGTTGGCTTGTTTCCACTAACCATAGTTAAGATTAACCACTGTCAGATGGGTTGTCGAGTTCAAACCCAGCGAGCTTCAAAACTCCTTCTCACAGCCACACCACGAGAGAGGGGAAAGAGAGAACCTACGGGCCTGGGGGGGGGGGAAGCTAGGCACATTGTAGTAACACTAAACTGTGTGTCCCAAATTATGGGTTGTCAAGCAGAGAGCAGTGGAAGCTGGTGCTCACTGCGATTGGTAGGGCAGAAGTCCAGGAGTCCAACAGTATCTGGATTCAGAGCCAGTGACAGGTGGGGCCAGCTAATTCGAGTTTTTCCTTCCTCCTCCCCACTGCAGAGTTCTACAAGGTGGAAACTAGGACACTGCATCCAAGGTTGCCCCCTCATCTGGTTGTAAGCCTGGAAGCAGGGTGGGGCAGTGCTGAATGCACACTGAGGTTGGTGGGGCAGCGCCCCATTTTACCTTATCAACCAACCATTGGTGGAGAGTTTGATTGCTCACCACCACCATTGACTATGGGCTATAAGAATGTTCAACTAGACCTGATCCATACTTGTTGAATGTCAATAAGCCATGTGACAAGACCTAAGCCAGGGGTCAGCAAGGCTTACCGGGCATGGGCTGGATCACTCCTGTGGAGATCCCACGGAGATCCATGTCTGCGGTGCCGGAAATCGCTTCTGCGCATGCCCAGACGCCGAAAATTGTGCCTGCGCATGGGCATGTACAGAAGCGATTTCCGGCACCGCGGACATGTGCGGACGCAATTTCCGGTGTCTGGGCATGCGCAAAAGCGATTTCTGGAGCCGCAAAAGAGAGTCCCCGCGCCGTGCCAGTTTAGCGCAGTGCACAGGGACTCACTGAGTGGGCAGCTCAGTTCAAGGGTGGCTCGTGGGCTGGTTAAACGGCCTCCATGGGAACCCCTGACCTAAGTTCATTCCAAGTTAGGAAAGCTCTTCAGCCTCTCTCTTGATGTTCTCTGGCAACATCCAGACCCACCTGGGCATCTTCTATGAATCTCATTCCACTGACTAGGTAGGAGCTTTGTCTGCCCAACCCCATGCGGGAGGAGGAGGAGGATCAATCCCATCATGACACACTTGATGACACACTTTCTTTGTCTGCTTCTTAAAAGATGTCATTTGTCTGTGTCTTGTAAGTAATTCAGCTCTGCCAAGAGCTGAGTAGCTAAGCCAGGCTGGGCAGGATCATCTCTAGCCATGCGTATAGATGACGGCGGACCCAACTGCTAATCTCAGGATGATCTATTGGGCAATAAACGTTCCACTACCTGTAACTAGAGTCTGCGGGGGCAGAAACGCCGCACATAAGATGTCGTCCTGGTGCCGAGTTCCTCCTTTCCATTCCGAAGGCTGAACCAGAAACTGAGTCAAGCTGCTCAGGCGGAAGACAGTAATTGTCCTAACGAGAAAGACAAGAGCAAACAAAGCAGCCTGAGTGAACTCCAAAGTCACAATTCATTTTCCAAGCTGAGGCTCTATGTTTATCCCTCAGGTTCAGGTGCCTGCAGCAGAAGGCGGATTCCAGAGGAGCGGAAATGTTTTATTTATTCCAAAGGTAAAAGTGCTAGTCCTGAAGCGTATATAGAGAAAAGTTTGGAAATGGGTAGTGTCAAAGAAACCAAGCCTGAATCTGAACAGGGTTTTCCACTGATCAGCAGAAGTGAGACAGAGGCACAGCCTGTGCAAATACAGGTCCACATAGTTAACAGATATCCAGAACTGCAGACTAATTTATTCCCCAGGGCTGGGATGAGCTTTGCAATTTGCATGGCAAAGGAGCCTATAAAGGGAACACACTTTTGCTTTAGCACCCAAGAATCATAACTAATTGTAGGGGCAGGAAGCTGTCACCTAGAGCAGGGATGGGGAACCTTTGGGTTTGCAACAGCTGTTGGAATCCAAATCCCATTAGGCCCATGATCAATGGTCAGGGATGATGGTTGCTGGAGAGGTATACCGTATTTTTCGCTCTATAGGACGCACCAGACCACAAGACGCACCTAGTTTTTGGAGGAGGAAAACAAGAAAAAAAATATTCTGAATCTCAGAAGCTAGAACAGCAAGAGGGATCGCTGCGCAGTGAAAGCAGCAACCCCTCTTGCTGTTCTGGCTTCTGTGATAGCTGCGCAGCCTGCATTCGCTCCATAAGACGCACACACATTTCCCCTTACTTTTTAGGAGGGAAAAAGTGAGTCTTATAGAGCAAAAAATACGGTAGTTCCCCATTGCTGCTCAAGAGCCTCCTTTACTGCATTGCACCTTCTCCCATGCCTGTTGTCAAATCTGCAAACAGTTGCATGGCCGGGGGTGGGGAACCATAGTGAAGCAAATGCCATGCCCAGTAGAGTCAAATTCTGTTACTTGTGAAAACAATTTTAACTGAGCAAATCTACATATCACGCATAATGTATTCTGCCTCTACTACCCACGGGGGAAGCTCAGTGCATTATGAAAAGTCCCCAGCCCTGAACATTCATCCCCTACTCTTGTTTCTGAGATATTAACAGACAGGCAATAATCTACATGCACACTCTGGCACATACCTGCCAAGTGCCCCACGGGGAAATGGGACATTTTTTCACATGTGACCACGGCAGCTATTTTGGGTGCCACAATCTCACACACTCTTGCGCTGTGCTCTTACCCCCCCCACACACACACACAAAAAGGACTTTTGAGAAGGCAAGAGCAAGGTGCGGGTTATGTGACTCACCCAGGAGTCCATCCGAGAAGATGTACATCCCAGTTTGGGGTCTCCAAAAGTTGGGCGATATGCTGGTGGAAGGGACATCCTCATAGCACGCCACTCTTTGAGTCCTTGACACAGGGGAGGTGCGTCCCGTTTCACCACTAGAACATGCTACATCCCTCCCACTGCTGTCCCCCCCCAATTGCCATACCACTGGTGACACCAAGCCTCTCTCACCTGTGTTGTGTGGCAGTGCCTGCAAAGCCCAAGATCTCACTGAAATCTTGTACGTTCTGTGAGTTCTCACCAGAAACTGGTGCCACTGCCTGCATGGGCATTGCCTCTTGGGCTTCCAGCACTCGGGGCAGGTGCCTCACATCATCATCATCATCATCATCATCATCATAAAATAAAAATAAAATTATTATTTATACCCCACCCATCTGGCTGGGTTTCCCCAGCCACTCTGGGCGGCCTCCAATCGAATATTAAAAACAATACGGCATTAGACATTAAAAACTTCCCTAAACAGGGCCACCTTCAGTTGTCTTTCAAAAGTAAAATAGTTGTTTATTGCCTTGACATCTGCTGGGAGGACATTCCACAGGGCAGGGCAGGTGCCACTACCGAGAAGGCCCTCTGCCTGGTTCCCTGCAACCTCACTTCTCGCAGCGAGGGAACCGCCAGGACACCCTCGGCGCTGGACCTCAGTGTCCGGGCTAGATGATGGGGGTGGAGATACTCCTTCAGATATACAGGACCAAGGCCACCTTGCCTCATCCATGGGCCAGGCCTGCCTTGACCATGCATTCCTCATAGCACCCACCTGCCTCTCCTATAGAGCAGAGATAGAGAACTTCATGCCAGATGCAGTCACCTGGGGCTCTCCTCATGCCACACACACACACACTCTCTCTCTTCCCAAGCTATGCTCATTTCTGGCCCTGCTTTGCACCCTCCTTGAGATTTTTTGCTTGGCTGGAATGCATCCTTGAATTCTAACAATCGATGGGGGGCATATGTATGTGAGTGTGTAGAAACCAGCCTACGGCACAAAGGCACAAAGGGTAAAATTTGCATCCATTGGTCCACCCACTCTTGTCTCTGGTCCCACAAGGGAATTTGGCTCTCAAGCTGGAGAAGATTCACCTGCTGGGCTACAGAGCCATCCTGCAGACCCACATATCTCCCAGAGTGCCATAGGCAGGCTACTCACACTCCCTGAGTATGAATTTAGTGCACCATAGTGTTTAGACTGCTGGATCAGGACCAGTGAGTCCAGGGTCCAAATCTTCACTTGGACATCGAGCTAATAAGGTGACCTGGGGCCATTTCTTAGCCAAACAAACCTCACAAGGTTGTTGCCTGGACAAATGGGGAGGCCCAAGAACCCTGCCCTCGGAGGAGGTAAATGAGATGATAAACAGTGGGTTGTGCTGTTGACTTTTTCAAAGGAAACTTGACATCTTGAGTGTCTGAGTCTAGATGTCAAAGCCCACTCCAAATACCAGCGTCTGTTTTGCTCTGCGGTGTCATCATGACACAGCAGAGCACATCTAATTTAGGATATCCATCCCCCTCCAACCTCCTGGTCTCTGTGCCTATCTCATCCTCCATTCTCATCTCTCCTTACTCAAATAAAGCAATTTGTGTGAAATCCCCCAAACTTTGGAAAGAGAGCCAGTAATCAAAAAAAAGGGAGGGGGTGACTAACCCTCAAGCAAAGAAAATATAGCACATTGATACATATCTTCGCAACATGAAATGGAATATTTTAATCATTTGTTTCTATTTCTCCCCCTTTCTGTATCAGGCATTGTTATAGAAACTGCATTGTAAGTGTCATTCTGGGATTTTCTCATCCTTCGCCTATTATAGTTCAATCATACTTCCTCGCTGCCAAAACATAATGGCAAAGCTGTCTCCAGTGCAATGCGCATTGTTTCCGACCGTACTAATAGACAAGGGGGATAATTATTGCGCCAGTCTTCTCATGGCAGTGTTATGACGAGCCGCAGTGTTGATTTCTCCCCCACCTTTTTTTTCCTAATTAAAATCTGCATTGGAGGGGATGGGCAGAATCAAAAAGAGAGAAGAAGAAGTGTGGAGTTCTTAAGAAACCCAAGAAGTACACAAGTTTGGGGTTTTTTTAACAACCACGAACACAACACAGAGGACAATAATAGAGATGGGTGACTCTGTCAAATTTGGTTTCTTTCCATTTCTCATTTTTCCAGTCTAAAATTAAATTCTCCATATTTCCACATCAATTGGCTTTTTTAAAAAATAGTCTCATGAAAAGTCTTCTGCATTTTAGTGTGAATGTATTCCAATATATTTATTTGTATTTATCTACTGCATTTATCTCCCACCTTCTCCTCCAAGGAGCTCAGTGAGAAAGGAGTTCCTTTTTCTCCAAGTTGCGCAAACCCTGTGAGCTTCATGGCTGACTGGGAATTTGAACGCTGGTCTCCCAAGTGTTAGTCCAATAGAGCCAAACCTTGGTTCTCGAACGGCTCTGTTTTGGCTCCCGAAAGGCGATAACCCGGAACTGCTCTGGTTTTCAAACGATTTTCGGAAGGCGAACATGCTATGCAGCTTCCATTTTGAGTTTCCCTATTGTATTGAGGCTTCCGCTTTCAGTTTTCCATTGTCGAACGTTTCGGAACAACCGACAAAAACATTCGACAACAGAGGTTTGACCGTACTCCAACCACTGTACCACACAGCCTATGTTTGTGGGGATTAGGATGCTGGTGTAGAGATTAGAACTGCTTTGAGGGGGGTAGTTACAATAAAGTGGTATAAGAATTTTATGGAACAAGCAAATAAAATAAAACTTTGTCTCCCATTGTAGTCTCAAGTCTGATCAAAGCCCCCATGGTTGCTAACTGCAACACAGGGCAAAAAGTTTCCCCAAACCCCATACACACCAGGTTCCCAATCTGGATCTGGACCTCCAAATCAAAAATTTCATTGTAAAGCCTTTCTTCATTTGGAAGTATTTCTTCCCAACTTTCCATTCCTGGAAAGATGGAAAACTTCTGAAAATATTGAAGAGGTGGAGGGAGCCTCTCAGGGCAACGTTTTCTATTTCAGGATAAGTAGTGTTTAAAAAATCATCCTGTTGCAAAAAACCCTATATTGAGGTGTCAAAAATGAGTAATTTGAGACTGACGGGTGCTGAGATTTAAACTTGCCACCTTGACGCCTTCAAATTGAACCCCAAAACTTGGGACCTAGCAAGACTATTTAATTCACACCAGAATGCAGTGGGAATGCAGTGGGAGCAATTCCCCCTTCCCACACATTCAGTGGTCCATTCTCCCATCACCAGCAGTCTTGCGTATTCCTATGTCTTTTTTTATTTCCAGAAATACCTATTTAAATGTGCTTGACTTCAAAGTCAAAAGAGGGTTAGGGAATATATTTTTAGATCAATGTTACGGGGAGCTCTGCTTCTAAACTGCATGTAGCCAGTCTGAGGTGGTTCTGCTTTTCAAGTCTGCGCAAACAGAGAACACCTCTGCCCTGAGGCAATCCCTTATGAATTATTCCTTCAGGGAGAAAAAGGGAGACAGACCTCATAGAAGCCTGACGGGCACAATACTCTGGGGGGCAAATCCAATATACCCAGCGAGAACTGGAAAATGTTCTGTGAAAGTGCAAAATCTGAAAGGTTTTGAATCTATTTCCCTGCCGCACCCCAAGTGATTCCACAACTCTCCACAGGCGACCCAATTGCCACAGTTTATTGGTTCTTAAAAGGTAAAGGGACCCCTGACCATAAGGTCCAGTCGTGACCGACTCTGGGGTTGCGGCACTCATCTCGCTTTAGTGGCTGAGGGAGCCGGCGTACAGCTTCCGGGTCATGTGGCCAGCATGACTAAGCCCCTTCTGGCGAACCAGAGCAGCGCACGGAAACGCCGTTTACCTTCCTGCTGGAGCGGTACCTATTTATCTAATTGCACTTTGACGTGCTTTCGAACTGCTAGGTTGGCAGGAGCAGGGACCAAGCAATGGAAGTTCACCCCATCACAGGGATTTGAACCACCTACCTTCTGATCGGCAAGTCCTAGGCTCTGTGGTTTAACCCACAGCGCCACCCAATCCCATGTAATTGGTTCTTACACAGCATAAAATGTGGTTACATTATACCTACGTTCAGGGACCTAAGCCCTGGCATTCCATAGTGTCCCAGGCACCCAGGCCCAGAGCTGATCTCTCTCTCCAAGAGTGCAGAGACAGGTCCACACGTAGAGTGGGAGACCTGACCTTGTAGATACCCTCCTTACTGCCATGGAAACCTCTGTGGCCCTAGCTTGATGGCATGCCAAGTTGGACCTTTCCAGCCCTCTAATATTACGTTAAAGCAGAGATAAGTCTATGCCAGCTCTGGAGCTGGTGTAGGGAACATCCTTTCCATGGCTTCCAGTGTCAAGCATCCTGTTCTCACAGTGGCCAACCAAACAGCCTTATCTTCCATGAATTTGTCTAATTCTCTTCTAAAACCATCCAGTTGGTGGGCAAACTTCAAGATGCTGGTAAAGCCTCATACAACCTGGGACCCAGGATACCTAAAAAAGCTTATACAGGTAACCCCCACCCCAATTTATATGTGTTCAAGTCATGCATTTCCATGCGTGGTGCCAGAAACCTCGAAGAGACTTGACAAAAGCCCTGCTGCACCACTGGCTTGTGAGGAGACTCTCCCTGGAACCCTTGAGAGGATGCTCAAAGAAGATACCCTCTGCAGGAGACAGTATTGTATCCTGCAGGGTAAGGTAAAGGTAAAGGACCCCTGGATGGTTGAGTCCAGTTAAAGCCGACTATGGGGTTGTGGTGCTCATCTTGCTTTCAGGCCGAGGGAGCCGGCGTTTTTCCACAGACAGGTTTCCGGGTCATGTGGCCAGCATGACCAAAGCACTTCTGAAGCAACGGGACACCATGGTGGAAGCCAGAGTGCATGGAAATGCCGTTTACCTTCCCACCACAGTGGTGCCTTTTTATCTACTTGCACTGGTGTGCTTTCGAACTGCTGGGTTGGCAGGAGCTGGGACAGAGCAACAGGAGCTCACTCCATCAGAGGTGTAGGAAAGGTATGCGGTGGGTGCAGTCTGCCCAGCATGTCATGACTGACGGCGTGACAAAATGGCAGGCGAGTGGGCAGCACACCTTGCGCCCGGCGGCAGTTCTTCTGACCCGGCGGCAGAGAGCAGCCCTACTCAGCCATGGCAAGGCGCACCCAACCGCAACAGCTCCATTGCACAATCATGTCTGACCCGGCTGCAGAGGGCAGAAGGAGAGTGAGCAGCAGCTTCCCCACCCCTCTCCTGCCCTGAACACATGGGAGGGCACCCTCCGTGTCCCTCTCCCCTCGGGAGCACGCCCGCCCTGGGCAGCGTGGGCATTATGCTCCGATGCTGCACTCCATCGCAGGGATTCGAACCACTGACCTTCCAATCAGCAAGTCTTGACGGCATGCCAAATTGGACCTTTCCAGCCCTCTAATATACGTCAAAGGTTTAGACCACAGTGCCATCCGCGTCCCTCAAAGAGGATACCCTCTGCAGGCGAGGGTATTCTGCAGATACCGCCTAATGAGAAAGTATCCTGTATGGTGTCAGAATCAGGATTTTAGTGCAGCGGCCCCTCCTTGTTGAAATTTCCACCTTTTGCATATCCTACATCCCTGTTGTCTTTCTGGGTGCCTGTTGAAGTCTTCCCTGTTTCAATTGAAGAAGTTCTCAATCCCCATCCTCGTCCAAGGGAAGAGAGAGACATAGGAGGGGGGGGGCTGATTTGTCTCTAAGAGACAGCACAGAGTTAATTTGTTGTCTCTGAATGCAATAGAATATGGATAAGGCATTCACACTCTCCTGCCTTGGTTACCTCAGAGTCAGATTCAGGATGTATTTTCCCCCTGGAACTAAGGTCTTGCAGAAAAAAGAACAGTACCTTGAAATAAGGATTTATTTATTTTTTGGTCACTCTGCTGAGAGAGTAGAGATCAGCAAGCAGAGGCTGAATCCCCTTAATCCTGCCTAATCTATAGTTTATAAAACCACAACACTTATCCTGACTAAAGCAGGCTTTGTAGAGCAACCAGCGCTGCCCCCATTTTCCATTCTCTTTAAGCATATTTACATTGATTTTTTATTTCCCGTGCCAATAGAATTTGCTCAGAAGAAATGAGGAGAAGCCAGGGTCCTCAGCTGAGCAGTATCAGACAGAACAGGCTCGAGGGGAGAAAACCCAGATTTTGATATCATCACGCACTCACGCTATGCTACAGGAGATTTTAAAGACTGCAAACCTCTAGGCACCTTGTTTACTTATTATGAATTTTTAATAGCATAACCGTAAGTGCCTCACACTTCCTGTCCCACTGCGTTTCGCAGCTCATTTGCCTGCTTTCGTTCTCCCCTCTCATCCCTTAAAAGATGTTCAAGTTCATGATGGACGGACAACTTGTGCATCTTCCAATTAGGCGGAAGACGTTGGATGGGACATTCAGGAAAACAGAAAGTGCACACAAATGTGTCATGTCTAGAATCAGATAGAGACTAATGAGCAATGGCAGCAGTAACTCTGCACATCACCCACCAGTCTCTCCCCTATAAAAAGACCGCTTCCCACTTGTTTGTGCACTTCCTTCAGGTTTAATATTCATGAACTGATGATTTAGATTATGTAGTGTCTTTATTTTTAGCCCTTACCAGGATGTGTTCTTTGCATCCTCATTATCTTTCCTTCTTACTTTTGCTGTTTGGAGTCTTTGCGCCTCTGTTCCTCTATACTTGTGGTCAGCAACTAAAAGCCCCCAGATTGACTCCATAGCCTTGAGATACACTGCTCAACTCTTCAATTGCAAGCCCACCCCTGAGATATCTGTTCAGTGCTTTTTTTCCCCCTTAAAAAATGTTTAGGGATACTCTCATTTTGACTCAAGAAAATCACCGGGAAAGGAAATGATGCCGCCACTGGAGGTGGTAACAACGAAACTGACCAATCGCCATGCTAGATTCCAACTCCTACTTCACACATTAAACGCTCGCTTCCGTCTGAGACTCAGGAAACACAAGGACAGGAAATGAGGCTGCCATTAGGGGTAGCAATGGAACTGGCAATTCACCATGCTATTCAACAGAACTGACGATTCACCGTGCTAGAGAAGAAACTAAAAATTTAAAATTTTTAGTTTCTTCTCCTGTTAGATTCACAAAATGTTTAGGGGTATGCGTACCCCTGTGTCCCCCCCAGAAAAAAAGCACTGGATCTGTTTAAAGGAGTGGGACCTCTGGCAGAAGTACTTGCCAGCAAAGCATGGGAGTGCAGAGAGAGTTAGTGTCATGAACTGGTTGGATGCAGAGGGGTGGTGGGAGGAACCAGCTGGAGAACCACCAATGGAAGAAGGCTCAGAACCCAGGAAGTGGTGGTGGGACAATGATGAATGGTTTCAGGGAGAAGAGGGAAAGGATTGGGAAGAGGACGTGTCAGAAGCTGAGGAGGTAACAAGAAGAGCAGGGAGAGTCTATGGCATACAGAAGTCAAGAATCAGAAGTAGAAGCTGAAGCAGGAGAGTGGGTGGAAGAAGGCCAAGAGGCAGAGATAAGTCAGGCTGGTGAAGACTCACAGGTATCTCCCCTTCCTGCTGCTACAAGCTCCCCTCCCGCTTTGTCTCTCAGAACCAGAAGAGGCATGAAAAGGGTGGAGAAGAGGTCGGCTGCACGTAGGCACTGTCTCCAATTGTTTTGGGGAAAGCCTGGAGATGAGGGAACTTAAATGGATGTGAGGAGTAGAGACTTTCAGTCTTGGCAACTGATTTTCATGGAGTAAAGTCAATGGGAAATGAGCTGCTCTGCTCATTAGGCCTGACCCTCAACCAAGACTGTGGAGACTGTATTTTTGCTAACAGTTAACTACATGTTTGAACTATGTGATTACTGGCCAGCCCACTCCTGTGACAGAACAAAATAAATTTCCAATCACTGCAAGGGGTATAAGAAGGCATCATTTTACATTCCACCCTGTATTCATCACATGCAACACTGTTTCACCTCTGTTGCAGTTCGCCTTCTGCCCAAAACTACATTATTCACCTCAATCTCCACTTTGACAGTATTATACCACTTACATAATTAATTTTGTAAATCACAAGGATTTAACTTTCTTTTTGCATGTAAATGCAAAGAAGCATAATGCAAATGGGGGGGTTTACACACCAATTACAGGCTGAAAGCATTTGCCCCCACTCAAATTAGGGGCAATTACAAACCATTTGGAGAATGAAAGCAACAGCAACAATGAACGTGAATCCCATTCGCTGAACTGATTTTTGCTCTGGAAATGGGTGAGTAATGGGGCAACTTCCACTCCTGTTTCTGCCAGAATTCTCTGACATTCCTATCTGCTGCACTAGCCGCCTTCTCAGTCCACTTCCTATATTGGATGAAGCAGAATTTTGCCTAATGAAATTTCATGGCTACAAGATACCAGCTACCAGGGCCAGCCCAAGACATTTTGCTGCCTGAGGTGACAAGATGGTGCCTCCCCCAATACACATAACAGATGCTGACCAGAAAAATATTTCTTTAATGTTGTCATGTCCTCCACCACACCTGAGGGCAAGAGATTGGCTGAGGATGTGCTGGACAGACCACGTGGCACACACAGCACTGCCTTTGTTGTTGCTGCTCCCCTGGCTTCTGCCACCTGAGGTGGCTGCCACACTTTTCCCAATGATAGGGTCGGCCCACCACTTACACAGTTTCAAAGTACATTTAAATCTTTGAACAGTGTTTTACTTTGTCCCTGTTTTGAGCCAATTCCCAATGTCCTGTTCAACAAGTGCAACCATCGTGTAATCATTTGGTGGTTTGGAGTAAGTGGCTAATTGCTATGAAGACAGCTGCTTTATCAGATGAATGCAGTACCCTTCGGCGGAGAAAAGCGATGGAGGGATGATCTTCAATTTATGCACAGGTGATAGAAGACACTTGATAGTCATCACCTATCAGTGTGGCATCTGTTCAGTAACTGGCCAGCCCAATAACCCATAACAACTGATGAGATCAATTCCATGCATCCAATTTATCAAACGATAAACACAATCAATAATCCTGTGACTAAGGTAATGTATAGACCTAAGTGATAACCTTTATCTTTGGGTAACTAGCAGCTACATAGACTTCGTAAAATAAATGGAGGCAACCTTAGCTTTTTAAGCTCTGTTGTCTCATAATGTTGGTTCTGTAAATAGCACTGACTTGGCTACAAAGAACCTCTTCCACAAATGGAATATTTTGTTAACGTGTGTGTATGTATGGGGGACAAAGGAATAGAGAGACTCTGGTTTCCACGCTCTACTTTCTGCAGCTTCTTCTCCACAATATCCCATTAGGGAGGGGAGGGGAATTTGGTTCAGTTTGCATATTCTAACTTCCCCAAACAAGAAATGAACAGAAATGCAGCCATCCTGAGAAATTTGCACTTCTCCAAATTTTGAAGTGCAGTTTCCCAGAGAAGCAATGTCCAGAAAAATGTGCACAATGGGGGGAAATATGTATAAAAAGGCATATATTAATGAAAATAACATACAAAAAAATGTGTTTTATTAGGCAAAAATGTATGTATGACAAGATTTTCATGAGGACTTATTCAATTTAAAAAATTGTGAACTGATGAAGGAACATGGAGGAATGAACCTAAGATTGGAAAAATGAGAAAATGAGAGAAATCAAAATTGACAGATTCATTCATAGCTACAGCTCAAAATTTGCTGAAGGGTGCCTGGCCATCAGAACTGGCTTTTTAGTGGGGGACAAAATATGCTGCAGTGGGAAAGAGGTGATGGGAAAGGATAATTTTGGTCTCTGGGTCCAAAGCTAGGGATGTAAGAAGGAATCATTTCCTGCTCAGCACTGTGTTAATTGCATGCAGCACTGTTTCTGTTCTACTGCAGTTCAACTTCTGCCAAACACTATGTTATTTATCTCTCTGCCCGCTGTGGTGAAATTACATAATGTGCATAATTTATTATGTAAGTTCTATCACCACCATCTTATTCCACCTCATTAATTTCCTTGTAAAGGAAGCAGAACGCAAATGGGAGAGAGGCAATCAATTACATATTGTTCTGGAACTAAAGGCAGCAACAGCAAATACTAATATCTGCTGTACTGATTTCCATTTTGGACATGGAACGGCTAAAAAAAAAAATTAGCAATTTCCATTCCTGCTTCTGCTTATGTCGGAATTCTCTGGCAATCTTCATCTAAGCTCTTTTCCACTATAGCAAGTGAGAATTTGTAGGTGGGGGAGAGAGAGACTGGGGGAAGGGAGAAAGTTTCTGGACCTGTAGAAAAATAATTTCAAAGGAAAAGAAATATGCACAAAAAGCAATTCATCTCACCCTAATTTCCAGACCCTCCACATAATTTTATAGTGAACAACAGCAATGAGCCTCTGCCTCTATAGAGGAAGCAGCCTTTGAGTGTTGTCTAAGTTTTCAAATTTATGGACAGAAGGGTTTCTAATTAAGTCCTGCCATTATTTTTTTGCAGAACATCTTGGTGGAGGAAATATATAGCTCATCCCCTCCTTGCCAGGATCTTTAAACAATTTTAATGGCTTTATCTACCTCCAGCAGAAAACAAAAAAAAGAACTTTTTTAAAGTAAAGAACTCACCAAATAAAGCAGTGCTAGAATATTACACTTGAGAGTAATCCCACAAGGGCTCAACTAGGACACGTTTGAGTGTCATGAAATTGGTTGCCGCCCCACCCAACACAGAACATCAGTTCATGCACTCATCAGGCCTTTGGAGAACTGGACTACGTGAAGGGAATTAAGCTTCTCCGTGTTGGGTCACTTTTAGAAGAGAAAAACAGGTTAACAATCCATCTATGCGGTAGAGACGAAAGGATTGTAATACTCTTCCACCACAATGGCTACAGTAGATGTGACATTTGTTTGCCCTTGCATCACTTTTTTTTTAATAGCCAGCATTGGGGATCTAGGGTTGTTGGGCCTGTGGAATGGGTAGAGGGACAGGGGGTCTTGGGAAATAGTGTTTCCCATGACCCTTAACTGGAAATAGTATTTGCCAGGATCCTTATAAAGGATGCAAAGGACTGAGCCTGAGACCTTCTGCATGCAAACCAGGTTGTTGGGCCTGTGGAATAGTTAGAGGGACATGAGGGTCTTGGGAAATAGTGTCTCCCATGACCCTTAACTGGAAACAGGATTTGCCAGGATCCCAAGGACAGGATGCCAAGAACTGAGCCTGAGACCTTCTTCATGCAAACCAGGTTCTTTATCACTGTTGTGGTCTTTCCTGCTCACAAAATATCACACTAGGCATGCATTAGCAGGAGGACCATATCCCTGTGTTTAAATAAAAAAGGGAGATTGGATTACACACTTTGCTATAATTCAGGCTCTCCCAATCTGATGCCCTTCAGATTTCAGACCACAACTCCCATCATCCTGGCTATGACAATTGGCGCTGATGGGAGTTGGAATCCAAAACATATGGAGGGCACCAGGATGGAAAGGTTGCTTTAGTGACATGTTTAAAAAAAAAACCTTCCTAAAATACATTGTTGTTGTGCAATTTAGTCTTGACTACATCCAAGGACATTTCCCACAGAACCTTTTGGAAAGACTCACTTCCCCACTCCCCCTCAAGGAAATCTCAAATGGTGTCCCTGATCAAGACAGATGAGATCCTTTCCTGCTACGCTGCACCTTTGAATATCACATCCTTTCTCAGATGACACACAGACACTGCTAAATCTGTTCTTGGATTCAGTTATCAAACAGCCCTTGAATTGGTGTGACAGCCTGGAGAGATAAGCATTAGTTGATGTTATCTCCAGAAATGGAAGCAAAAAAAAGTACACTTTTCCAATTTGCACATTCTCCAACATTGCGGCTTGATATTTACACAGTACCTGTCCCAGCCCAGAACTAATATAGTCCAGCTTAGCACCATGATCTGGGAGATTTCAACTGCTCGGTCTCTTCCGGCATTGAGCTTATGGTGACAATGTCCGTTGAAGTCCCAGATCTGCAATTTAAATTAGGAAAACAATATGTCACAAAACAAAGTAGGAAATGTCTCTTGGTAATTTCAGAAGCAACACATCAAAACATGTAAGAACATAAACACTGCTAAGACATAGACCTATTTAATGTAAGGTGGGGGGGGAGCATTGCTTGTTGGTAGGACACAAGTTTTTCATGCAGGAAATCCCAGCTTCGGTCCCTGTAATCTTCCATTAAAAGCGTCACATAACATGCAGTGGGAAGGACTCTGCTGTGTAAGACTGATGTGCTCACACTTACCGAAAAATGCAGTAGCTTTTCTCAGTGCAGTTGTGGAAGAATAAAGCTGAGTAAAAGGACATTCATGAACCTGCACCTGGCTAAAGTTAGAGGCTATGCAGATTGTTGTTGTTTAGTAGTTTAGTCGTGTCCGACTCTTCGTGACCCTATGGACCAGAGCACGTTAGGCACTCCTGTCTAGATAGGTAAAGGTAAAGGGACCCCTGACCATTAGGTCCAGTCGTGACCGACTCTGGGGTTGCGGCGCTCATCTTGCTTTATTGGCCAAGGGAGCCGGCGTACAGCTTCCGGGTCATGTGGCCAGCATGACTAAGCCGCTTCTGGCAAACTAGAGCAGCACACGGAAATGCTGTTTACCTTCCCGCTGGAGCGGTACCTATTTATCTACTTGCACTTTGATGTGCTTTCGAACAGTTAGGTTGGCAGGAGCAGGGACCGAGCAACGGGAGCTCACCCCATCACGGGGATTCGAACCGCTGACCTTCTGATTGGCAAGTCCTAGGCTTTGTGGTTTCCAAAAGATGCTGGTGTACTCCAGTCCCCATCATCCCTGACTATTGGCCATGCTGGTTAGGGCTGATCAGAGTTGGAGGCCAACAACATGTGGAGGACCACAGATTCCCCATTCCTAATGCACAGTGGAAGTGCAAGAGGAATGGCAGGGGGAGATCTCTGTGGACTCAGGTATACATTTGCAAAGAAAACATTTTAAGTGTGTTTTAAGTGCAATATACAATGTGACACTAAGATGGCGATGAGCCTTATGGAAAATTCAATGTATTTTTTAAAACACTTTTTTTAAAAAAGGCATTTTCAGAATGTTTTTTATATGTGTGTAGATTCCACCTGTATGTTCAGCTGAATGTCTCAGTGGATTTTACATGTGTACAACTGTACGAACATTGGGTTCTTATCTTGCAAGCAGGAATACAGGTATATGGGTCTCATGTGAATGTTCAGCTGAGCACACAGATGTTATGGGTGAGGGCCCTAAGCACATTCACTGTACGTAGCTGTAACATCTGCATGGGATTTTAGCCATTACCAACTCAATTTGGTCATCAATAACTTTCGCTGGAATGGAACAATGGCTTTTGAAAACACAGCCCTGATTTTCTTAAACCAGTAGGGTTGCAATCCCAAACTGACTGACTCGGGAGAATGCCTCAATGAATTCAATAGGGCTTAATCGGTGCTTTTTTCCTTAAAAAAAATATGTTTAGGGGTACTTTCATTTTGACTCAAGAAAATCTCCATTTTATAGTTCAAATCAGAGAGAATAAATACAGTCATACCTTGGGTTAAAGACGCTTCAGGTTAAATCTTTTCAGGTTGCGTCCTGCGACGACCCGGAAGTAACGGAACAGCTTACTTCCGGGTTTCGCCGCTTGCGCATGCACAGACGCTCAGAATGACGTCACACGCATGCACAGATGTGGCGAATCGTGACCCGCACACACACAGATGCAAGTTGCATTCTGCTCATAATGCGAATGGGGCTCCGGAATGGATCCCATTCTCATCCAGAGGTACCACTGTACAGTAAATGGACAGTGAAAGTACAAAAATTCACAAAATGTTTAGGGGCATGTGTACCCCTGTGTCCCCCCATAAAAAAAAGAACTGGGCTTAATTCTGAATCAATATGATCAGGACTGCAACCTAAGAGATTTCACTGCTTTACACAATGGGTATGGAAATTAGGGTCCTTAACAACAATTCCCCTTATTGTTCCAACTAAGCAGGAAAGTGATATCTGCTTAGCAAAATAAACAAAGATCTTTTTAGTAGTTGGAATACGAGGCCCAGATTGAAGGATTAGCACCATAGGCCTCCTGCAGATAACCCACCTCTGCACCAAAAATCTAGTCTTCCATGGTGAGTTGGATTTCCCCTCTCCAGCAGCACTTTCAGCTGTTGCAAACTTTCCGCCTCCCATACTTCAAGGACTGATCTCTCATCTGCATGAAGCCAGGGAACTCGGAGGTCTATAAATGATCTCTGACTATCGTCAAAGAGGGGAGTCAAATTTGGATTGGACTTGATATGAGACAAGCCATTTCCTGCTTTTTTGGTAAGGCTTGGCTTATTTCCAATCTAATTCAGTGTGAGCTCCATCCATCTCTACTATAATTATTCTGCAGTGATTCCTGTTAGGCAGACAATAATTGCCAGCCAGAAGAACTGACCACATGGAAATAAAATATTGGTATTTATTTTGTATTTATATCATCGTTCCTTTCCTTTGCTAACAAGGGTGGGTAAAAACATGCCCTGTATGCAAAACTCCAGTAATCCCAAAAGCTTTTTAATTGCTGCTAATTAAAGCAGGAAAGGTTTCCTGAACTGAAGGAATTATGTGCTGAATTAAGCATAAATGGTTGAAGAGCTGTTGCACTTCTGCATAACTCTCAAAGCACTTTCCACTGGAGGTTAAAACATTATCTCCATTTTTTATTATGAAAATGATATACAGGTGGTACATGACCCCAGTCAAGCTTGCAAAAATCTACCATTTGCCCGATAATAAATGTTGGAAATGTAAAGAAACTGAAGGTACATTCTTTCACCTTTGGTGGACGTGCCCAAGGATTAAGGCTTTCTGGGAAATGATATATAATGAACTGAAAAAGGTATTTAAATATACCTTCTTGAAGAAACCAGAGGCCTTTCTTCTGGGCATTGTCGGCCAATTGGTGCCAAAGAAGGACAGAACTTTTTTATGTATGCTACAACAGCAGCAAGAATACTCATTACAAAGTATTGGAAGACACAAGATCTACCCACTTTGGAAGAATGGCAGATGAAGGTGATGGACTATATGGAATTGGCAGAAATGACTGGCAGAATCCGAGACCAGGGGGAAGAGTTGGTGGAAGAAGATTGGAAGAAATTTAAAGACTATTTACAGAAATATTGTAAAATTAATGAATGATAGAAGGATGTTGGATAGTAATTAAGCGGTTTCTAGCTGTAATGCTTTAAGAGAATATGAAAAAAAGGGTTATAAATGGGTTAAAATCTAATGGTAAGGATTTGCTGAACCAATAAACTGAAGTGGAATACAAAAAAGGGAGGTACGAGGAGGTCCGGGAAACAAGCTAAAGGAAAATAAGTAACTGAAAATATGTGTGTTTTTAACTGTTTTTATTTTGTATTTTTCTCTTTTCTTCTTCATTTTTACTGTAATATTTCAAAAAACCTTAATAAATATCTTATTAAAAAAAACATTATCTCCATTTTTGTAGGCAAGGATAGACCATAATCTTTTCAACATGCATGTGGTGCGTTGAATAACTTCATGCTTCTCCTTACCACCCCTTCTCATCGAAAGCTAGCCCATCAAGGAGCCAAGTCTTTGATCTAACATGCTTGGCTTTTATTATGTAAGAGTTTCTAATGTAAAAAAGCACTCCAAAAATGTAGCATCCCAACTACATTCTGAAGTACTATTACCATGCCTTCTCCATCCCACCTAAGGCAGAGAACTCTTTTTATTCTATATAAAGCTGGCAATTGAAATACTGGTAATGGATCAGGTCTTGGCAAAGTGAGCTCAACAAAGGTTCCATTGAAACCAATGGGATAAATTTGTGGGGGGAAATTCAGATAAATTCCAGCCCAATCTAAATATATTTTAAAAATAAATAAATTGTCCAGTAGCACCTTAGAGACCAACTAAGTTTGTTCTTGGTATAAGCTTTTGGCTGCATGCACACTTCTTCAGATACACAGATTCCAGCCCAATCTGTTTCCCTTTACCATTTTGTCATTCCAGAATCCAGTTGCTAATATTTACCCCCTGCAACTCCTGCAACAGAGCCATGCACTGTTGTTAGCCCGTGTAGTCTGCGAAATTGCATATTGAGTGAAGTGGCTTCTCCCCCGACACAAACACATACACACCTTTACGGTTCCATCTGTGCTTCCGGTGAAGAGTCTGGTCTGAGTCCCATCAAGAGCCATAGTACTGATCTCAGCATTGCCATGGCAACCTGTAAACTCTTTGATTTTCTGCCCAGTATCAATCAGCCAGAAGATAACAGTAGATCCAGCATCTGAGCTGATTACCTAAGGAAGAAGGAGGGGGAGAGAGTTTCTGGAATGAAAACCTTGCTTGTTTGCTCTCCGCATCTCCTTCCACACAAACACCTTCATTACTATAATCTTACACATACGTGAACCTCACTTATATAATTGCCAACATTTGAAATGCAAATCCGAAAAATGTCGGCATTGATTTTCTCATCTTCTTTCTTTCAACTCATTAGAAGATTTATCTCCCCCTCCCCATTAAAGTTTATGGACTGCTTCTTATCCTATCTTAAATACCTGCCTTCCCAGCAAGCTCCGTTTAACTAAAGAATAATGATTTAACTGCCATTATCATTCAAGGGAGAAAAGAGGTGACTTGTTCCTTCTGCAGATAATACCCCAATCCAGAGGGGGACAATGTGTCCTTAGCAGCGAGAAGTGCAACAGAGAATTTTCCAGCTGAAATTATAAGGGTGCAGCAGGCAAAGCGCTTTGTACAGTGCCATGAGATAAACCAGCCTCACTTTATCACAGCAATTGATCCATTGAGTAATGGATCTTTAAAGCTGATCTAGGAAATGTCTCAGTATGCATTAGCTTTAATTTAAAATTTTAACTGTGTGGTCAGATTGGAAGAAAGTCCATTTGGAGACAGATCATGCTCAGTCTCCTATGATAGCTTTAAGTCCAGGGCATGCTATGTTACTCATAAATTACCTTTTCTTCACCATTTCATGTGTGATTTATTGCAGAAGAGTCAGAGCCTATCAGTCTTATTCTGGCACAGGGATAGACAACCTCTCCCAACTTGTAGCTTTAAAAGTCCAAGCAACAAAAGCAATATATGGTTTTTCAACATGGGCATATTTGTGTGGGGGGGGGTTACATTCTGGACCCCCACACACATTGGCCCACGTAAGGCAGACCCGCCCCATTCTGCCCATGCTCCCAACCTGTTTTACCCCTTTCCCTGATGTTCTTGTGACGTTTTCGGGTCTCTTCCAGGTTTGGTACAATGCTTGTGTGCATGGTCACACACAATGTTGGACACGCGTAAAATGGTCGCTGCCTGTACTCAGAGAATTGTATCCAACTAAGCCATACTCAAGAGAAGACCCACTGAAAACAATGAGCTTGACAAATTTGTATACTGATTTAAGTAGGTCTGTTCTGAGTATGACTTAGATACAACCTAGAATAGTATTTGCTCAACATACCTAAAAATCAAAGCGAGAGAAGGCTGCCATTTGGGGATATGGTATCGGAGTCCTCAGAGGACGAACCAGTTACCCCACAGGTTAAGGACCTTGAGGATGTTATAAGAAAAAACTGCTCCTTTTCCCTTATGGGGTACCCAAGATCCCTTATAGAGTCCTTAAGTAGCTTCCCTATCGGTAGGAGAAAGTAACAGAGGCCAACCAGAGAATATTGAGAAGCAAAGCAGCTAGTAAGCCTGATCTTTATTAAACAGTTGCAACATGGTCCTCACTCACCACATGCAGGAGGGAGGAGGAACCCAGAACAATGGTGTGCAAGCCCTTATATAGACTTTTGAAATTGCCCACCCTGTAGCTCAAGACCACGCCCCAAAACATCATACGTACATCACAGAAGGAGGTGGTCTACAGCAGAAATCCTGTCTGCCAGGAAACCTGTTAATGGTCAGTGATTGCCCTACCTGGGCAGCCTGGCCATTCTTTTGTGATGGCTAATACTTTAGTTCCTGAATCCAGGTCACAGGCTCGCCCTATTCATACACAAATATGCCCTTAAGACAGGCTTTGTAAGCAAAAAGACAAAGGGAAGACTTTCCCCATTTTCTCCCTCCTTGCAGAGAAATAGATCGAGGTCAGTTTGGGAGCGTCAAAATGGCTTCAGGATTGCTCTCCTTTACTATTTCAGACAACGTGGTTTATATACTTATGTATGTGTTTGCCTTGTACATTTATGAATGTATTTAATATTTGAAACCTTAGATGAAACCTTAGAATTCTTATAACAAGGAGGAGACAGAGTCCCCTGGAAACTGTGCTGAAGATCCACTGGGTTGAGATCTAGCAATGAACATGTAGAGCTCTTAGAGGTGGTGGAGCCACCACTCCCAGTTATCAAGAACACTGGCACCAGAAGGTCCTGGGTCCAGACTGGAGAGCTGTGATACAGCATGCTTCTATGGACCTAAAGTCACTGTGTGGCTTGCGAGTAAGGGCTCTCTTTTCCCTGGTGTGCCTTGTTCGAACTCCCTGTGATAGTGAAAATGGATTATTGTCCGGTGCTGCCTCTGGTTCATATTTTGGACCTCGACTCATTTTCCATGTTTGATCCTGCTTTGTCTGCACTGCGCCTGCAACCCTGGCCTTGCAGAAGGCCTTCTCGGTAGTGGCACCTGCCCTGTGGAATGCCCTCCCACCAGATGTCAAAGAAATAAACAACTCTCTGACTTTTAGAAGACATCTGAAGGCAGCCCTGTTTAGGGAAGTTTTTAATGTTCAATGTTTTATTGTGTTTTTATTTAATATTCTGTTGGAAGCCATCCAGACTGGCTGGGGAGGCCCGGCCAGATGGGCAGGGTATAAGTAATAAATGTTGTTGTTGTTGTTGTAAGAGATTTACACCTCCTAGGGACTTGGATCCTCATCTCTGAGGGCAAAGATCCACTGGAGCAAAGCAATACCTTTGGGGGGAGGTATGAAAACCCACATTTTTTACTGCAATTAATTTGAGTTTTCCATTCCCACCCCCCATAAAATGACTAGCCTATAATCGCTTGAGACCCTGTTATTTGAAATATTGGCTACAACCATATTAACTTACCCTGGCATTAAGTTACTCATCAGAAAACCTTCTCTGGTTGCCTTTGCTTTCAGGCGCAAGGCAGGTGACAACAATGAAATTTTAATTGGTGGTTTCCTACTTATGGGATGTCCTCCCTAAAGAGGCCTGCCTGGTATTTCCTTGTTGACTTTTGGGTTCAAGGCATCTTATTTGTCTGAACTGAACAATAATTTAGTTTAATCAACCCTAACTTTTACATTGAGTGCTTTTTTTGTTAGTATATATTTATTTATACCCCGGCTTTCTCCCTGTCAGAGACTCCAAGCAGCTTACAGATAAAAATAAGAACAGCTAACAAAAAAAAGCAACTGTTAAAAACAATTAAGCATTGTTAGAATCAAAACTATATATGTATACATTAAAAATATTAAAACCATACAGATAATTACAATAAAAACAGCACACGCAAGCCCTTTCATTAGAAGCAGTCAGCCAAAAAGCCTATTGGGACAGGAAAGTCTTCACTTGCTGGTGGAAGGACAACAAGGAGGCAGCCAGTCCAGCTTCTCTGGAGAGGGAATTTCAAAGGCTGGGAGCAGCCACCAAGAAGGCCCTCTCCCATGTCACCACCAAGCATTCCTGTGAACGTGGCAGGACCAACAGAAGGGTCTCGCCTGAAGTTCTTAAAACCTAGCCAGGTTCATATGAGGGAATGTGGTCTTTCAGGTAGCTTGGACCGAAGCCATGTAGGCCTTTATAGGTCATAACCAGCACTTTGAATAGTGCCCAGAAACAGGTTGGTAGTCAGTGGAGCTATTTTAACAAAGGAGTCATTTGCTTCAGCTGCTATAGTATCATGGTTTTCCTATTTTCTTCCGTGAGTGTTGATCTCTTGAGTTTCTGCTGCTAGCCCATTTAATCTTTTGAGCGGTTGTGGCGTTTTCAGCGTGTTTTGGATTTATTACGTGCTGCACTGGACATTTTATCTGGAAATTCAAAAGCAGAATTTAAACCTTTGAAATCAAAACAGGTCTGTTCCGAACACAAGATAAATGTTGTTTGCTAGCCTACAATAGCAATGGTTGTTATAGCAGTCAAACCTAGGCTAATGAGGGGTTTAGCACAGTTACCTACATTTAATCACAATACCACTTCTGACCACAAAGGCAATGAAATGCTATATTGCCTCTGTTACTTGCTTTATAAATATTATGTCATTATTCCATAGATGTGCTTTGGAGAGTGCATTTTTGACCAGCTGGCCAACTAAAGGTCAGCAAGTAACTTGAAATGCCTGCATATTAAAGTTTGGTGGATGGTTTTTAAAGACCCATCATTACAACTGAGACTAAGCAAGTGAATAAAGTTTGCTGCCCTTCAACTTTGGTAATTAAATGAATCTTCCTTGTGAAGAAGTGATATGCTCCATACTTATCATATCAAATGAGCAGTGCTCCTCTAAAGCCCTGAAACCATCATTACAAATGGCGCCCAAGTGGAATTTTAATTGCAACCCAATGTGCTTTTAATAACAGGAGCACTGCCCACCGGTAATATTGGAAAGTCTCCTCCAAAAAAAGTGAGTGAACTGGGATAGTTAGACTTGTCGTTACAATACAAAGCAGTGGGAAAGAAATAGCCTGAGCCTCACTCTTGGCAGCCCTGAAAGATATGAACATCGAGTCAGCAACAAAGAGTAGCGCAGCTGTTTTATGACTTCTTGGGCCCAGCATGAAGCAGTGAGAGGTTGTGTGTGTGGTTTTTTGGTTTTTTTGAATGGCTATATCCTTTTATTCTGTGTGATTCAGAGAGAAGGGTCACTGTGCTGTTTCTTCCTATGGGTGGATGTCAGGGATTCATGGGGAATAGATAATTATAGGTGGGGAATTAGATTGTGCCAGGTGTAAAAGGGAAATCTCTCTATATCATGGGTAGGAAAACTATGGCTCTTTGGGTGTTGGGGTTCCAGCTCCCATCAACCCCAACCAGCTTTATTACATTTGTATTTATTATTTCCATTGATAGCATTTAAGGTAAAGGTAAAGGACCCCTGGATGGTTAAGTCCAGTCAAAGGCAACTATGGGCTGCGGTGCTCATCTCGCTTCAGGCCAAGGAAGCCAGTGTTTGTCCACAGACAGCTTTCCGGGTCATGTGGCCAGCATGAATAAACCGCTTCTGGTGCAACAGAACACCGTGACAGAAACCAGAGCGCACAGAAACACTGTTTTCCTTCCCGTCACAGTGGCACTTATTTATCTACTTGCACTGGTGTGCTTTTGAACTGCTAGGTTGCCAGGAGCTGGGACAGAGCCATGGGAGCTCACCCTGTTGCGGGGATTCAAACCACCGACCTTCTGATCAGCAAGCCCAAGAGGCTCAGTGGTTTAGACCACAGCGCCACCCGCCACTCTTGGTTCAGATTCCTAGAGTGGTTCACAAGTAAATGTACAAAATGCACAACAGCAAAAAATGAATAATGTTAGAGGCTACATTAAAAACAGAAAAGTCATCTCATGACTTTCAAAAGAGCAAAAAGATGATCTGGAGGGACACAGGATCCCTGCTCCTGCTTTGCCTCCTGCTTTGGTTGAAGAAGGATGAGCAGATAGACTTGTTGGGGTTGTGTGATTGTTATATTTATTCCCTTAAAAGGGACACACAAAGTAGAGGGGAACATTGGTTGGTAGAATGGTGTGTTCCTTTGGGAAAAGGCAACAGTCTTTCCCATGTGACATGGTGTATAGAAGGAAGGGGGGGGTCTGGGATCATCCCCACACCTAAACATGTTCAAGAGACTTTTTGAACAATCTGTATACAAGCTTTTGGGGGTGACTGGGGATACTGTACTGCTTTCAGCAGGATCCCGGACTGCACATGCAGAGCTTATGCATATATGTGTAGGGTCTGTCAGGGGTGGGGGGTGGGGGACAGCAATGAGTCAAACTCGACTTTTCAAACACATGCATTCGTTGTACCCACCTTGTCTTGTAAACAGGGCTGTAAGGCATTATTGATGGCTGCTCAAATTAGTGACTCCCCTCCCATTCACACCTGCAGATTTACCAACATTCATGCCTGAGCACATTTTGGGAAGATTTAGCTGTTAAAGTCTGCCTTTAGAGTTCAGGTTTAAGTCAGGGAAGGGTAGGGGAATTCCTACTGAAAAAAGATAAAACCTCATTTCGTTTTTGCTGACTTTTGCTTTTGTTCTCACTCTGAGTATCTGCCCACGGCAGACTGTGCACAAAGGAATAAAAAGAACTGAAACTGTTGGGAGTTTGGCAGGGAGCTATTTCTGTTTTTCCGTCTCCTTTCCCCTTCCCTGTCTGTTTTCTCATTGAGAACTTTTCAGCTTCCTTTATTTCAGATATTTTGACTAATGAAAGGGGCATATACACATATATACAGTGCTTTTTTTCTTTTAAAAAATGTTTAAGGGTACTCTCATTTTCCTACTCATATTGAAATACAGATATAGATATATAGATGTAGAGATATAGATAGAGATAGATGATAGATAGATAGATATTAATATATATTTGCTTCATCCAGCTGATTGTTACAATGCTATGCAATGCTCAGGGCTGGATCTAGACACATTAAAACACAGAGAAATCCACTTTCTAAGAGATCAGGCTATTTGTCCATCTCACCCACAACTGTGCACTCTGACTGGCAGCTGATCTCCAGGGCAGGATTTCTTCCCATCACTGCATCCTGAACCTTTTAACACCAGGAAGTGGACCTGGGTATGTGGTGCTTTACCACTGAGCTACAGCCTCTTCCGCATTGGTCTTCAGTGTCTGTGGAAGGACGTGTGGATCCAGATTTGGCCTCCACAGTCACTCACGGACTCAATCGTGTTAAAACCGTGTTTATGGAAGACAATCTTACTCAGCTATGAGTGATCGTCAAAGAAGAAGAAGAAGAAGAATTGATTTTGTAACGGAATCATAATTTCTGCTCTTTGGGGCAGATTCAACTACCCCATTCTGCTAGTGGAATGCACCTGCACCTGCATCTCCCCCAAATCCACTCTGGTGGGTTGGAAGAACCCCCAGAACAGCAGGTGAGAGAAGGAGAGGAGAGAGTGTTCCACTGGACAACCAGAAGTGCTTGCACTGCTCAAATGCTCTCTTTAGTGCTACATTGAATTCCACCCTTTGTGCTTTCCTGCACATCTTCTGATGGGGCTATTTGCCTGTACTTCTTCCATGCTTCCAGTTAGGAATATCAATGTTTCTTGCCTTCAGCCAGTGTGTGCAGAATATTTTCAATCGACTCTACTGGCAAACTGAGGGACATTTTTAGCATTATGCAGAAGCACACCTGCATTTCCCATGGGGCATACACTCAATAGCCAGTCACACCTCCCTGAAGTGGAGACATGTGTGATTCGTGCATTTGTCACATTCACTTTCATAGACACTATACATTTAAAGCCCATTCAAAGCCCATTTCCCCGTGAAAGAATAATGGGCACTGTAGTTTATTAAGTGTTGCTAGGAATTGTAATTCTGAAAGGTGTAAACTAGAGGGCCCAGAATTTTGAGGTAAAGAATGTGCTTTGAATGTCCTTTAAAGATATAGTGTGTATACAGCCATACACTTAAAACTTCCTGGGTGTACACTCAGTGCTATTTTTCTAGAAAAAGAGGTGCCGGAACTCACAATGAACACTTCCCTCATTCTCTTATACAGTCGTACCTTGGATCCCAAACACCTTGTAACTCAAACATTTTGGCCCCAAACACCGCAAACCCAGAAGTGAGTGTTCCAGTTTGCGAACAATCTTTGGAACCCGAACGTCCAACGCAGCTTCTGTGGCTTCCGATTGCGTGCAGGAAGCTCCTGCAGCCAATCGGAAGCCACACCTAGGTAGTTGAACGGACTTCCAGAATGGCTTCCATTCGACAACCAAAGTACGACTGTAATGGCAATGGCACCCACCTGAGAGGTGCCAGAACTGAGTTCCGGTGAGTTCCAGCTGAAAAAAAGCCCTCTAATATACCTAATGTGTGAACTGGTCCTCTGTCTGTTTAAATATTCTTCTTTTTAAAAATACCCATGTCCTATGCACTTGGGATTTTATCCTAACAGGATATTTGAATATTCTGCATGAAAACTTCCTTTAGCAACATTTAGACTTTTGCTGTCACTCTAATTCAGGTTCCAAATACTTGATTCGTACAAAAATACATGACCAATCGCATTATTGACACTTGCAGTTTACAGATCTCTTTTCAGATTACAGTGATGGCTGTAATGCATTGAATGCAGCAATGTTTTACACCTGCACACCTGCTGGTGAAGTCGCAGCAGAAATAATCGTTAATCTGAGGCAGTGGAACAGGGACACATTCTACAATAACACAACACATAAAGGTTGGGAAGATCTAAGACTCAGGGAGACCTGCACAATTAGAAATCTTATTTTTTTATCACTGCGAGTACCAAGCCAAAGTACCATTTCATTTACAGTTCGTTTGTTTTTTTTTGTAGTTCCAGAGGGCTCAATGTCAACACGGCATTGTCATATGCTGTACACATATTTTCCAACTTACATGATATTTGTCCAACTTAGACACGTCTGCTAAATTCCCTTATTGACCTCCACTTGGTCTCATTCATTACATAGTTGAATAGCACTGGTCCTTGAGTTGGGCTTCGTCTAACTCCTATCTCCACACTGAATTTTTGAAGTACTTTAGCCTTGCACTCCTGTGAGCAGTGGATCCAGATTTAATCTGCTCTCAAAAGCTCATAATTTTTTCTCCCACTGCTAAATCAAATGCAAAAGTAAAAAAAAACAAAACCCAAGAAGTGATGTATAGCAGTTGCCCATATCGCTTACATGTCTGCAATAGTGATCTAAGTGAGATAACATTGTTGACGATTCAGATAAAAAGCAGAATCTCAGTTCAGACATCCCACCAAATGGTGATTTGCATTAGCTATCTGTGGAATCCAAAGCATGATTTTTGGTCAATCCCCAAAGAGCAACAAGCCCTAGAGTCTCTTGATCCCTCCCCCCTCTTTGTGACCTGATGTTCTCAGCATGAGGCTTCTGTCTAATTTAACCCCATCTTCCTCCAATTCATCCCTGGCCCCTGCGGACGTGGTTTATCTGTGCCAACAGGTACATCAACAGAACAATCCTATTTATTTGTTATTTGCTTATTGAACCACATTAACCCCAGTCTTTAGGCAAAAAGGCTCCCAATGCAATCTACAGAAATCAGTGGTAAGATAAATCCCGCCCCACAGGCTTCCAAACTAAAAGAAATGATATACAAGAGGGGGACGTGTGGGGAGGGAAAGGGGGGGGGAGCAAGCTCCTTAAGGTTTCAGCTCCCTGGTAAATAGACACAGGGGGTCCTTCTTTCTCCTTTCGCTTCACAATGAAACTTAAGGAGAAAGGCAGGCTGTATTAACTGCTTGCCTTGTGGTGCATTTGAGCTGATATTTTCATTGATATATAAAAATCAATCACACCTTTCATTCTGGAAGTGTCCCCAAGGGATTTTTTTAAAAATTGAAAGATAAAGTACAGAGAAGATAGGCCACACGCACCCCCGCCCGCATGCACACTTTCAGACACAAAAGATACCACTGTTAGCAGATACAATGCAGCAGTAAGAGAAAATGTCACATGGCCGAAAGCTTATGAGATAAGGAGGCTGGAAGAGAGCTGTGGTAGAAAAACTGGAGATAAGTGCCCTCAGTTATGAAGAGCTTGCTGGATCTGACCAATGGTTCAACTTAGTCCAGCATCCTGTTCTCACAGTGAAATTTACCTTTGGTAAATTTACCTTTGGTAAATTTGGTAAAGGGACGCGGGTGGTGCTGTGGGTTAAACCACAGAGCCTAGGACTTGCTCATCAGAAGGTCGGTGGTTTGAATCCCCGCGATGGGGTGAGCTCCCGTTGCTCAGTCCCAGCTCCTGCCAACCTAGCAGTTTGAAAGCACGTCAAAGTGCAAGTAGATAAATAGGTATCGCTCCGGCGGGAAGGCGTTTCTGTGCACTGCTCTGGTTCGCCAGAAGCAACTTAGTCATGCTGGCCACATGACCCGGAAGCTGTACGCCGGCTCCCTCGGCCAATAAAGCGAGATGAGCGCCGCAACCCCAGAGTAGGTCATGACTGGACCTAATGGTCAGGGGTCCCTTTACCTTTACCTTAAAGTTGATAAATTTTGGTACCTTTGGTATCAGCTGTAAAGGGGAGCTGCAACCAAATCACTCACATTCAGGAGCCTTACTCCCATGCAGGCGTAGATGTGATTGCAGCCAGTTAGTGCTTAATTTACAGCCAAGGATGGAGAACCTGCGGCCCTCCAGATTTTGTTGAGACTCCAATTCTAACCATCCCGCAACATTTTCCCTGCTGGCTGGGGCCAATGGGAGTGGGAGTCCTACATCTGCAGATCACAGATTTACAGCGATGGCGCTCAGGGTAGCTATTGCCTTTATTTCACGGGCAGCAAGATTCCTGCTTTGTTCCAAAGCACTCGCACACAATCAAACGAAAGATTATGGGGTTGGTGTTTTTAAAGGGGTGGGGAATGTAAATGATCCCCCCCATAGCTCTGTATCACCCCACAGCATACAGCTATGTTTGCTTTAGCTGAATCTCAATCTGGAGATTAAAAGATGCTGTTGGGCGCAGCTGAGGGGAAAGGAGGGGGAGAAATCAATCACAGGGGTCTTTCCCTTTTCTTCTGAGCCTGGCTATTCATTGAGATGCAGGTAGTGCTCTGATGGCAAGGGCCGCAGTGCTGGGAAGACAAATAACACCCAACTTGCATACCAAGTGGCATTGCATTTAACTGATTTCATTTTGTGATGAAATACATAACTGTGATCCAGGGCCACCATACTGAGAGTCACTTCTGGGGAAATGTGCCAGCAAGAAGGCACATCTCAGCTAATTACACCGTGTGCATATTTTATAAGTATCCTGGCAGGTGCAGTAAGGTGACTTCATAGGAAGATTTCAAAACCGGGTGAATTTGCAACTGGAAGGAAGATATTAACAGCAGCAGCAGCAACATATTAATTTTGCTAGTTCTTAGGATTGATACTGGGGATGGAGCAATGCACAGTTGCAGCATCTGCTGCACTGGGAGCAGGAAACAGCTGTTCACCAGCAATTTGTTCTGGGATGGATAAAACTGGACCACTTCAAAGCAGGGCTGCAAAACCTTGAAACTGGATTACTGCTGTGTGCAATTTCGGGCTGCACAAGGGCCACACCCAGAAACTCCAGCGTGTAGCATGCATTGGCTAGACTACTGTTGGGGGTAGACCTCTGACAGCATGACACACCTGTGCTACAACATCTGCACTGGCTGCACATATGATGTCTTCTTTCTGGTCAGAAATAATGGTGGATGTTAACCTTGTCTTGGAGAAACCTGTGGATGTTCACACACTCCGTATGGCATGGGGACTAACAGAATTGTGAGCCCTTATGGTGCACAGAGCTGGAAGAGCAAAAATCCACTACATACTGCTCAGTGTTCTGAAGCTATGGCTGCCCTTTCTATGTTTGAATGTGTGGCTTATAACCTCTATAGATAGCTATTTGGACATTATTATGCTTAGATTAAGATTTTTTTTGTCACCTGGTGATGTTTTTATATTTTCTTCTTTTTTGTAAAAAAATTATTTAGTTTTTACATAATAATTATAAACAACAAACATAACAAATCCAAAGGAAAAAGAAAGAAAGAAGACACCAAAATGTTCTCTCGAACCTCCGGACCTCCCTCCCTGGTTTCCACTTCTAAATTTTATTCCTGCATCTCTTACTGTATTCTATCTATTACATCTCCATAGTATCCAAAGTTCATGTTATTTTTCAAGTGTTATTGTATTCCTGCTAATGATTTCAACTGTTTGCATTGGTCTCTAAGATACATTATAAAGTTATTCCAGCCCTTAATAAAAATTTGGTCTTCCTGATTTCTGATCTTTCCCGTCAATTTTGCCAGCATAGTTCATCAACATGGTCTGCCATTCTTCTCTGGTCAGTACTTGGTCTATTATCCATCTCTAGGCTAAAAGCATCCTTGCTGCTGTTGACGCGTACATAAATAGTCTTGTTTAAGATCATTTCTGTTTTTATATTTTTGTTCCTTTCTTTATGATATATTTGCACGCGCGCACACACACACATGTATATACACATACACACATTCATGTTAGGGGCTGTGTCCCTGCTTGCCAACTCCCTTCCCAATACACACCCTGAGACCATTTTTGGTAGCTCTCTAACCAAGTCCTCTGTGGCTACATAAATCTGCTTTGAGAATGAGCAAATAAAATACTGTACATGGTGCCTGCCTCCATCTCCTGCCTCTCACAACTTCATTTGGTATGGAGGTTGTCATTGATAGCCCTGTTTATGCAGCCTATTCATAGAACAGAGAGCAAATTGCCCTCATTAGCCCTTCCCCAATGGCTTCCATACATCGATTCACAGTTTTGAGCTGTGCTTAGGCACCTACAAGAAGCATGCAGGGCACCCCAGTTGTATGGGAAGGTGTAGGTTTGGTGCAGGCTCAGAGGGATGCATGGAGAATAGGACTTATTGTCCATGGTATTTGCAATGCCAGCAAGTAATCTTTGAACAGAGATTAAGTACATGGACTTAAGACATACTGAATTCACTTGCACCCTTGCGAAACAAAGCTCTTTAGGAAGCCAAAATGCTCACAATCCTTTGCAGGAAAGTCACCAAACGCTTACAATTAATACACGTTTGTATTACATAGTCCCCCCCCCCCCCCGTGCTTCTCTTCTACTTGCTGAAATCGCAATAAAGAAATGGTGAATCAAAGGTTCGAAATGCTTATCAGACAAATACAGAAAGGGGCTCTATTTTCTTTCTTATTTTACCTGCTAGAGCAGTGAATTGTAAAGGAGGCATGTAACGGCTTTCCTGTGACTGGCAACTCTGCTTTTGCCTGAATCTTGTTCCATCTCCAGCAATGTCAATTGGTTGTTAAACGAGATGAAAAGACGCCCATGGGATTCATCAAAGCAAAGCGTGGAATGGAAATCTAGGCTTTTGGGGAAGGAACCAGAAATCCTTTGGATGCAAAGCTGATGCTGAATGTCCCATATCCTTAAGACCTGTGCATGGTAGGGAGGAGAGGAATAAATCAGAACCAAACGTCTTGTCCACATACCCTCCAACAATAGGGACATTTTCATCTGAGGATTGTTGGAGAGCATGCTAACTGGCGGAGGAAGAGGGGGGCAGGGGAAGCGCACCGCCCCCGGCACTATGATCCCGGTGGGGTGCCATCGTGGCTGCCCCCCCAGCGCTGGGTGCCACGCCCCTGCAGGCGGCACGCCACACCCCCAGGACGTGTGCCACACCCTTGCAGGTGGTGCGCCACGCCACCAGGAGATGCGCCACACCCCTGCGGGTGGCATGCCACGCTCCCAGGACATGCACCAGCCACGCCCCCGCCTGCTCTCCGCCCCCAGTGCCGAAGCATGATCTATATGTTTCTGTTTCTGCTGCCACCCCACTAGGAGTTATCACTCCCCTCCCAATTGAACCCCCCCACCCCCCCATTTTTGTGCCTCCCCACGGAGCATTTCCTATCAGAATAAGGCTGAGTGCCATCACAGCTACACCAATGGGATGCCCTCCACTCCCCCTTTATTCCCGCCTAGGGTGGCCCTGCCCTCTGCCTGCCCCTCAGAGCTAGCACGTCATGCAGGGATGGGCCTCAGTGGTGGCGGCGTCTTCTACCTGAACTCGGTGGCAGTGCTGTCAGGGGAAATCGGGACATTCCAGGATCAAATCAGGAGCCAGAATGGCTTTCATAATTCCAGGACTAGAAAATTGGGACATTTGGAGGGTACATCAATGGAAGCCCCACATCGTGACCTCCTGCCAATCACAGTCTCTAAGCCTAACCTACCTCACATGAGATAAACTCCATGAGTGGTGATGCTGAATTCAACAGCCACAGACTACTATTTGACAACGTCATTTCATGCACTGTTTACTAAACTTCCCACTGGTCATTTCTACCCCCACAGGAAAACCTCTTAGAAATCATTACTCTTAAATCCCTGGACTGAAAGATATCCTAGTTTCCTTATGAGGATGCAACCAAATTAAAATTAATAGTTGTTTTCTCCCCAAATCAAGGCCTTATCTGATGTGAAGTGCAAGCTAATCATGGACGCCTATATTTCTTTTCTTCCTGAGCTGTCAAACCAAGGCTTTCAGCAAAGGAAGCCTTTTTATCTTTTCTTATTCCAGCCCTTGTCCTACATGGCACTGCGTAGCAGATGTGTCATTTGGGTTGGCTGGCAGTATGCTGGCGGTTGCTCTAGCAGAGCAGGAGGTTTGCACGTAAATAAACTCTACTAGCTCAGGTGCCCATTCATCCATCAAAGTGAAACAGATTCATGTTAATGTCAAGAATGCTAAAAGGCAGTAAAATAAGGGCTAAACCCTTAAAAAGGGGGGGGGGCTAAATCACTACAGGCAAAACAATGGTCACAGAATGTATTAAGAGGCTTAGTGGCAGGGAAATAGATTTTTGTGGGTTTTTTTAAGGACATGTTAACTGGACACAAATCAAGGCTGCAGGCTCAGATTAGCATGAGAAACACAACTAATGAAGGACCTTAGCTTAAGGTCCAAAACTTTCCCACTCGCCCTGCTTCTGTGCATTTAAAAACAGCCTCACACCAATGCAGCAGGTGAAGCTTTTCCTGGAATGGAAATAACTGATCCAGAGCCAGTAAAAATGTGGCAATAAAAATTTGATAAATGTTGATAAGTTGTTTTTTAAAATGGCAGCAAAAGCTGACTTGCATTCTAGATATTTCAGTGAAACCAAACACAAGATTCAATGGAGAGATGTCTCGTTATTTCATAAGGTATTAAAATAAATGTCATTGTGGTTGTGGCTAGACATTCCTCAGGGCAGCATCCCTAAGGATGAAGAGACTGGAGTGGATTGGAGAGAGAACAGGTCCAGCTGGTGGCAGCTGCAGCAAATGGGGAAGGGGATTTGCCATAGCTGTGAGAAACAGTGAAATGAAGGCCATTGCAACTCAAGACCAGAAAGGAAGAGAGCCTAGCTAAAGGTGGGCTGGAGGCCGAAGGTAAAATCCAGGAGTTGACGCCCAATGAAGTCGTCCAATTGATGCAAAGAAAAGACTTCTGCCTATACTGTGGGACTTTCTCCCCCTTTCCTCTCCCTTTGTGCCCCACAAATGTGTTCTAGGGGTTCCTGCAACCATATGGAGCAGATTTGGGGAGCAGGAAGAGGAGAAGGAGAGGAAGTCCCATTGCTCAGGTAGAACTCATTGTGCTAAAGAGATGACTCCATTTAATACAACCACGGGAGATGGTGTGTTCTTTAACCTTGGGGAACTGGCTGTTGAAGTAGCCCTTCAAAGAGAATTGAGAGGAGGTGGGGAGCAGGACAGAGAAAATTGGCAATGAATAGCTAACCAGAGAGTTTCAAGAGGCAAGGAGGAGGAGGAGGAGGAGGAGGAGGAGAAGAAGAAGAAGAAGAAGAAGAAGAAGAAGAAGAAGAAGAAGAAGAAGAAGACCTGAGAGATACTAAGTGGACTTAATTCCTGGTAACAGCCCATAAAGAAAAGGAAACACTCCTTTTTCACTTGAGATGTGAATCTGCTCTCATCTTAGGAGAGAAGCAGGATGGAACTCATATGGCCAGCTGCCTCCTTCATATATTAGCGCACGTGAGGGGAACGTTTCTCAGTACTGGGTGGGACCAGCATCAAAAGTGTGCAGATCAACAAATGTAAAATTTACCTTTATACAATAAGCTGTTTTCTACATGCACAAAAACTACTCAAGAAGAGCAATGTTGGTGAGGGGTGTTGCCTGAGGGGAGTGGATGTGGCTAGGGAAGGAGGGGTGTAGAGAGAGTCTTGAGAACCAGATAGAAGGGCTTGAAAGGCTGCATTTGGCTCCGAAACCTGAGGTTCCCCACCCCTGTCTTAGAAGCTTCGTTTTGCTTAGAGCCTTCCAAGGACGAGACCATTTCTACCCATGTTAAGTAGACTTAGTCATGAACACTACAAAGTGGAGCAGCTGCTGGATTGAGAAACTCAAAACTAGTGCCCTTCTGGGTTCCATGTTCTTAACCGGAGCGTTGCCTAGAGGAAGACTAACGATCTCCGCTTCTCAGGCCCTTCCCAAGCTCACCTTATCCTTTCCGAAGCTGAAGAGCAGTTTGCGCTCAGTAATGAACCGGACGGCGATTACACTGTCTGAATGGCCCTCCAGGACTCCGGCGGGCTTAGACGTGACATAAGGATTCCAAAGGCAAACATGGCGATTAACTCCTGCGGTCGCTGTTCAAAGTCACAAAGTTGAAACTCATTTATACAAACATTGGGGTTTTTTTACAAGCATGACAAAGAAATATGCCAAAGTTGCAGCAACTGTAAACAATTTTTGTTTAATAGATTCCATTCCACTCTCCAGTTTTGATTGCCTTGATGCAGCTTCTCCCTCACCCCCTATTCATTTCCTTCATAAAAATTAATCTGTTTTTGCAGCTGCTTGACTTGATATGGAGCCAATGTGAGCCAAAGAAAGGGAACACTGGCTGAGACTAGGAAAGATGAGTCTTGGAGACCTTGGTGCAGTCCTACAATGGACACTCTTTGGCAGGTGTGAGGAATCTCAGGTCCACAGGCCTAAAGAGGCCTGTTAGGCCTCTCCATTTGGCCTGTGAGGGTGTTTTAGCCAAGCCCTGTTCGTCTTCCCTTTACAGTGGTACCTCGGGTTACGAACTTAATTCGTTCTGGAGGTCTGTTCTTAACCCGAAACTGTTCTTAACCTGAGGTACCACTTTAACTAATGGGGCCTCCCACTGCCGCCGCACCGCCAGCACACGATTTCCATTCTCATCCTGAGGTAAAGTTCTTAACCCGAGGTACTATTTCCGCGTTAGCAGAGTTTGTAACCTGAGGTGTTTGTAACGCAAAGTACCACTGTATGTGACATCATATATCTATAGGCTGTTGACACCTGCATGGAGCCCGGCACACCTCAGAGACTCACTGGGAATTGCTTGAGAACACAGCCGCTCATCTCAGTAGCAAGCTAGATGCCAGGACTGATACAGTCAGTCCCAAGTAAGGTGTTTTGTTTTTTAATGCTCCATCAAGTCATGTTTCATGAGATCAGTTTCAGTTTTCGCAGTCTGAGGTTGTTGACAAGGTACTTATGTGTATGCACACAATGACATGCCCTTTGAACCCCTGCCTTCAATTGCTGACTAAAGCTAGCCTAAGTGGCATGACTGGGTGGGTTCAGGCTGCAGTGAATATGTCTCTGCATGAAGGGGGGCAAGTAGCAACCACTTTGAAGGGGGTGAAAATGCCCACCCCGTCACAAACACTTCCTTTTTGAGCACAGTACCTGACAGGGTTGCGGCAATTCCGGGAAAAAACTGATTATCTAGACCCATTTCGGTCTGGGTTTAAACCCAGGTTCAGGGCAGAATCTGCCTTGGTTGCCCTGATGGATGACCACTATAGGGAGAGGGCGGAATGCAATCCTGTTGCTTTCTCATCAGCTTTTGATACCATTGACCATGGTATCCTCCTGGACCACCTACAGGAGATGGCTTTTGAGGGCACTGTTCTGCAGTAGCTTCAGTCTTTGCTCCAGGGACAGTTCCAGAAAGTAGCACTGGATGAGTGCTTCTCGGCCCCTTGGCTCTTGAGCTATGGGTTGCTGCAGGGCAGTATATTGTCTCCATTGCTATTTAGCATCCACATGAAGCTGTCAGAAGCAGCCATTGGGAATTTTGGAGCAAGGTGACACGGGTACACTGATGATAATTCCCATCCCTATACGGTTGATAGTCAGGGGATGATGGGATCTGCCGTCCAACAACATCTGGAGGGCCACCAATTCCCTATCCCTGTCTTAGCATATGTTCTATATTTGGTTGCCTCATCTTTACAGCAGCCTCCCCAGTCTTCTACAACATCTCTTTATTGGTTTTGCTGTCTATCCATCTCCTTACAAATGCCTCAGGTCCCCTTTGTTCCCCTTTCCCTACCACCCCACTTCACATCAATTCAGAACAGAGCTCCATTTGTACTTTTTTTTGCTTTTTGTTTTAATGAATTTTCTTTTCACTGTGAAGCTTATACTCCTTCCTCCGGCAAGTGTTTCATCAGCAATATACGCTTTATCACCTGCACCTGGCTTTTGGAGGGTGCAATCAAAAGTCTACCCTCCAGGCATTTGTGGGCTGTAGAGCTGATGCTAAGTCAAAGGGGCAGGGAGAAAGAAACTGACCACCATAAGCCTAAATTGGCTGGACAATTATGACTCTGCCTAAGAAACACTTGGGATTTTTTGTTCTGTTTGGGGATTAAGAATATAGTATACCCGGAGAGCTCACTAAAGCACAGCTTGCAAAAGTTCCTTGGGGGAACCTATGTTGGTTGTATTTCTCTAAAATCAGTTCACATTTGTCAGGCAGAAGTACCCTGATATATAGAGCCCTGGGCATTTAAGACTTCTAAGATGCAGCAACCACTAGGTAAATGTCATGTTTTACAACATCAGTACAATTTACTGCACTTTACTGTGTGGAATGCAGCCCAGAAATTACTCCCATACTTTATCACACTTCCTTCCACATGATAACCCCCCTCCAACAGCCAGAAGACTTGGAGACTAGACCAGGCATAGGCAAACTCGGCTCCCCAGATGTTTTGGGACTACAACTCCCATCATCCCTGACCACCGGTCCTGTTAGCAAGGGATGATGGGAGTTGTAGTCCCAAAACATCTGGAGGGCCGAGTTTGCCTATGCGTGGACTAGACCCCTCTCTCTGAGGAGAAATATTACCAGCCAGGCCACAACTGGATTCACGGGCATTTTCAAAACGACCTTCCCTTATAGCCATTTCCTCCCATCCCTTTTCTGTATGTGCCTCGTCTCGGGTGCTGTATCCAAATCAAATTAGAATTTCTGCCTTCACCTATTCATTTATACTGATATTATGTGGATTTAATTGTCACAGCTTTCCCCAAAGAATTCTGGGCATTGTAGTTTAATGAAGTTGCCGTTAGTGAATTTCTACCTAGCCCACTTTAGCAAAGTGATATTGTTAGGGTTCCCTGGGCGGGGGAAATGGCTGCTATGCTAGGTTGAGTCTGTAATAAACACTGGCCCATTAGGGTGCATGGGGTACTCATTCGCAAACTCCTCACCTTTCTACCAGCTTCCTCCTTCTCAGTCTCAGTGTTACCTCATTGTTGTCCTCCAGTAGGGAGGAGGATGGAGATAAAACTAGAATTAGGTGCTTCCACCTGTCACTGGCTCTGGTTCTACCTCCTGTCAGGCTCCCTTCCAGTCTACCAATCCACATGGTTACCAGTTACCACTGCTACAGTGCAGACATACTCTTAGACTTCTGATTGTCCCTTTCGGTTTTACAAGAAAACAAATTATAGTGACATACCTATCAAGTTGAGCCTTGAATGGAAATCAAAAGCATTGACTCCTTGAGCGACGTGGAAAGTTGTCGTTGTAAGACGAGGACTTAATTTCTCTCTCCAAGCTAGCACCAGTGTGTTTGTGCTGCTGGTTGTAACAGATAGAAAGACATCTAAGGAGGGGATGTATGCAACTGAAACAGTATAGAGATGGCATTTTGATTAGAGTCGTCATCAAGTGAGAGGTTCTTACATAGAGCTGAGTCAATTGCAGTGAATCAGTTTTTAAGTTTTGTTGTGCTGTGTTAAGATTTGGGTGTTTTGAATGTTTCTGCAGCCTTTTCTTAGTACCCTACTTGGGTAGAAAAGGAGCGATATAAATGACTAGAAGATGATAGATATAGATCAATTGATTGATGATAGATAGATAGATGATAGATAGATGATATAGATGATAGATGATAGATAGATGATAGATAGATAGATAGATAGATAGATAGATAGATAGATAGATGATAGATAGATGATAGATAGATAGATAGATAGATATAGATAGATAGACAGATAGATGATAGATAGATAGATAGATGATAGATAGCGATAGAAGATAGATAGATAGATAGATGATAGATAGATAGATAGATAGATAGATAGATAGATAGATATAGATAATAGATAGATTATATAGATAGTTGATAGATAGATAGATAGATAGATAGATAGATAGATAGATAGATAGATAGATAGATAGATAGATAGATAGATGATGATGATAGATAGATGATAGATAGATAGATAGATAGATAGATAGATAGATAGATGATAGATAGATGATAGATAGATGATAGATGATAGATGATAGATAGATGATAGATGATCGATAGATAGATAGATAAATAGATAGATAGATATAGATAAGCAGAGCACAAACATTTGCAATTTAAATTTTTCCAAGTCTTCGCATCTAGTGCTATTCTTTCCTCCAACCTGGTACCAGATTTGTTTTTGTTGTCTAATAATGGAAAGTCATGCAACATCACTAAGCCCCATCACTTGAATTTAAGGTTTGAGATGCCATCAAGCTGGCAACCTAAACATGAAGTGTACTTTTGTTGGAAAGCCATGTCTAACTCCAACTGCCAGACAAGCATGGCTTTGTATTTGCATGTGTGTGTTTTCATGCATTGCCTTTATATGTGCATATGTAAAAGCATTTAATGGGTACACAGTAAAAATGTAGCATGTGAAGACCGCCATTGAGAAAGAAGTTCTGAATACAAAACTGGTGGCTATACTGCAGCAGTGATGGGGAAGAAGATGATGTTCAACTCCAATCAGCCTCAGTGAGTATGGTCAAAGGTCTGGATGATGGGAGTTGTAGTCAAACTACTTCTGCAGATATCTATAAAAAAAGTATAACCATCTGGAAACAGGTTTTTATATGCTGTTGTTTGCTATTGAATGGCATAGTTGGAATTTCAATAAAACACACACACACACACAACCTGCCTCTCTGGACTCTAGGGACTTTTATGAGAGTAAAATGTTATGAATATTAGGAGCTGAGAAATCTTCGCCGTTTCCAACAAAGACATAAACTTGTTTCTGACTAAATTACATTGTAAGTCAAGCTCCTTGGAGGATGCCTGACTGAAAATGGTGGTCTTAAGAGTAATTCCCATATCAGAATATATATGGCAAATTAAAATGTTATGTTCCTTGAAGAAAAGACTGAGCCAGTTGCTGTTCTTCGTACTGGAGAATCATATGGCTGGAGGGGTATTATAGATCATCTAATCCAATCTCTGACTCAAGGCAGGGAATTCATAGCTAGAGCATGTCTAGTCTCTGCGTGAAGACCTCCAGTAAGAAAGAACCTGCCATGTATACCATGAGTCCATGGTTAACACATACAGCAGGGGTAGGGGACCTGTTGTAATCGAATGAAACTCTAAAGGCTGGGCCCTTGTTCACAATGAAATGGTAAAGCTAAGTTTGGGCTGTACCAATTCAGGTTTCAGCAGGGGTTGGGGTTGCTAACATTTATTTATTTAGCAAAAAATATTTGAGCACTGAGTATTTCAATTTTAAAAAATGGGATCCTGTTGCACTACAAATCCCATCAACCACAGCCAATGAGCAGGGATGATGGTAGTTGTAGTCCAGCAATAGCTGGAGGGTCACAACTAAGCAACCCTTAAAATATTGGACCAGGCTGCAACCCAGAGATCTATCTTTGGATTGCATGACACAGATGGAGACAAGGCAGCTGCAGTGGCTTCTTCCCACTCATTATTCTCCCAGTTCTGCTGCCTCTCCTACTTGCAATAAAAAGGAGCACTCCAGGTATGCCATGCAGCAGGCAAGGTAGGGAAGCATAAGCAAGTGGACAGGGTGGGACAAGAAGAAGACACCATGGCTTCTTGTTCTCCAGCATTACACTGTGACATCAAAGGTCCAGATTGCATCCTTGCAAGCATAACTCTGAGATGCAAGGTTGAAATGTTGTATTAAGCAGAACACTTGAGTGGCAGAAAAGAACGATATTCCCCCCAGCAGGGCTAGGAAGGCCATTCATTATTCAGGCACGAAGAGTTGGGTTGATTGCATGCATGCAAATTACTTTAACTCTTTCTTTTTTTTTTAAGAAAAGAAAATAGAGTCACTTCAGGAGATGTGATTTCAGAACCATTGTTATCCTCTGGCTTTGATTTAAAACTTTTAAATGAGCTTTGGTGTTAAAGAGGCTATAAAAACTTCTGGAAGGAAACAATCAGGCTTTTTTGGCACCGGACTTGGCAGCAAAATCTTAATTTCCAAAAGGCAGGCCCAGAAGTCGCAGCCTCCTCTCTCCTATGCCAAACACCCCACAAGTCAGTCCCCCCTTAAAAAAAAAGAGATGCAGCTATAAAAAAATATTACCACTGCCTAAACATGTAAACATCAGCAAAATTAACCCCCAGGAAAAAATTACAATCTGAGAAGTTGAAGTTTGCTGTAGAGGCTTCCCTTGGGAACTGTGAACACCAGCATGAGAGCAACCATTAGCAGGTTGACGTTGCTGATGGAAATAAAGTGTGGTAAAGAAGTTCATATGAATGTGTGAGAATTCTAGGGCCACATAGGATGTGTGAGCCCAGCTGCCCTTGAGGCCAAGAACTCCAGGACCCACTAATAACAATGCAAACTTGTGTGCGTTTACACCGAAGTAAGTCCCGCTATGTTCAAACGGAGATTCCTCAAGGTAACCACATATTTTTATTGTTTATTATTATTAGTTGCATTTGTATCCCACCTTTCTCTCCAAGGAGCTCAACATGGCAAACACACGCACATTTCTCCCTCTCCTCATTTAATCCTTACAACAACCCCACGAAGTAAGTTGGGCTAAGAGGCAGTGACTGGCCAGATATCACCCACTGAGCTTCCTGGCCAAGTTCAGATTTGAACCCTGGTCTCCCAGGTCCTAGTCTACCACTCTAACCACTACACCACACTGCCTCTCATAGGATTTCAGCATTTAAGAGCTTTTGTCTGACACCCCAATCTACACCAGAGGCTGGCACCCAAGATTAAAAATAAATAAATAAAGGACTTCCTTACGTCATTTCTCAGATCAGTACCTTGTCTAACCCATTCCTTATCATGGAGTTTGTGCCTTAACACATAGCAGCATTTGTGATACCCAGAGACCAGCTCCTGCCAAGTGACAGTCATTGTCACATTTTCATCTTCAGTGGAATTTGAAGGTCGTTCAAACAATGAGATCAGAGCTGTGTTGAAGACAATTGCTTGGACCTGTGAAGGATAGAGTTAATTTTTTTCATTAAAAAAAATATTCTACCACTCTCAGCATTTCAAAGCAACCCATTACTGATGGCAATAACCTGAATATCACACAAAGCCCCTCCTTTGTTATAAATTCATAACTTGCATGCGTTTGAATTTCACGGCCACGGCTAAGGCTATTTTTTTACTAATGAGGCTGCCGGGATTTGCTTAGGAGAGGACAATGGAAAGAACTTAAATATGTATAGGTAGCCAACATGTATAGTTGGGCAAGATATGACAAAAGGGGGAGGGTAAACCAATCTAAAAGCAAATGAAGGGAACAAAGCCTTGGGCAGCTAAATGTACTTTCAAGAGAGTGAATATGAGTAATGAGAAGCAATTGGGATGAATTGACTTTTGACTTAACATAAGAAGAAAAGCTAAATCTCCCTGGAGTTGGAAGTTCTGAAGCATCGTCTCCACCATTGAACACATGAAGGTGGACTGACTTAGTATATAACTTAAACTTTGTGAAAAGCAAGGGGAATGCAGAAGGAGCAGTCACCATCCAGTTCCCATTGTGTCCCCTTGCTCTCCTCAACTGCTGCTACAGGGACACCTGAAAGCCCATCTTACCCTGAGGGGAGGGGAGAAGCAGCAGAATTGATTTTTCTTTTTTAAAAAAACAAGTTGTTTCCCGCCCACTCCCAATTCTATTTCAACTTTAAAGGGAAAAAACCCACCATGCTTATTGCTGTAATAATCTTATGTGAACTGCTTTGTGAGGTCTGCCTGAACAGTGATACTGTGAACAAGTACTGTCACTAAATAAATAACAAGTGCTCGATCTGTGTGGATAGTGCCCTTACATACTTTACTCACTAGATGTTTTGTTGGGTAGAGCCAGACATTCCCTATTACTTTCTGTTCTTCTCTAAGAAATATAGCTAAGCTCTTCTCTAGCTCCCTGACTGATGTGTCCACTAAGCCTTCTGACTACTAGGAGCAGGTCAGAAATAACTCATATGACTTCAGTGAATTCTTTATTCAAAGAAGAAAGACTGTCTAGGGGGCCGTGCCTAGTGAGCACAGCAACTCTTCCCTGTAGAACTTGCCCCTATGAGGTAGTTGTGGGGACCAAGATCCACCGCTTTCCTACAGCTCCCTAAGATTCCTCCTTCCCCAAGCAATTTGAGACTCTGTCATCTTGCTTGTCTTTGCTCCGCCCTCTGCATACCTCTTCAGTTTCTGGGAGATCAGGGGGGAAGGGAGCTGGTCACAGCAGGAGGGGGAGACACCATGGCTTCTTCACCAGCCTGACTCATCTCTGCCTCTTGGCATCCCTCCAGCTTCTGCCTCTGCCTCTGATTCTAGACTGCTCTCTGCCACAGCCTCTTCCTGCTCACTCAACCCTGTTACCTCTTCAGCTTCTGACTCCTCTTCCTCCCAGTCTGCTCCTTCTTCTCCCTCTAACCACTCATCACTGTCCCACAACCACTCCCCTAGCTCTGAGCCTTCTTCCCCAGCTGTTTCCTCCCACCATTCCTCTGCATCCAGCCAGGCCAGGACACCTTCCATGATACTAATGGCCCAGCACTCTTCAAGAGGCAGCTGGTGTCCCAGTACAACAGGGATGAGGAACCTGTGGCCACCCAGATGTTCTCCTGACATTTTGTGCCATACTTGCCTGCCCACAGACATCTCCCATTGTCAGAATAGCATCGTTTCCATCATGAGGATTGTACCAGTAGTCCATGCATATCACGGTTCCCCCAAAGCCTTGAAGTCTATACTGACATGAGAACCCTTGTTTGGAATTCAGCTCAGCAAAATAGATCTCTTTGCTTGTAAATGAGACAGCTACCTATATGGGGTGGGAGAGAAACAAAGTTAGTGGTGGGGAGAGAGAATATTCCTCCAGGTTTACCACACAGGAGCCATCCAAAAGTGTGTTCATTTCTTAAAAGACTTGCCCATTAGCCTCTGTTGCCCTTTATGTCTCCAATCTAATGCAAAGAACTCCTCTGTGGCATGTGAACATTCTCACTTTCTTCTTCAAACCCCTGCTCAAAATCTACCTCAAGCCTTTGTCTTAATCCAGGAATAAGGAATTTGTAGCCCTCCAGAGATTGGTTGACCCTAACCTCCATCAGCTCCAGCCAGCATAGCCTATGGTCAGGGACAATGGGAGCTGTAGCCCATCAACGTCTGGAAGCCCACAAAGGTCCCCACTCCTGCCATCACCCCTCATTCTCTTACCTTTCTGAAACAAAGCCTCCCCTCTCATTCATTTCTTGATATATTTATCTTTGTATCCTCTTTCTGCCTGTACATATGACATAATGCGAATTTTAAAGTGCTGTGTTTAATTTTAGTTTTGAGATAGATTTTACGTTTTTATTGATGTTATGACCTGTTGCCGCCTACAGAGAAAGGTTTTTACAGAAAGGCAGGCAAGAAATATTGGTGCCTACAGTGCAAAAAGAAAGAAAACACAAACCTCAATGGCCTAAGAAGATAGAGAAGGAGGTAATTGTTGAGGCTGGAGTCAAAAGCTCAGCACAGCAAAGTTACTTGGTCCTTTGATCCACTAATTGAGGAGCTGTGTGTACACGTGTACACACACACACACACACACACACACACACACACATACACAAAGGCACAGACACTCAATCAGCTTCCATCCCAGCACTATAGGCAGGCATCATCCTTGCTAAGACCAACTTCAGCACCTAGAACCATTGGACAGCTCCCTAAAGGCACACTGCCTCTTAGGTTTTACTCTGGTCCAGGATTCCAAGCAGTGCTATGCAGCTACCTTAAGTCACTGTTTTAAGTTCCCACAATGCTCTAACCTAAGCTAACTCTTTGTGGGAACTTTAAATGCTGAGTAAACCCAGCCGTCTAGCACAATATTGAGAGCTATCACAACAGCTACATAAGCTCACCAAGACAAAGGGGAGCCCACCAAGTGAAACTTTGCCCAGAATCCTCTTAAACTCAGTCCTGTTCTTTGCAACTTTTGGATAGCCCAGTTAGAATCATTTCCCATCATTCAGTCAGGGTTTAGGTGAATAGGAGGGCTCTGCTTTCTGGGCTAGGGTGCTACCCATCAGCTGTAGCAGGAGCTGTATCAGAAAACAGACCATCCTTTCCTTGGGACTAGGCTATTGCCCACATGTTGGAAGGGAAAATTAATGTTTCCTGTGTCCTGAAGGGCAGTAAGTGATTGATACATCCAACTGGGAGGCAATTCCCAACACGGATGGGATCTGTGAGAAGCTGTGAAAAATTATCAGCACTAACATGGTTTCAGAAGTACTGTTACACTTCCATGAGCACAGCTACGTACCTTGTTAACATTTGGCAGTGCAACCAGAGAGGTCACCCAGAGGTCTTTAGGCTTGACAGCTTCAGTGGTGATCTGAAGAGTCCTCTGTAACTTTAGACTCTCTCCCCAGCAGCCGAGCAAACCACTCCTGCTCACAGTCAGGTAGCTGATAGGGCTTTTCAATAATGTTACGTTCTGAACAGCATCTTTGTGGATCAGTGGGAGAAACCGGAGGTCCTTCCAGTGAGGGATGACCAATCGCCTGGCCCGTTCATCTCTCTCATACAGCTCAAGCAGCACAAAGGAGGTCAATTTGTCCCAGTCGATAAGGCCATCTCGGATCAAATCTATCTTGTCAAACAGCTCGCCGTACTCTTCCTTGGTGCCTTGCTGAACTGCTGTGGACATTTTGTCTACAAACTCTTCTCTCGTCATTGTGCCAGTGCTGTCATTTGATTCTGGGAGCTTGAAAGAAAAGCAAAAAGAGAAGGAGGAGTTTGCCAAGGTGCTAAGGATCGACCTTCATGGAATTCATTCAGTGACCCACTTCTCAATGGTACCCAGAAGAACTGTCTTAATGAGGGAAAGTGCCATGTTTGGTGGTGACAAGGTGCTTTGAAAGTTCCATCAGTGACATTTTCTACAGGGGGTGTCCCATAGCTCAGTCAGTAGAGCATGAGACTCTTAATTTCAGGGTTGTGGGTTTGAGCCCCACGTTGGGCAAAAAGAATCCTGCATTGCAGAGGGTTGGACTAGGTGAACCTTGGGATCCCTTCCAACTCTATAGTTCTATGATTCACCATTTCAGGGCTGGTATCTTTCATAGTGATGCCTTCCATGAGGCATTACAGAACATAAGAAGAGCCTGACGGCTAGACTCAGGTGCAGGGCCCATCTGTTCAAGCATCCTCTTCTCACAGTGGCCAACCAGATGCCCATGGGAAGCCCACAAGGTTGTATGTACCTGATGTTAGTCTTACTCAGAGTGGTCTCATTGAAAATAATGGATATGGCTAAGGGCTGTATGCAATGCTAGTCATATTTTGAGTAGACCTAGTGAAATTAATGACTGCAACTAACTTAAATTCTTAAATTTCAGTGGAATCATTGGATACAACCCACAAAGTCCCTGGGCAGTGTAAAATTGACCCTGGGTGATTGCTTGTCATTATTATTATTATTATTATTATTATTTATACCCCGCCCATCTGACTGGGCCTCCCCAGCCATTCTGGGCGGCTCCCAACAGAATATTAAAAACATGATAAACCATCAAACATTAAAAACTTCCCGATACAGGATCGCCTTCAGATGTCTTCTAAAAGTCAGATAGTTGTTTATTTCCTTGACATCTGATGGGAAGGCTTTCCACAGGGCAGGCGCCACTACCGAGAAGGCCCTCTGCCTGGTTCCCTGTAACTTCACTTCTCATAGGGAGGGAACCATGGAAGGGCCTCGGAGCTGGACCTCAGTGTCTGGGCAGAACGATGGGGGTGGAGATGCTCCTTCAGGTATACTGGGCCAAAGCCATTTAGGGCTTTAAAGTTTTTAAAATCAACAATAAACTAAAACTAGATTAAATAGATATTTTTTACATGTCTGGGTAGGTTTGCCTAAACAAAAGTGGTTTTTTATCATGTACCAAAAAGAGTGAAGGCATCTGCCCAATGTCAATAAGCAGGGAGTTCCAAAGTTGTGAGTGCAGCTTCACTAAAACATAAATGTCTTACAATTGCAGAACAAGTATTATGTGGCCCCTCTAACAGTGCCGGTTCTGCAATTTAAAGAGAGGGCAATTCGATACATGGGGCAAAGCAACCACACAAGTAAATTTAGTACTTGTATGGTGGGACTAGATTTATTTTAATTTTTTATCTCACTCTGGAGTCCTCTTTGCAATGAAGAGTGGGTAAGGAATGTCTTAAATAAAACTAAATACCGTATTTTTTGCTCTATAAGACTCACTTTTTCCCTCCTAAAAAGTAAGGGGAAATGTGTGTGCGTCTTATGGAGCGAATGCAGGCTGCGCGGCTATCCCGGAAGCCAGAACAGCAAGAGGGATTGCTGCTTTCACTGCGCAGCGATCCCTCTTGCTGTACTGGCTTCTGAGATTCAGAATATTTTTTTTCTTGTTTTCCTCCTCTAAAAATTAGGTGCGTCTTGTGGTCTGGTGCGTCTTATAGAGCGAAAAATACGGTAAAATCCTATGCATGCACACTTACTCGTGAGTAAGCCTTATTGAACTCACAAGGACCTAATCCAACTAAATACAAACCTCCTCTAAAATTATGGGTTGGTGACAAGCCAATTCTCAACTTTGTATCCCCCATAAATAACTGCCGATTTCCTTCTGTAAAATATGCTTGGTAAATTGGCTTCCTCTGCTTTTGTAACAGATTGCAATGGACATTTTCGTCATATAGATACCTGGGGCCAGGTATGCTTCCATATGCTCCGATGAAAAGCTGTCAGAATAATGATTTGGGATCATTCTGCTAAAAGCCTCTTTATCCTATTTAATAATCATCCAATCCACTCTTCCCTGGGGGATTTCTTCTTTTCTTACAGAGGCTTCCTTGAATTTTCTCATATCCACAAATGAAAACATTGTGGCAAGGGGATAAGAAATGTTGTTATGTTATAAAAGGCCTCTTCCTAATCCACTGTTGTAATTATTTAACTGAACAGCAGTAAAAAAAAAAAAAAATTAAATGACACTTCGGTTTGAACATTTCATACACAGAGGGGGAGGGTGGCATCTAAAGTATAACACCATGATAACTTTGTGGGAAATCGAGTTTAATTAATTTTCACGTTTTTTAAAGGGGAAAAAAATCCCATTAGTATTTCAACACTATCTATCTCCGTGTTCCACATAGAATGTTAATGAAACAATATTTCAAAATGGAAATTACACTCCATTGCCCCTTCAATATTATTTCGCTTTTATATATATATATATAGACAGCAAACAGGAATCTGAAATGAATCAGGGCACTGGGTGTGTGTGTTGTTTTAAGAGTTAGGTTTACAGCCTTGTTTTTGAAAATGCTGCACAGCCAGAACCTCTGGACTCAATATACTTCTTGTTATCCGTGAAACATCAGCGGTATCATGATTGATTGACAGCTACAGGCTTGAGCCCATCTGGAGAGCAAGGCACTAACTCATTGAGTGAAATCTTATTTCAAAACAGTCTATGCAGCAAGTGTGCGGTCACCAAATGGACAGTGGAAACAAGGGTCTGTAGAAGAGGGTGACTATTAGGAAGGTGACGCGGGTGGCACTGGGGTCTAAACCACTGAGCCTGTTGGGCTTGCTGATCAGAAGGTTAGTGGTTCAAATCCCCATGACGGAGTGAGCTCCCGTTGCTCTGTCCCAGCTCCTGCCAACCTAGCAGTTTGAAAGCACGCCAGTGCAAGTAGATAAATAGGTACCGCTGCGGCGGGAAGGTAAATGGCATTTCCGTGCGCTCTGGTTTCCGTCACAGTGTTCCGTTGCACCAGAAGCAGTTTAGTCATGCTGGCCACATGACCCAGAAAGCTGTCTGTGGACAAAGGCCAGCTCCCTCAGCCTGAAAGCAAGATGAGCGCCGCACCCACTAGTCACCTTTGACAGGACTTAACCATCCAGGGGTCCTTGTTTACCTATTAGGATCATGGAAAGCTGCTTCACTCTGATTGAGGCCATTGAGTACATCTTGCTCAGCAGTGGCCACACTTCCTGCCATTGGCTGCCCTGGATTTCAGGCAGAAGCATTCCCAGCTCTTCCTGGATATGCTTTTCCTAGAAATGGACTGTCTGCCTGCAAAAAAGATGCTCTACCACCGAGCTGTGTATGGCATTTCCTCCACTGACAGATACCAGTGTCCCTGCACCTGTTCACTGGGTCTTCTGCAGCTAAATATGACAGACAGGGCAGGTGGAAAATGCCAGATGTTTAATTTTTTAGTTTTTTATTTGTTTCCGGCCTTTCACCCTACCATCCAAAGGCAGGTTCCAACACTGAAACACAATACAGTGGTACCTCAGGTTACAGACGCTTCAGGTTACAGATGCTTCAGGTTACAGACTCCGCTAACACAGAAATAGTACCTCAGGTTAAGAACTTTGCTTCTGGATGAGAATAGAAATCACGCAGCGGTGGCAGCGGGAGGCCCCATTAGCTAAAGTGGTGCCTCAGGTTAAGAACAGTTTCAGGTTAAGAACAGACCTCCAGAATGAATTAAGTTCTTAACCCGAGGTAAAGGGAAAGGAACCCCTGATCATTAGATCCAGTCACGGACGACTCTGGGGTTGCGGCGCTCATCTCGCTTTATTGGCCGAGGGAGCTGGCGTACAGCTTCTGGGTCATGTGGCCAGCATGACTAAGCCGCTTCTGGCAAACCAGAGCAGCACATGGAAATGGCGTTTATCTTCCCACCAGATTGGTACCTATTAATCTACTTGCACTTCGTGCTTTCAAACTGCTAGGTTGGCAGGAGCTGGGACTGAACAACAGGAGCTCACCCTGTCACGGGGATTCGAACCGCCAACCTTCTGATAGGCAAGCCCTAGGCTCTGTGGTTTAACCCACAATGCCACCCACATCCCTGAGGTACCACTGTAACCCGAGGTACCACTGTATTACAAACAGTTTTAAACCAGTTACCATCATAAAAATAAATTGGATGCTAAGAATATGCACCACAGGTGTCAGAAGCAGTCAAAAAGCCCCCTTCTGGCCATGCATTGATCATGGAGAGGAGGGGGGCACACTCACTGGACCTGCTATCATCTTTAACATGATCACACTGTCATTGGTCTGTGTCCAAATCACACAGGTGGGCACCATTGTGGGGGGGCCTTCACCCGACCCAATTCTTGCCTTTACGTATTTCTAAGAAGCCCCAAACGAACATTTCAAGTCAAAACGGAAACTGGCCAGCGTGTGTGAGTCTACACTTTTTAAAAAAAAAGATCTATGACTCCATCTAGTTTCTAGCTGCTCCTTGCCGTGATTGGTCAAATGATGGGGAGGGGCCAATTCATATTTCCTTTTCTTCAATCTGTCTCCCATGTAGTAGCAGCGGGCTTTAACCTTTCCTTCCAGGCCTCTACCGTTGCACACACACATGTTTGCATGAGGGCCCTTCTGAGCTGATCTCATCATGTGCCTGAATCTAAGAGATCGAGGGAGGCGGGGGCACAAACAGAATGGACACATCCCAGTGGATTTAGGGATGGAGCAATCGGTCTACTTCTGGCCCCATCAACTTTCCACGTGTCTGTTCATAAGCCCATTCTGTCCTGTTTTCAATCTGTGACTCCTCCTTTTAAAGATCATATTCAAATGCATATCTTATTACAAATTTTATCACATGATGCATAACTAAACACAGCGTGTGCATTTGTAAATGCATTGTATCCCCCTTAAATGCTTTTTTTTTTAAAAAAGCAGAGAACCATATCACACATTTTGGAGAAATGCAAAACCAAGTACATTTCGCTGTGCATGATGAGTCCTGCAAGAGATATGGATCAGGCTGATTTTGCATTGCAGTTCACTGAAATTGAATTCCTCAGGGATCCGTATGTGGTCCTATCTTATGAAGGAGGAGGAAACTAAAGAGCCTGTTTGTAACAGATACTCAGGCACTTAGCAAAGAGAAACCCCTTCATTTAACAATAACGTAAAGGCAGAAAATACTTTGTCTCCCTTGGGTCATTCCGTCTGCCGAATTACACATTTCCATACAAATGTAATGCTAATCTCAGAGGTAACATAGAACAGCTTCTCCCACAGATATTTTTTTTTTTAAGTATTAACAATACATGTAAATGAGACAGCTCTCTCCTGGGAAAGTGCTTCATATTTAAAACCGCTTGTTTGTACTTCACTGGGGTACTAAGAAGGATACCTGCAAAACATATTTTCTGAAAGCAAGGAACAGCAGCCTACTCTTGAGACAACCAAAATACTGAAGTATGTATCAGTGTGGCAAAGAGTGAAATTGTGACCTCAGCTATTGCTACAAACCGCATGCAGACTCCAATCGAGATACAGTTTTGTGCAAAAATGCACAAGTAGCCCAGTGGAGTGGCGGGAGATGTACACAGTGGGGTCGTGGCAAATTTCCAAGCACAGGAGCTTTGCCTCCATAGACACACACCCAATGAGAGTCCAAAACTGCAAATATTTGTGCTGACTCATCGCAGAGAGAGAAGCAGTACACAGCGCAATACCTCTCTGTGCTAATACGTCACAAACGACTGGAAAACTTGAAAGCCTTGTTACTGCTTCATTTGCTTGCAAGAGGGAGGAGGGTCCAGTCTGTGAATTACACTAGAAACGCCAGCAGAAACTACCAGCTTGACGTTAACATATGAGAGTGCTGGAGATGAAGTAGTTAAACAGGTTACCCAATCAGAACCCAGGGGGGTGGAGTCAGAGGGACTATAAAACCAGCTCTGGGAGGGGCGAAGGGGGAGTTCGTGGGGGGTTGGGCAGTTGGTTGGAGTGGGAGTGAATTGGGATAGAGTCTGTGGGTAGGCTGAGTTCGTGCAGCGAAATAAGCTGAGTCAGGAACAGTTAGGAACTAGGAAGACAAGTAAATATCTGAGAGGTGGTTTAGTGAGTGAGAGCAGGTAGTGGAAGTTATAGGTCTGGATAGGCAACCCATGATTCTAATGGACCGATACCGTTTATGAAACCACGTGCTTGTTAAACTGCAATAAATAAACAGAAGTTTATGTTCTAATTTAACCCTGACTGGACTCAGTATTGTACCAGGTAGGGCCTGGGTGGTGGCAGCGAGAAATAAAGTGGTGGCACAGGCATCAATAGATGGTGAAACGTCAGGGGACCCTGTGTGATCACCACACCACCATTCCTGCTTTGAAAAATGTCCTGGAGACTCGCTTCCTAGTATTACAGCTGCAGTACACTGCTGCCATGGACCCACAACTCCTGCCAGTCCAGGGAATCTGCACACAAATGCGGCTCCTTCGGCCGGGTTGGGACAATCACCTTGGAATCACCTTGCGGAGCCAGCAGGGGGGAGTCTGTACCAGAGAGCAGTCCAGACTCGGAGGCAGAAGCTGAAGCAGGAAAGTAAGATTAGGGAGGCCAAGAGGCAGAGATGAGTCCGGCTGGTGAAGAGGAACGGGTGTCTCCCACCCCCTGCTGTGACGAGCTCCCCTCTCCCCTGGTCTCCCAGAACTAAGAGAGGTGAGAAGAGGGCGGAGGAGAAGTTAGTATCATGCCAGTGCAATTTTTGGGGACTCTTAATCTCATGGTTCTGGGTTCAAGCCCCACGTTGGGCAAAAGATTCCTGAATTGCAGGGGGTTGATCTAGATGACTTTCATGGTCCCTTCCAAGCCTACAATTCTAGGATTGTACGCAGGAATTATACCTATTTTTTCCTTGCCAACGAACAATTTCTAGGCCCCTCTGCCACCTTGCAAAACTTGTTAAAGATTAAAGAGATCATCAAACAGGGAAAAACAGGTGGCAACAGTAGTCAGGCTAAATACATTTCACTATCTTGAGTGATTTTGAGGGACAGGAAGAGGTCTAACTCCATGCACAAAGAAGAGCTGTAGTTTTTCAAAAGCAGTAAAAAATAAAATATAAAAACGGGGATTGTTTGAACACAACAGTAAATCAGAGCTTTTGAGAGACCATTCTGCTCTCTGTCCTCCCTTCTGCCCTTGCCGGCAGCTGCTGTCACCAAGAAAGGGAACGACTTTTGCATCCACCCACGTCTGAACAGTGGGGGCTTTTGATTCTGCCAATGAAACTGTCTATCACACTCAGGAGTCGTAGAATTTGTCTGCCTGAGAGTGATCATTCTGAAGATGTTTGCATGCTGGGACTTCACAGTTGTCCAGATAAAGCAATTGATGGAATAAGCAAACCGCAGACACGCTAACGCAGAGCAGGCAGGAAGGAGATCCCAAGCAGCTTTTTCCATACAGGCAGGAACCTTAAATTAACACATTCTGTGTAAAAATCTGTTCTCCAATTTCTCAAAAGTTTTCTTCTCCTGCGAAAGAGGCATTTATTTTCACCTGTTTGCACTGCGCTGACCTCAAATCTGCCTATCCCTTCTTCCCCCCAGTATGCCAAAGCCCTTTACCTGCTATCTCACCTGGTAAGCCATTTCCAGACCCTCCAAGTGTCCCTATTTTCCAGGGACTGTCCCGGATTTACAGAAGCCACCCTGGTTTCTGATTTGATCCCAGAATGTCCCACTGTTTTTGGACGTCCCTATTTTAATTGGAGAAATATTGGACGGTATGGAGTTATGCAACCCTTGAGCCAAGGAGATAAGTAACTGTACAACCTTTAGAAGACATCTGAAGGTGGCCCAGTATAGGGTAGTGTTTTTTTAAAAAACGTATAATGTTTTATTATGTTTTTATATCTGCTGGATGCTACCCAGAGTGGCTGGAGCAATAATAAAATGATGGTGATGATGATGATGATGGAATAGGACATCCCTATTTTCATCAGAGAGGACGAGATGGTTGGACAGGGTTCTCAAAACTACCAGCATGAGTTTGACCAAGCTGTGGGAGGCAGTGGAAGACAGGAGTGCCTGGTGTGCTCTGGTCCATAGGGTCACGATTTAGTCAGACACGACTAAATGACTAAACAACAATAATTTCCATCAGAGACATAGGAACCAACTCCTAGGGCCCAAGAGGTCTTTGCCCCACCAGTAAAATATTTGAGGGGGCCAGACCCCCCCAAAAAATTGATGGGCATTGCCATTCAAATGAATAGCGTGCACAGCATCATGTGATCAATTTTGGGAGGTGGGCCTTAGTGTCCCCCCATTTTTTTAAATTCAAACTGGCACCCCTGATCACAGAAATGTTGGAAGGTATGTAATTTTCTTCTCTTTCTTTATGTTTCCACCCCCCCTTTTTTTATTCAATGCCTCCCAACTGCACCCGAGGCTGCTATCACCGCCGCCACCACCCCAGGATCATTCCAGCGCCCCCCAGGGGAAGTTATGTTGGATATTCTCTCTGTGTGCGAGAGAATCATTTGTTCTAGAAACAGAGAAGAACAGAGAAGTTTCAAGAAGCAGCAGAAGGCTGAGATTGTTTTGTCTATGCAAGGACGTTTTCTTTGGGAACTGTTCTTTAGACATGCGCCACAGGAAGTACTGATAACAACGGTTCTGTGTAACTTGTTGCAACTTGTTTTGAGTCTCTTGCTTGCGTCTTGTGGTGAGAGAAGCAGAGAGCGCGCCTTGGGATCTTGTTGTGGATTCTAAACATGCCTTGACCACAGCATTGGTGAATGTCTGTATATATTTGCTACCAATATGCTTTTATATGCCTGTCAAGTAAACCTCTACACTTGGCTAAATCCTTATGGCGTCCATGAGTGTTTATTGCCAACTGTGTGTAGCTTCAACCCCAAAGACGCTTCCAAGGAAGGAGCTGCGTTGAGATGTAACTCTGCTGTGTATGGATACTGGCACAGACGCACAGTCAAAGTGATGCCAGACCCAATCCTTCTAAATCATGGGTAGGCAAACTAAGGCTCGGGGGCTGGATCTGGCCCAATCACCTTCTTAATCTGGCCCGTGGACGGTCTGGGAATCAGCGTGTTTTTTACATGAGTAGAATGTGTCCTTTTATTTAAAATGCATCTCTGGGTTATTTGTGGGGCATAGGAATTCGTTCATTGTTTTTTCCCCCAAGATATAGTCTGCCCCCCCCACAAAGTCTGAGGGACAGGGGACTGGCCCCCTGCTGAAAAAGTTTGCTGACCCTGTTCTAAATCATTCATCAGAGGTTGATGGATTGATCCAACACATTATTGCCCACTTTGGGAAACACTGCACCAAGGGTTGCTAACATTTTTCTCTGCTGATACAGTGGTACCTCGGGTTAAGAACTTAATTCGTTCTGGAGGTCCGTTCTTAACCTGAAACTGTTCTTAACCTGAGATACCACTTTAGCTAATGGGGCCTCCCGCTGCTGCCGCGCTGCCGGAGCACGATTTCTGTTCTCATCCTGAAGCATATGTAACCTGAGGTACCACTGTACTTCGTTAACACCTGCCCATCAATCAGAAATGTGGCACCTGAAGTTCCCCGTCGCTGCATAGGGAAAGGGTTGATACTATGCTTGTTATGCCACTGTTGCGAGATGGAGAAATAATCAGTTGGCAACCCTGATTTCTGCTGCCAGCAGCTGGCGGCACTCCCCAATAAGCAGCTTTGTGTACCCACCGGCAGATCTGAGGTTTTCATCATTTCATGTGAAGGAAACCCCCTGCTCCCACCTCCTGCCAATTCTTTTCCCATGGAAAAGCCGGCGATCGCATAAACGATTGAGCAAGAGCCCTGCAGGTGATCTGCAAGTGATCTGTCAGTGAGGAAACGACAAGTCGCTTGCTCCGTTGAAGCTCAGAAACGAGACCTCTCCTTTTTGTTTGTCCCACGGAAGATCCTTCTCTTTGCAAAATCAAAGCAGTGCATGCAGCTCCAAAATGAAGCTGACTGTGAAAAGGGTCCATCACCTCGTCAAATCGCCTGCTCCCCCTCCATGTCTTGCTCAAAAAAGAGATGCAAGCCATGTTCCTCTCATTTCCTGCCAAGATACAGTCCGCTATATATGGATGCCGTCAGCTCCCATTAGCAGAACGGCTGGCAGAGGGGAAAAGGGCAGCTCGTGGAAGGCAAGCTATTGTAATCGCAATCACCTCAATTAGACCCAATTTAAACCACAGGCCTGACATGCTACAGTAATTAGAGATCAAAAGCTTGGCCTGTCAAGCTTTTGCTGCTTCTCCTCTCTCTTACAGAGGTGCAGGTTAGTGCAAGAGGTCTTGAAATTGTACTTCTTCTACACTACAGCAGCAGACAAGGCCAGATCAAAGGACATATGCATCTCCTCCCTGCACACAGTCTCTAACCCATCAGCACCCATTCCGAGAGAACTGACTTGGGCTGGTAGAATAGCAAGGAATGGAACAAGAACCCATGGAAGAGTCAGGGTGCATGTCTCTGTCTGCGTTGATGCTTGTGGGTACATGCATTGCCTGACATTGCAGAACTTTTGCTAATAAACTAGCCGTAGTCATTTGCTTTTCATACCTTGAGCTCACTGAGATATTCTGCCTCACTATGAAGTATTATTCTGGAAGGGCCGTGACTGGTTGACAATGGAGGAGTGTGCCTTTGGGGGTGAAGTCAAACTCTTGGAAGGTTGCAGCAGCTGCTGTGGCTGCAGAAACCGATATGGGAGAGACATGTTTTGGGAGGGGTGTAGCCGGGTGGTAAGGCCCATGCTTTGCGTGCAAAATGGCCCAAACTCAATCCCTGGTATCTTCCAGTTAGGTCTGGAGGAAACCCGTCTGGAAACCCTGGAGAGGAACCAACACTGAGTGTAGATCTGAGGTTGGGAACCTGTAGTCTTCCAGATATTGCCTGCCATCATCTGTGACCATTGGCCAAGCTGGCTGGGTTTGACAGGAGTTGGGAGTCAAACCACGTATGGAAAGCCACAAATTCCACATACCTGATATAGACAGTACTCAGCTAAATGGGCCAACAATCTCACTCACTATAAGGCAGCTTCCTATGGTGACATCGACATTTAAAGCACACTTAGGCCACTCTTGTTAGTCATGGCTTCTCCCGAAGAATCCTGGGAACTGTTCCAGGTATGTATGTTAACATTGTTGACTTCCATTCCATGTGGCTCTTCCCTTTCAGCTGGCTCCACTTTCAAGATATGGAGCTTCTTTTCCTGCAATATCCCAGATTTGGGTAGTCTGATCATGTTCTCTTACTTAAATTCTGTCTCTGCTATCTCACTGCTTCTCTCTCTGCACTTGAGGACCTAAGTTGCCTCCAGTTCTCTTCTTTCTATATTTGTAGGGAGAAGGCTTTAAAAGTTTCCATGGGCTTTGGCACAGCACTAGTCCATCTTAGTTGTGATTAGTGTCAAGGACTTGGACCAAAAAAACAAAGACAATATTTTGAGGAGCAACTGAAAACTCACCAATTAACAAATTCTCAGTTGGAGAAGAACTTCTTAAGAAATGATGTTCAGTTGGAAAGACATCCAAATTCACATTCCAGACCAAATTCACACCCCCAAAACAGATAATTAAAGATGTTAGCAACATCCCTACTGGTAAGCAGTTTTCTGCCTAGTACTCACGCAGCTTTCTTGGTTAGAATCTCAAAATTATTGTGACACCAGTGACTGGCTTTGTTCAGATTATGCACATGCAGCTTTCCCATTTTATTCTTTTAATGAATAATACTATTTTCCTCAGAAACGTAAGCATCTTCAACAACAGTTTGCTTGCTCCCTTTCCACTTCACAGGCAGGATCAAGGGAAAGCACATAAAGAGCAGGAAATCAGAAACTGTTGGCTGAAAGGTCCCCAGGAGGCAGCATTACTGAAAAATCAGGTGTCACCAAACCAGAGTTTTTGTGGGCAACCTGCAACCCCTCAGCCTAGACTACATTCAGATTTGGGGGATACTGTGTTGGTTTTCCTGATTATAATAGTGCTTCTGTTCTGCTTTATAACATTTCTTTCACACTGCAGAACTTGTTGTATTATGGGACTGTGGCTTTTGGACTAGTATATTGACACGTGGTGCTAAATTTCATTCATCAACCAATGTCATAGGACAATGGCACTACTACTGCACCCCTTCTGTGTAGGCAGCCTGTGGCGATCACACAAGGTCCTCGGACGTTTGACGGTCTATTGATCCCTGTGCCACCACTGTGATTGCCTCTTCACTGCCACCAACCTGTTTCTCTCGGGTACACACGGAGTCCAGACAGTTGTTAACATTAACAAATAATCAAGTTTATTTTTATAAGCATGAACAAGTTTAAGGTTTCAGTTAATTTTTCTTGTCAGTTTCTTAATCTTAGTTCCTTTACTGTCCTATACGTCCCTAACAACTTCAAACTGATTATTCCAACTATCTATCTGTCTCCACCTAACAATTCCTCTCAGTCCCATGAAGCCGCACAGCCATTGCCGGAGAGCGCTGACTTTTTCCTGTGGACAATTGGATTTAAAGCAAGTACCTGTGAGTAGAAACGGAAAATTGGATCAAGAAATACCCTAATTTGGCACCGAAGCGGGAAGGTTCAAACAGGAAGTCCGCCTTCTGCTTTTTGTACATAGACTGAAGCAAAAACCTTGTAAGCTAAAGTCCGGAAAGTCGTTAGAAAAGTCTAAATTTCCTTCATTTATAACTACTAAAACCCCCTTGGAAGCAGGAGAAAAGGGGAGGGAATCTTTGTTTAAGCCTGCAGGAGAGGGAGTGAAGAAAGATAAGCTTCCACCGTCTCAAACCTGGGAACCGGGGGTCAGAGACAGAAATTGTTGGAGAGGTTCACTGACTGTGAATGGAATACTTTGACAGATAGCTAAAGAAGAGAAATAAACTGATCCCAGTGTTGCCTTTTGCATTCTAAAGAAACAAAATATCTGAAAAATGAAAGTAATTTTCCTTTGTTGGACTTGCCTTAAAAAGATGGATACAAATAGAAATTGTCTCCTCTAGAGGAAGCTTGTTAAATTGTTGCTGCAGTCTACTTGAGGACTCTACAGCTGTGAGATTAAGATCGTGGGACCAGTCCTTTTGACCTCAAATAAAAATGAGCTGGGAGGAAGTTTTGGTGCTTGCTTTATGCAAGACAAGTGCTTTGTTGGAACAGATGCATGAGAAGATGGATCTGATGAATGAGAAAACGGATTTGATGACTGTTGTGGTCAATAACTGTGGACAAAGAGGGAATACTGATACAGAAACCATTCAGGGACCAACTCAGGGACCTGTATTGATGGGGCAAGTGCAGAAGATAATGGAGGAGGTTGCGGTTGCACCTCAAATAATACAAATGGAGAGATCCGAGGCCCTGCAGGAGCATAAGCCGCTGTCTTTGAAGATTGAAGTTGGAGTGGGCCAGGGGGAGTCTGGAGCTCAGGAGGTTCTTAACTCGGAGGGACTTTGAAATATGCTCTTAAATATTTTTTGGATTACATTGATGACTGTGGGGAGTGGGACTGTGGGGAATGGGCTGGTTTGATGAAGGGAGATGGAGATAATCTTAGGCTGGAACTTCCCAGAGACCTACTCCTCAATGAGAAAGGAAAGAAATTAAGAAAGAGACCAACAAAAGACAAGGAAAAGTGCAGGTATAAACAAGAAGAAGATCTGCAGAAGGGACATGGAAGAGACTTAAGAGCCTCGGATATAAGATTACCGGGTTGATGGACTAGATGGAATGGACAGTAAGGACTGACATGACCCGAGACCAGGAAGAAGAGACGCTGGATGAAGATTGGAAGAAAATTTATAAAGAAAAAATTTTATTTAGGGAATTAGCCTAAAATTAATGAATATTAGGGAAAATGTTGGAATGAAACTATATGGCTTTAGTAGAAATGATATAAGGAGTTATGTATAATTGAGTATTAAGTTTCAAGCTCTAAGGTATTTTATGGTAAGATAAGGTTAAATAAATTAAGGTAATTTGAATAACAGAATATGGGGAAAGATGGAAAGGATTTGTTGAATTAATTAATAGGTTAAATTGTTAAGATAAATTATTCAATAAAAATTGAGAAAGATGGAAAGAATTTGCTGAAATAACTAATTAAACTAGAATACAAAAAGGGAGGTGTGAGGACGTCAATGAAACAAGCAAATGGAAGTTAAAGATATGTAACATGGGATTTGTCTTTTTTTTGTTCTTTTTTATTTTTTTGCTGTATTGTTGTATTGGTTTTTATGCTTTGTTTTCTTTTTTCTTCTTTTTTATGTACTGTAGTGTTGTTTCCTATTTTTTCTTTTTTTTTCTGTAATTCTGAAACTTTTAATAAATATTTTTTTTTTTAAAAAAACAATTCCTCTCACTCCCTCACATCACAACTCAACCAACCCACAGACTTATCCTCCCTCTTCCTTCTTCAACTCCCAACTCTCAACTGACTTCCACACAACACCGACTCTAACTCTAACTCCTCCTATCAGTTTCTCTCTGGCCAATCACATCACACTCATTTAACCCTTTCCATATGACCCACCTAGGAGGCAAACGCCACACAGCCCTGTATTGGGAAGTTTTTAACATCTGATGTTTCGCTATTTTTCTAATATTCTCTTGGAAGCTGCCCAGAGCGGCTGGGGTATAAGTAATAAATTATTATTATTATTTTGTTCCGCCGTGAAAGCCAGTATTGCACCCCAATTTTTGTCACTTTACTCACACAGTTTTCCAGGTTAAGGAGTCTGCTGGAATCAAATAACATGGAAACGAGTGCTAAACACGTGCTATGTTCCATCATTTTCCTGGAAGTGGCTTTTCTGTTGTATGAAAACTCAGATATCGTGAGGAAATTAACAGAAACATCAGGGAAGTGGTGTAAACGGCCACATGAATGCAACCTTAATTTCATACAGGTGGAAAGGAGAAACTGGTAGTAAAGGATAGAAGAAAGTGAGAAAATAGAGTCAGAGAGAGAGAGAGAGAGAAAGAGAGAATGGGGTGCTCCACCAGGATGCAACCTCTAAGTAAATGCAGCCCTATGCAGAAAGGTGGGGAGCCCATCCCTCCCCCTTCTGCTTTACAGGCCGAGCCAACATTTTATCCTTTTAGCCGGTTGCCAGAATCAGACGAGGCAAAGCCAGCGAAAAAGCATAATCCCATCATTTGCACTTGGACTGCTCAGAGACCCATTACTGAGTGACAGCAGAACAACAGCATCACTGCCTTTTAATTCCACGGGCTGTAAAAGCTTCCTCTGAGGATAGTTTGAGAGCAAATGGCACCTGTGGGCCTTCTGGGCCTAACAATTCAGAGCAGCTGGACCAGCTCCACTCTGAGACTGATGCTCTCACTCTGTTCGTTAACCTGCCATCCCACACGAGGCTACAGAGCTAGCTCAGGGGCATATTTCAGGTTTTGGGGTTGTTTCTGCTTTTGCTCCAGGCTGTTCTGCTCCTCTGGCTTTTGCAACCTTTGAAAATAGATCCATGCCGTATTTTTTCCCCCTTTTTTGTGTGAAAGGTACAATCGAAAGCAACCATTTATTTTCATACAGGCTGTCACTGGGCTTCGCCTGTGTGTGTTTATAGATTACAAAATATAACACCGCCATTTCCTTTCCAGACTCCTCTCTAATTACACTTTTGAAAAGAAACTGGCCTTTTGAGCTAAAACGTGCCAACTGTCAGGGACGGGCTGGACCCTGAGGAGTGGGCACCGGGAGGGCGGTTTCCCCCCCTTTTAATCCCAGATGGAAGCCTTCTGATATCACTAAGTGTTGGAGAGATAGCACTCTGCCTGTGTTCAAGGTGGTTTATCAGTATTATATGCCCATTTCTAGAGCTGAGCCTTGCCACTGAAAATAGCTTCAGGGTCTACAACGTGGCGAGCCCTGGCTCAAAGTACGTCTTGCTTTTGAAACAAACCTATGATCACAATGTATTGGTAGATTTCTGGTTTTTGCATCTATCAGAAGCACAGGAGGTCTGCCCTTCTTGGCATTGGATCAGTCTCCCTAGGTCCCGCTTGCATCTCCAGAACCACCACTTGAAGAGTAATGCAAGTACAGGGCATCTCCCAATCGAATCATGGCATTCTCCATGTGCAGCAAATAATGCAAAAACATGCAAGTCTGTTGTGACCGCTCCAGGTCAGAAGTGTGGACCCACAAGCCTTGGGGCTTAATACAGCCCTCCAGGCTTCTCTATCTGGCCTGAGGGACACCCCTAAAGGCTATAATAGGCATAGGCAAACTCGGCCCTCCAGATGTTTTGGGACTACAACTCCCATCATCCCTAGCTAACAGGACCAGTGGTCAGGGATGATGGGAGTTGTAGTCCCAAAACATCTGGAGGGCTGAGTTTGCCTATGCCTGGGCTATACCCTCTCCAGCCATACCCCTCTTCCCAGCCCTTCATTGCATTCTCTTTTGCATGGCGGGTATGTGTCCTTGAATTTTTGCTAATACTTCTGACTCATCTGGATGGAGAATAGAGGAGTATGTATGAGAGTATATAGAAACCAGCCTCCTGTGGATTGCTCTGCCCACTATGCCTCCATCCCTGCCCCAGGTAGTCCCCAGAAGTTTGTCCACAAAGGGATGTGTGTCTTGGGAAGAAACATGTTGCCCAACCCAATAGGCTCTCCTTGCTCTGATCTCTCTTTCCACCCCTTTGTTTTCTACCTCACTGATGATAGGAAAGGTGATCTTTCTTAACAACCCTAAAGCCCTTCAGGTCACTTGAGAACTTACCTTAAAAAACTCCTGCATCCTCATAAAATCATGAATAGTCAGCCTGTTTTCAAGTCGTTCTGTACTTTTCTCTCTCACAGAATCTTCAGCCATGTTAAGCAGCTGCTTCCCAGTAGCAGCCATGGCTTTTTTTTTTTGACCCAGGAAATGTGGTGCTCGTGCTTAATTTGCTTTTATCTCAATCAATACATCTCCAAAGGTGGTTCTTTGCTCGGCTTTTATGTCCTTTCAGAATTTAATTTCCTCCAGAATAATTTGTGGTGAGCAAGCCGTCTCTGGAATGTCAAAAAGGGTTTGGATGGACAAGAACCAAAAGGACAAAACACGGACTTCGATCACAACGCTCTCGTTTTTATTTCTCACAGGTTGCATGTGAGCTCTGGAATGCTGTATGCGAGCCAGGAAAACATAAGTGGCTTTCTCCGATGGTAAATAGAATTCATCCCAGCAAATTTATAACCTTTTACAGTTTCTTCCTGGAAATGTAACAGAAGCTGTTCACCTGGAGAAAATCCATTTTGCTTACCTTGTTTGCTATTAATGTGCTATTTATTCAGATTAAAATCCCATTATCTTTCCCAACCACACTTGATTAGCTCCAGCACTCCTTTCTCTTGAGTGTAGAGTGGAGGCTATAGGCATTTCGCAGGACTGCTTCGAGTAGCTGAGTTTCCTTGAGTTTGCAAGCGTTCCTTAGCAACCTTGCACAACACTAGCTAACTGCCCTTTCCACCCCTCCCAATTAGTGGGAGAAATTGCTTAGCTAGGAAGGATCTGTTGCAGCAAGCTGGGAAAGGAAGCCCACCTATTTGATTTAAAGACTTGGAAGCCGTTCAGAAGAGCAAAGGGCCTTGAATTCTGAACAGGTGCATGCACACAGACAGGCATAGTGCTTGTGCAACCCTCATGAGCTGCTGATCGGCGTGGTTGTTATAGAGCACTGAGCGGAATCCTGGCAGTAACACAATTATTACTAATTTTAGACCAGAGGTGAAGAACCTATAGCTCTCCAGCTGTCCCAGCTCTCATCACTCCCAGCCAACATGGTCAATAGTCAGGGATGGTTGAAGTCCAGCATAATTGGGAGGTCTATAGGTTTTCCATCCATATTTTAGTCCACCTGTAGTCTGTTTGCAGAGCGGAATATGACCCAGTAGCTCCTATATTGTTTTTGGTCTGGTTTGTTTTACTCAGAAACAAAAGGAGATGGAAGGCCAGGAGAGGTGGAGATTACTACTATAGTAAATTGTAGCCGCCATGTGCAGTCTCCTTCCACCCAACCACCCAAAAAATCTCACATATGGTGAGTCTTCTGAGCAACAGTTTGGCTTCTTTGGGGCTTATTCATATACGGTACATCCATTAGGAAACTCACATGAACCACTGGATGTCCCCTTCAGAGGATGCTGGACCAGAACTCCGATCATCTCTGACCACTAGCCATGTTGGGGCTGATGGGAGCTAGAGCCTAGCAACCTCCAGAGAGCCACATCCCTTAGTCTTTAACCTATTTCTGAGCTTGGTGGGAGAGAGAGAGAGAGAGAGAGAAATAGGCAGAGGCTAGGGGACTGCATCTAATTCTCCACTGCTCCTAACTGACATGGCTGAAGACTGATTAGGGTTTCACATGGCCAGCCCCAACTACTACAGAATGCCTTCCATCTGTTTGCAAGCCTTAATAAATAATAACAATAATGTTATTATTTGTATGCCGCCCATATGACTGGGTTTCCCCAGCCACTCTGGGTGGCTCCCAACAGAATATTAAAAACACAATCAAACATTAAAAACTTCCCTAAATAGGGCTGCCTTCAGATGTCTATTTCCTTGACATCTGATGGGAGGGCGTTCCACAGGGCAGGACAATGATGTTATTGTCACAAGCTTGATGACCACTGAATTTTATCAGTCCCAGCACCTGGCTGAACATGGGATTCAGCACCAGACTGAAGACTTCTGGGGTGATAGTTGGAAGAATGGGATTTTTTTAAAAAAGAAAACATTTTGGTAGACTTGCCTCTATCTGCTAGTCAGTTGGCACTCCACTGTTCCACTTCCAGGTGCTGCAAGATTATTCTGCTGTGCAGCAAATATAGCCAAGCTTGGGCATTGAGAAAGGATTGACAATGCAGCTCTTTCTGATGGCTATGTCCCCGTTAAACAGGAATGCTTTGATCTTATCCTACACAATGCATCAGATACTCCAAATTATACTAAAATCACAGGCCCCTTTCATCGCTGTCACCAGGCCTAAAAACTACCTTTAAAGGCTAATCCCTTTTCTGCCGCCTCTAGAGCTGTGATCAATTTCTGTCCTGCTGCTGAGAGTAATCCAAGGCTTTGTAGATGTTCACAAAACAAAAATGCAAGTCAAAGCTTTACATAGAGAGGCTGCTACTGGGCTATATCCCCATGAAACCAAAATCCATATAATCAATTTCTTCTTTAAAATTTCTTTTACTGAAGTTTGCTGCTGTTCCGTACATAGGGAGCTACCATTTCCTCTTCTAGCCTAATAGTGTTTCACTTTATTGGTGTTTTTCTAATAGCAGCAATAGCAGATTTCCAGGTTCTCAAGGCAGAGGTCCTTCACATCATCTGCTACCTGAACTTTTTTTTACTGGTGAGCTCTGGGATTGAATCTTGGACCTTCTGGGAGGAAAGCCTGCACACTTATCCTAGGGATAAAAGGATCTGGAAAATTTTGGCTCTCCGTTTCTCATTTTTTCAAGGCTTAAATTCAGTTATCCCAATTTTTCGGCATTTTGTGATTTAAAAACAAACAACCTCATCAAGGTTCATCAGCATTTTAGTGCAAACTTCTCCAGATAACTTTTTATATGCAGCTTTGACTCACGTACACATTTTTTGCAAGCATTTTCCCTGATGCAATATATTTTTGCATGTTAATTTTCACCAATACCTTCACTTTTATGCACACTTTCCCCCAATATATGCATTTTCGTATATCGGCTAGAGAACTGCGTCACAAAATTCAGATAAGTGCGGATTTTGAAGGATAGCTGTGTATCAATTTATGTAGTTTTGTAAACTGGTAAGATTCAGCTTTAAGTGAATACTGGATTGATTTTTTTCCTCTACTCCTAGTCCCCACCCTACAAACTAAGGGCTAACACCTCCATCTCAGAAAGCAGGGTAGAAACAAACCTTGACAGGAGCTCCCTTCTAGTTCTCAAATAGAACCGCAGCTGCTATTCAAAATACAAGAAAATATTACTTCCAAATCGGCAGATCGAACTTCAATCAAAAGCAGAGATACAAGAGAACAAAGGACTGAGCCGGCACAAGGAAAAACTCCTGCTGGGCCCTGATCTAACATCTGAATGTGGGGAAGGTCCCATGCACACACTGGTTTGTTACCTGATCTCCAGCAAAAAGAAAGAAATGTGATGGCAAGTCCAACCATCCTTTCCCATGTTGTGGCAGATCAATCAGCTCCTTCACACCTCAAACCCGACTACAGGTCATCAAGCCTGCCCCCCACCAAACATGCCTACTGAAAATGTCATAAAGGCACAAATGTCAATTCTTTAACAAAAACCAAGGGTAGACACCAAGGTCCAAATTGCTTGCACTTTATGGAGCTTTTATACTAGCAACTCACAAGAACAACCATCAGAGTGAATTGTATTGTGGAATTTTAACTCTCTTGTTCAACCAAGACTTGACAGCCACTTGGGCTGAATGAAGATCAGTTTTAATTATCCACAACACCCTTTTGATATTCTGCAGTTCTGCATATGTTGTAGCCTTGTATGTATTTTACTAAATGTTTCATATTCTTTTCTGTCAACTACCTTGGGAAATCTTTGTGCGGTCCAGAAGAGGCAGGGCTTTCCCCATGAGTTCCAGCGTGAAAGAGCTGTGTGCATAGCAAATGGAGCAGAGCTTTGAAACATGCCAACCAGCTGCAAACTCCAAGTACTATGTATAAGACTTGTGTGCAATCAGTGCTTTGAGGGAGACAAGCAGCTGCACACCCCACCACTCTATAGTTTCTCAGTTGCTACCAGAAATACAGAACATCTGGAAGCTAGAAGGTTTAAAAGCTGTTAACTTTCCAACAACAGCATTTCTGAGAAACCAAGAAATGGCCTTTCCCGAAAGCACTCAAAAGGTAATAGTTATTAACAGCTGACAAACAGGGGTTAAGTTTGGCTGTGAGCATCTGCAGCAGGCACACACAGCAGAAGACACAAGCATCAGTCGCACTCGAGAGAAGTCCCTTTCACAGCGCATTAGTGACTAATGGAATGGCTGAAGAGGACATAAGAAAAATAGTTTCCCCTTTCCCTGCTATCATCTTTGGGATAATATTTTAAACCTTTGTGGAAGACATGCACACCACCCATTTCCAATCCTAAAAGATAATATAATGGAAACAGATTATACAGATAGTCTAACAGATGTAAACTATTTATTGAATATTTGCCACCAATATCGTTAAATACATCATCTTGCAGTTTTTTTGTTTGTTTTTTTGCTTTCAAGTTAAAATGTCAGAAACAGAACACCAAATATTTACAATTCTTATAAGGAATGTTACATAATGACACATTAAGGCGTAAATTCTTTTGGCTTATAATTCTGAAAAGAATGATAATAGCAAAAAAGTGATGCAAAATCTTCATCGTGAGATCATGATTAAGCTACAATGTTTTTACAAAAATATGGTGTAAGATGGCAATAAATCCCATTCAAAATCCTGCAATAGGTCCCTTCAACTGGGACTGATAATTTATACAGTCAAAACTTTAAAGTTTACATATAAAGGTATCCTATCCACCATTGAAAAGTACAGCTCTCAACATATACAGTTTTTTTTTCAGGCCACAGTTTTGAAGGTCTGGAGTATCAAGTTGGTTTGATGAATTAGTCGGTTGGCACTTATGAACACATTTATTGCCCTGTTGTAAGAAACAAAACACATTTCAGCAGCAGAATGGAGACCTGAAGCCATCAGGTAGAATACATTTCAAAAGTTATTCAAGTGGAATGGCACTAGTGTCGATTTCAACGCTGCTTATTTTTCAGCACTTACAACTCCAAGCAAGAATGCTGATCAATTGATCATTCAGTGCTAGAGAGGAGCAGCACTTGGACTGATAACTTGAACTAATTAGGTTGTTTGTTTGTTTGAAGTGCCCAATAATTAGTTTCTCTCCCTACAGATTTCTCTCCAACCAACTGAATGAATGACATACAAAAATACTTAATTTGCACAAAACATTCCACATATTAGCACATCTCTCACCTCAAATTCTGAAATAAGGAACTCGTTCACATATTCTTGCATAAGATTTCTTCAATAAAGGACACAATGAGGAACACATCTTTCTTGTTACCAGTGTGAGCAAAGAAAGTAAGGTGGTCTTACCCATCTTAAATCCTGTTGCAAAGTTGACACATTTATGCTTCATTTTTGTTTCTTAAAAGTGTAACTTCTAAAGCATTATTAAGCTACTTTTCCAGATGTTTAAAGTGATGTACCTCATTTAAAAAACCCATGATAAAATAAAGAAGAGAATTATAGGAACAGTTCAAAATACACTGAGCAACTAACCCCTCAACTCTGTACTGACGAGTAAGTCCCTTTGCGGTGAATGTCTTTATTTATTTCATTAATCTATACACTGCTCAATTTCAATTTTCTCTAAGCAATGTAAAAGTAGCTGAATCCTTTTTTTTTCTTTTTTTTTTGAAGTTGAGACAAGTTGAAAGTTTAAATCAGAATTCTGGAATTCTGTTAAAATGCCTGTGGGGGGGGGGGGAGACTCCAAAAAGTATTGGAAGTTCAACAGAGAAGGGAACCATCTGAGCGCAAATGGAAGAGTGCTCCATAAAATTGTGCACACAATACTGAACACACAGTTCCTGCTGGATACAAGTCATGCATCTGAGCCACGGCAGACCACTAACAGTGACTCTCCTACCCCAAACTTCAGTTATTGGCTAGGGAAATAACAAATCAGGTGGCCCTTGAGACATCCTGGATCCAACTTGTTAAAGGCCTTGTAAATTAACGTAAGAGCATTGAACCTGGCCCAGTAGCGTATATGATAATACATGGGCCTTATTCCTAGGTAAGTAGATATAAGATTGCAGCCCAAATCAACCAAATGCCTGCCAAAAAGGTCTTACAGCTCTTGTGGAAAATCACAAAAAGGGACTGCTCTTCATCTCTAGAGGCAAGTCATTCAAAGGTCGTGCGGCCAAGGCAGTAAAAGCCTTATTATTTTACTATCGCCACTCTTGCAAAAACTGCTTGATTAGCCAACCCCAACTATTATATGGGGCAATATAAGAGGCGGCAGTCCCTTGAGTAGGTGGTCTGTAGGCAACAAAGGGCCTTATAGGTCGAACACTGCCCAGTGAATTGGGCCTGGAAACAGTAAATAGCACAAAATTGGCTCAGTGTGCTAATCCTATGGTGTTAGAAGGTGAGCAGAACAATTCTACATTGACACTTCCACGCCATCTTCAAGGGAAGCCCCATGTAAGAGCCATGGGAGCACTGTACACAATTATATTCCCCCCACCAACCAGTGTTACACACATTGGCCAGGATTCAAATAATTACTTTTGGCAGCACCCAAATGCTGGCACATTGTCAGGGATGTTGTTAACTTCTTTTCAAAAGCAGAGTACCCCACAAGCAGCAAACGTGAAAAATAAAAATTTGATAAGACCATAGCAGTAAAATCCAATGACCTACATACACTCGCAACCCCAGACAACTCAGCTTTTATGCTATAACGCTAGAATGAATTAAGTTAGTGAAGGCCATAAAACTCAAATGTGAGTGTTGTTTGGTTAGTAAAAGTGACCTTTTTTCCCTCTTCTTCTTCTTCATCCTCAGCTAAATCAATTTCACTTCTTGTTTGCAAATTATACCCAGTCACAGCATGTGTTAGTTTCACTCTTACTAACTAATGAATTCCTGGGCTGCCCAGTGTTTAACAAACCAGAATAATACCATACAGTAGTATAAACTTTAAATAAACTGAGCACTGTACAATGCCAAAGACTGGAGGAGTTTGTGTATATCAGAATTGTCCATTTAACTCCAACTACTATGAACCAGGTCAAGGAACAGATGGGTTCTTTTCCTCCTCACTACCCAGAGCTAAAATCGCTGTTTGATAACTTCCATCACTGGCTGCTGTAGCTAGTCATGTTGCACATGCTTTCCCTCATGTGCAGTACACCACTAAGGAGCAGTGAAAATGCATGCACTCCTGCAATGGCATATGTTAAGTGCCAACTGCAAGAAGGAACTGATCAGTTGGGAAACTGTGGCACAAAGACCAGACCAAGTGCTTATGTAGTTCAGCATGCTGTTTCCCACAGTGGCCAACTCTCAGAGTCCTCTTGTCCCCTCTCAAAGTTGTTCCTTAGCCACTGGTACTCAAGATACATAATGTCCTGGACAAAGCATAAAGGCCTCTTGATTACTGACCAGGGACGTCCTTCCACCATTTGCTCCCAGTATGTGTTCCTTTGGGATATATCACTTCCATAGTTGGATACTCCATTTCAGCTATCCTGGCTTATAAGGAAAGATATCTAGAAGGTCACAACTTCCATAATCTCTGAACATCAGCCATGCTGGCTGAGTCTGATGGGAGTTGGAGTCCAACAACCTCTGGAGGACCAGTTTCCTCATCCCTAAAATGGCCATTAACTTGACCATATATGATAACTACTTTTAGGAGACTTTCCATTCCTTATTCCCCCTCCCCAAACAATCTGTCACAGCAGCATTAAATGTGTTAATTTTAGTTGGGGAATGCTGGACAGTGTTGGAAGGGCAGAAGAAAACATGCTTGGATTATTTTTCCTGTTTTGAACCCATCAGGTTTGCGGCCATCTCAATATAAGCCATGAAAGGTTTCAGTATTTTTAAAAAATCCCTGATTCCCAAGAAAAGTTAATGTTAAGACTGAAAACATGGCAATCTCTATAGCAACAGGCCAATCTATTTTTGAACATTTGTTGAAGTCTGTTAGCAGAAAGTGAAGAAGTGCTTAAGACACTAATCAGTGCAAACAATACTCATTGCTGTTACAAAATATTTTAAATAAATATTTAGAAAGAAAATGACAGGCAAGACATAACAAATTCACCAATTCGAAAAACGAAAAGAAAAAAACCCCCAAGCATACTTACTTTCCATCTTTAAAATAGGTTTTCAAAGTGTCGCTGAAACTTTTAGAGTATTTTACAAACTCTTTCTTTTGGTGCTCAAGTGCCTGAAATATACATATGCAAAGAGTCATTCAATCAAAGCCTCAACCTTCATAAACCATTTTTATTAGCCACTGGACACTGATTAAAAAGATAAGCAGAAGAAAATAAGCATAAGTGCTGTGATAGCAAAATTCTGTTTAAGAAATGAAACGACTAACAGCACTTCTTTAAATGCTTCTGGGAATGTTTGTTTACAGCAATAAAATTCATACAGAGCATATTAGAAAATTATACTAAGCCTTAAATGTAGCCACTGCAGACAAAAAATCCACAAATACTAAAAACCAGGCAGTAGGAAAAACTAGTAACTTAGTGACAGAAGATTGGTTTTCATTCTGTTTGCTTCTTCCTCTGCAAGTTTATTTGTCTTAACTGCCAGTGGTTGTTGAAATGATTTACAATTCCCACCATCCAAGTATTATAAACTGCGGATCCTTTAATATTTATAGTTAATATGTTTATATTTCTGACAAACCAACATAGCAGAATTTAATTCACATACCCTCCGGTTCTGGTATTGATATTTCTTGAAGACATTATTTACTGTGTCAAGAAGTTCCTTTATTGCACTGGCGATGTCCCTATTTGGCAATGAAAAGATAATTGCAACATCTTTTAAAATTAGACTAACTCAATGCAGAATTTTAAGCACTTCCAAAATTATGTCTGACATGTATTTCTAAAGGATTTGCTGTCTTACAGAATGAGTTTTAGATATGGCACAGCAAGAGTGAACACCAAGAACTAATTAGATTATATAGCATTTCAAAGTCCAAATTAGGTTTAATGCAAGCCTTCCTATGTGGAAAGGTAGCATCTGCTGGATTTAGAACTCGACACAACAGAGTTACACAGCAGGAGCTCTGGACTATCTTCAGAATGATACCCTCCCTTCAGAGGAACTCTGAATATATACTATGAATAAAATGAACAGATATGAAAAAGTGACACATGATTCACCTTAAAATATTTTGTGAGCACTGATCTCATGAATTGAGGCTGTTATCTTGTCCTACCTAAGTCTCTAGGCATTTAAATAAAGTTAAACCACCTGGAAGAAAACTGTCACAGCAAGTATCATTGAAAGCAATTTGATGGCAGTAGCCCCTCTCAGAATTAATGGATACAATTTCATCTTGTTCTAACTTGGCAGAATTTAAGGTCACTCTACAACAAGACTAAACAGCCTTGCGCTGGGGCTAATAGAGGTCAGGAGAGAGAAAAGACAGTTAACACTATGATCTGTGGACAACTCTCAGGTTTTCACAATTACAACCAAAGCCACAGAATCCTCCCCAAAGTCACATGTGAAATTAAAATCATAGCCTGAGAAGGGTTCAGACAAGCATCTACACCCAAGGCAGCAAATGTGACATTAAGATGTTTGGAGTAACTGAGCATATTCAGGTCTACTTCAGCTTCCTTGCAGTTCATCTTCAAAAATGCCTATCAAACTGCCACGTTAAACCCAAAGGCACAAAAGAGTTGGGATTATAATTTGGCAACTGAAGTCGGGTAGCAGGTCTTCTATGTGTATTACTGCACAACTGGGATACACTTTCCCATTTTTTAGGTTTGGGATTCTGTGGGCAGCAAGCTGTTCAATAACCCCCCACCAAAAAAAAAAATTAGTTATGTCACACCAGTCATGCTTGCAGCTGGTGACTTCAGCATAAGGAAGAGATTGTGGGAAAGTTGGGTTAAGAGGATGAACCTTAATGGGAGCTGGAGGGATTAATTAAGATTTGTGGAAGTGCTTTCTCTCTGATCCTAACAAATGCTTCTCAAGGGGAGAAGTATTTTAAATGTATGGGGAGAGGGGGGCTTAACTACTTCAAATATTCTTGAATAAGTAAAGGAGTGCTACTGGGATAAGAAAATATGTGCTCTCAGTCCACCTGCTACAGCACCATGCACATGGTTTTTTGTACATTTTTTCTGCCTATCTGGGAGCTCTCCCTAGGTATGCAGAACCCCCTCCTACTCAATCTGTGGAGAGCTCAATTTTGCTGCCCTGTGGATAGGCAAAGTGCCTTTAGCGTAACTATTCAAAGGAATCATGTATCACCTTATACAGAAGTTAATTACACCAAATGAGTCTCAAAACTAATTTCAAGTTTTTTTTAAAAAAATGGCTCCAATCAAATGATTCAAATGAACGTGCAAGCTTAACTCTCTCATGGATTGTGGTCTTTTACGTTCTCATCACTGCAATGCAGAAAGGGTTTTAAAGTTATAGTCTATAGGGTTTTAAAGTTATAAACACGGGAGCATTTTTAAATATGCCATGTCACAGGGCACATATAAATTGAGAGGCCATGCAAGCTCTGGACCAATGCCTAGATGAGAGGTCCAAATTTTCTCTAAATTCTGGCAAGACAGACATTTGGGTCAGTGACCTGTATTCGATGGGGTTTTACTCCCCTTGAAAAACCAGGTCTGTAGTCTGGGGATGCTCCTGGATCCACCTTTATTCTACAGGCCCAGGTGACCTCACTGACTAGGACTGCCTTTTAAAGGTAAAGGTAAAGGGACCCCTGACCATTAGGTCCAGTCGTGACCGACTCTGGGGTTGCGGTGCTCATCTCGCTTTACCGGCCAATGGAGCCGGCGTACAGCTTCTGGGTCATGTGGCCAGCATGACTAAGCCACTTCTGGCAAACCAGGGCAGTGCACGGAAATGCCGTTTACCTTCCCGCCAGAGTGGTACCTATTTATCTACTTGCACTTTGATGTGTTTTCGAACTGCTAGGTTGGCAGGAGCTGGGCAAGCAACGGGAGCTCACCCCATCACGGGGATTCGAACCACCAACCTTCTGATCAGCAAGTCCTAGGCTCTGTGGTTTAACCTACAGCGCCACCTGCATCCCAGGACTGCCTTTTACCGGCTGATAAATACAGTTATGATCATTCTGGACCACAATAGCTTGACCACTGTCACCCATGTGCTGGTAACCTCCAGGCTGGATGTCTACAACATGCTCTATGTGGGGCTGCCCTTAAAGTTGGTCCAAAAGCCGCAGGTGGTACAAAATGTGGCAGGTCTACGGCTCTCTGGGGCAGGAGATTGCCAACACATTATCCTGCAGTAAATAGCTGCATTGGCTGTCACTTGGCTACCAGGCTAACTTCAAGGCACTGGTTTTAACATATCAAACCCCATACAGCTTGGACCAGGATACCTGAAATATCATTTCATCAATCACTATGCTCTGCAGAAACCATCTTATTCAGAGTTCTGACACCTACCCTTTGGAATCCCCTCCCTTTAAATATTATGTTGTGTTTTCAGTGCCTACTGAAGACCTTCCTCTTCCCAGCAGCCTTTTAAGTAGAGATCTTTCCCAGTTTTTCATCTGCATTGGAACTGTTTCTGAGATGTTTTATTATCACTTGTTGTTTGCCACTGTGGGCTCTTTTGGGAGGAAGGGCAGAATATAAACTGATTAAATAAATAAAAACAGCTGCACATATGGGTCTTGGCACCATTGGAAGTCAGTTGCTTCTAGTGCCCATCATAGCTACTCTTTAGGTAGACACTGTGACAGCCTCTTTACCCTAAAGACTTTAACAAATTTTTAAAAACTTGGTAAAGCTATAATGCAAACTGGCACATGGTTCCCTTAAGGTTAGAGGAATCTGATGGAATGCTTAAAGTACTATTATAAGTAAGAGTTTATTACGGCAAACTGGGCAAAATTGGCATTGCTGTACATTGCCAAGTAACAGATGCTGGTTAAGCTGCTGTAGCCACTATTAGCATTGCAGCGGCTAAAGTCTATCCACAGCTTGAACAGCAGACAGAAAGAAAATTTAATTTTGAAGCAAGAATTCACAAGCACCGTACGCTAAAATGATAAAAACCATAATTTAAAAACACTACATGCTACACTACATATAAACTGTAAGCAAAAGATACAAAGGGGGGGGGGGGAGAGACCAGCATAAAAGATAGGTTTAAGGAAAGTCTTCTGCTTGGATCAGCAAACTAGTTTAGACAGGAGCACTTACTTGATTGTCTGAAGAAACCTCACTCTGTCATTGATTTCATCTGGAATCTTACTGAGAATCTGTTTAAGTGCTCGTGCCTTTTCATTTAAGTCTTGGAATTCTGGCTCTGGCCTTTCAATCATATACTCTGGAGGGGGTGAGAGAGAGAAAGAAATTGGTTACTTACTGCAATAAGATTAGTTTTCTTTTTCAGTGGGGATTTGAGCCTGGGTCTCCCCAAAAACCACACCAGTACCAAATGCACAATGCACATGGTGGGCAAGAAATAAACTATGAACCCACCCGGTTTTCCATCTTCAGTGTAAGACAATGAACTGAAGTCCTAAGACATGCGCCTGACTGCCTGAAGGATGCTTGAGGGACATGCGAAAGCAGGATAAGCAAATGGTGCTCTAGGTGTATGAGGGGTATTTCAGAGCCAGTAAACAGAACAAAGTCCTGGATTTGCATTCAAACTGCACTTCTGTTGAACTCACAATTATTTTTCATCTCTTTTTTAAAAAATAAAAAACACATTTCATGATAGAGTAGTTTCAATCAGCACAATCACAGTTTAGCAGAAATACCTTCTACATCGTCAGCTGCCATGCGCAGGAGAGACTCGGTAAAGTTAACTTCAACACTTTTTTTCTCCAAAATTTTTATGATGATATCTTGTGTGAGACCTGGATTTTCCTTCTCAGCCTGCATTTCAAATAAGTTTTATTTATTTAGTACACCAACAGTCAATTTGCACGCAGTAAAAGATAACCAAGAATCACTACGGGTTCTAAATTCAAAATTATGTTTTTAAAAGCTAACCAAGCAGCACTGCATCATAATAAACATCCAGTTCTGCACCACCATTTTCTCCCTGAAAGCAAGACCTATATTTCTTGGACTGCATCAACATTTTTCATTTGTAACTTTGCCCAGTAAGCCATTTCATTTATTTCTGTGCAACATTTATTTCTATGCACTATAACAACCTTTCTTCTTCTTTTTAACCCAACTAAAATTAAGGGACAGACTTATTTACATGATTACATTTAAGTCCCTACAACATTATAGGCTGCACAGAATTAGGTTCGTTCAACTTATCTTCATAGCTCTTATCTTTAGATACACCAGAATAACTTTTTCAACAGCTAGCAATGTGCATATCTTGTAACAGTAACAGGAGATAATGAACTCCGCAGAGGGTAAAAAGGAACTGCAAAACCTCACATTTCCTACATCCCATGTCTTACACTTTCCTCAGAGTGCTTTTACACTATTTATTTTTTAGCTTTTTACAGAGGATATAACATGAAGTAGTAACAGTCAACCACCACAGTAATGACTATACAAACTATGAAGTAAGATTGATACTTTCTGCTCCACACACCTGTGCCCAAATTCCTCTCAATTATAAACAAGGAAATCTGCACTCCCACTTCACATGCTTGTTTCTCAGAACAGAATCTAAAGGTAAACTCCAAATCCCAGGCCAGAGACAGGCTATCCTAGGCCACAAATACTGTATTGATCTTCAGTCCCTCCCTAACCCAGTCCATCAGGCTAAAGGAATGGGACACCATCTCCTGCATCACCAAAAGAGGACCGCTAAGGAGACATCACCAAGTGCCGTTTTCCCTTTTACACTGGGGAGGCCCCACCAGTTCAAAAAGAATTTGTTGGCTTTAGTGGTGTGCAAAATCAGGGACGATTCACACTCCGGCCAGCACCTCTTTAATCTTCTACCTTCGGGCAGGAGATATAGAAGTTTAATCAGTCGTACCAACAGGCTAAAAAACAGTTTCTATCCGTGGGCTGTTAGGCTGCTGAACGGAAAATAATATAGTGCAACTGACTTTCAGGGTTGGTGTGTTGTGCAACAAGCACACAGAGTGCAATGAGATTGAGTGTTGGGGGGGGGGGAGAGGGAGTCTTGGTTAATTTCATTGTACACAGGTTGTACATTGACAATAAAGGCATTATTATCATTATTAAAATGTGCTTGTGAAGTAGCTCTCATACAAGCCAAACTGCAGCATGCAAGTCATTGCTTCCTGAACCAGCAGCCCCCCACCCCGGTGCTAGATGCAGATGCCCAAAGGACCTCTGTAGCATCAGCTTAACAGAAAGATGCCTGCCCAACCATAAAGGAAGATTCCAAAACTCCCCAGATAGCTTATTCATTGCTCATCTACTCTTATGGGCCACAATCCAAAGAACCAGATTGATAATTCTGTCTGCTCAGTGTGTCTTTTGATATTGTTTGCCTTTAAACAGCGGCCTCCCATGTTGCATGGCAAGCCTTTCAAGAAATTAAGGGGACTTTCAAAAGAAATTTGCAATGCAGCATGGGAGAAAAGGGTACGTGTTTGAAGGGGGAAATTTCTAAGTGCCAACTGGGTTTGTGAAATCTTCATAGTGCAAATGCTGAAGCTTCTAGATTCATGTTCCTGATGTCGAACATAAAACCTTCCTCCTTGAAGCATAAGAATACGGCTTCTTTTCCTACTGGATGAATTTTCTTAAAGCATTTCAGAGTGTCAACAAAGCCCCATAACCAGCTGCTTCCTAAACTAAAGTTAGCTAGTTAACAAGAGTGCTTTACATCTTTCGCTTAAAGATACAATTTTCCTAGCTACACACTTGAGTCTTCTAAGTTGCCAAAATTTATTCTTGAACCATGGCACACAAAAAGGAGTATAGTACTTTCAAAGCAAATTCTACTAATGCCATATCAAGAAGTATTTTAGTTCCTTGTCTCTGGAAACCAAGCGTTTCAGAAGCTGTAATATCTCTACCAAAAACAAAAAAAATGTTGGGAGTGAAGTTGCTTAAGCTGGTGCAGTTATGCTTCAGTAATTCATGCCCGCTTAGTGACAGAAGGTAGAAGAAAAAGCACTGAGCTTACATGCTGTCAAAGTTAAGCTGTACTCCTAGACAAGAAATGGGACAATCTGAACATAAACCATACAATTTGGCAGTATTTTTTTTATAGGGCCAGAAATTTAACCATAACTTCTTATCCATAAATAAAGCCCACTTCTACTAGAAGAAAAAATGTGCAACTTATTTACAAAGAGTGTAATTGTGCTCATTCAAAATACAAGGCTGTAAGTAACAAGCCAAAAGCTTGTGGCAAAAGAGCACTGCTGATTATTAAAGTTTACAATACTGAGTAACAAATAATTTTGATATGAAGTGTTTAACTATGACTATATTCCATTTTACGCATATGTTAGAAGCATGATTGGTTTTCACATAACAAAATATAAATAATTTTATTTGAGACACTTGCAGTTCTTTTAAATACAGTGGTACCTTGGGTTAAGTACTTAATTTGTTCCAGAGGTCTGTTCTTAACCTGAAACTGTTCTTAACCTGAAGCACCACTTTAGCTAATGGGGCCTCCTGCTCCCGCCACGCCACCAGAGCACAATTTCTGTTCTCATCCTGAAGCAAAGTTCTTAACCTGAAGCACTATTGTCTGGGTTAGCAGAGTCTGTAACCTGAAGCATATGTAACCCGAGGTACCACTGTAGTGGCCAAGGTCGCAGCCCCACAGAATATAAAGCCATGCTTTCTAATTTCTTTTGTTCAAGCAGCAACTGTCCCAGGAACTAGCATGAGTGGAAAGACTCATTGGACTTCCCACCATATTCTTTGTGCTCTAGCCCAAAGAAGAAAACAGATACCAAGGGATAATCACAGCTGCATTTCTAGGCTCTTTAAGAAACACAGCCCAATGAATGCCACAGCAGTCTTTCCAAAGGGTGGGAAGCAAAGCTGGGCTAATTCCAACTCACTTCTCAGACCTCAAAACCAAAGCCAACAACAGGGTTAGCACTGCACGGCTATCTCTGCTGTATCTCCTTTAAAGTAGTGTGTGAGGGAACCCTTTTAAGCCTTTTGCGACCAGGGAAACAATACAGTAAATGACAGGAAGAGGAGAGAGCATGAATGGGACCAGGTCTGAAATGGGAGACTGGCATTACAAACTCAAAGAAAAGGAGCAGAATCTCCTTAACTGTCTGCAAATCTGGAATACATCACCAATGCCATAGGGCATAGGCATTTAACTTATGAAGTTAGACCAAGTCAGGGTATCTAGCCCAATACTTCTACTCTACAAGTTCTTCAATGTCTCTGCAAAGGTCATTCACAATTCCTATCAAAGATACCAGAATTTAACTAGGACCTTTAGCATGCAAAGCAGATCCTTCACATCCGAGCTATAGCCAAACAGCAGATAGCTTTCTGCCTGTCTCAACCAGATGCATGCTAATTAGTGCAGGAAATGGGAATTTGTTTGGGGTCCCTAGGGAGAAGAAAAGTAATGGATCAGGACAGAACAAGACCAGTAGCTAAATCCGGTATGCAGTTAATCCAATTTTTACATTGCTGTAGGAAGCTCATGTACAAATACACACAATGTTAATTATTCTTACCTTAATAAAAGCTGCTCTCAGTGTCTGAGCTGCAGATAGATTTACTCGTTCTAGCTGCAAGGTGGAGTTAAAAGTAAATTGTTATACTAATATAAAACATGCAAAACAAAAAACACTTTGCCTTATGAAACTCCACTTCCAAATTTTCTGTCACTTAAGCTGATTCTATGTTTAAGAGTAGCAGGCACCGCCTCTCAGCTCAAAATTAAGGGTTCACACAGCCACTTACAAGCATAAAATTAGATAGCATGGTGATTTTTTGCTCTCTATATTCACATGGCAAAATGGTTCTGTGAATGGAGCAAAGACCTGAAAATTACTGGTTATCTGGTAGAATTTGACAGCTGGTGGAGAACCATTTCTATAAAGGCCAAGGTTTTGACTAACATACAGCCAGGGGTGTTGCAGTGATGCGTTTCAACAATCCATTCATAGGACAGACAAAAAAGGACTCCTAAAGATTTACAGTTGTGTTTAACAGACTGAAGGGTGACAACTGGAACATAGCTTATTATAGACAGACAGAATGAGATGCTTATACTTCCAAGGAGTGTGTAATAATTGCAAAGATAATTTAATATTTATATATGATTTTCTTAAATGCACACCAGAGAAGGGCTGTTCCCTTGCATACTTAAACAAAAACAAAAGTTCCAGCTTCCTGGATCAGCAAATATTTCTGGATTTTACCATTTTAAAACAGGTCAATTCTGTGAAACTGCAGAAACACAGTACAAGACTTTCTGCCATCTCTGTGGCTGCCTAAAACCTGGATACTAATTAAAACCAACTGAGTTTACATTTCAGAAACTTGCATATGCTGGGAAGTATCTTGAGAGCATATAAGTCCTGAAAAGAATGCCAGAACTAAGAAACAAACTGGGGCCAAAAAATTTAAGGTTATAGATATTGATTTCATGGAAATAAGCCAAGCCAAAGAAAGATAGAAAGCAGGACTCATTAGAGCAGTTTGTAAAGACTTGGTAGAAAATGTTAGCTTACCAAGTATAAACAGTATGTTAGGGTATCCTCTAACCTCCTGCTTCCCAAACACTGTAATACATAGAAAATCAACTAGAAGGCATGTTACCTCATTAAAGACAGGATACATAACAGCATAGAGTGGCATGGAAACCATAGAAGTGGTCTCTGCTTCATTCTTCATCTCTTCCATTGTCATCCTCATTCAAAGACCCACTCTTGAAGAAAATGGCTATCAAAGCAATGGACTTCTCATTCAATGAAGCGTTTCTTCTTTCTTCTAGTTGTATCAGAATGCTTAGAGCACTTTAAAAAACTACCCTGGAAGGAAGGGAGAGAGAGAGAGAGAGAGAGAGAAAGGCTTCATTATGATCAGTATCACTTTTCAGACAATAAGTACTACCAAAAATGTAATGCAGTAGATTCAGTACTGCCCCAATAAGCTCAGTTCCCTTCTAATCAAAGTTCAAATGTGCTGCAGGTTAGCTGATGATCTGTATGCAATTAATGCAGTTCTTGAGGATTTATCACAAGTTCTCATTTCAGCCACTTTCTTGAAAAGAGCAATGAAAATGAGAAATGATGTCTTTAAAATGCTAAAGGTCAATACTATTTTTACAATTTATACAGTAAGCGTTCATCAGCGCTAGCAAAGTTGTCATACATTCAACAGTGACTTGCTTGGAAAGTGATCGAAGGGACCCAAAATAGCAAGTAACATGTAAGCTGTATGTATGCCAGCATAATGTCATCTGCAAAGGCAATAGCCGATGGTCTAGTTAACAGATTTACTGTATAGGTATGACTACGCTGTAATAAGCTTAAAATGTACAAAAAGCTACACAAACCTCTATGCTTAGGTTGCTTTAAAACAAACAAAAGTCTCAAGCTCTGTTTTCATAAGGGTGTGCCAGCAACTGGTAGCTCAATGGAAAATAATGGTTCATGAAACCGAATCTGGTTTGAGATCCTCCACCCTACCCAGCCCAGCCCAGCCCAGAGAACAGTGGACCTGAATTTCAAGTATTGGTATGGTAAGGAATTACTCCTATTTCACAGAGGATATGAAAAACTATGCTGGAAAAGCATTAACCAAGTGTATGCCTAAAAATTTGATCTTAACAATTAAGTATGACAACTCTGACACATCTGAAATATTTTTTCATCCTTGTGAGAAGTTTGTGGAGGACATATATGTTTCAAAATATCTATTAAATGGATTTTAATAAAATGACAGGTAAAATTAACCTAGTGCATTGGTCTTCAACCAGTGACCCAGGCAACACAAGCGTTGAAGGTTGCCTTCAACCCAAAGTGAGTCACAAAGAAACACAATCTCTTTTTTAGGTTATGTGTTAAACTGATAAGAGAAAAAGCAAGGAAGAATCATAGACTTGTAGAGTTGGAAGGGACTCTGAGGATCATCTAGTCCAACCACTGTTCAAAATCGCACAGGCCGAAGACTTGTTTCGTGACTGGCACGGGTCCAATTGCGACCATGCGGAGATCTCTGGATGCCAGGTTGGCAACTGACATCTCCAACTGGCTGGCCCCTCCAGCTTTTTTAAGCAGGTAAGCAGAAGAGCTTATTTATTGCATTTATAGCCCACCCTTTTCTCCATGGACTACAGTATATGCTTTCCTCCCCATCTCAGTTAATACCTACAATGTCCCTGTGAGGTAGGCTAAGAGGCTGTGACTGAACCAAGGTCACCCAGTGAGTTTTATGACTTGAGTGGGGATTTGAACCCTGATCTTCCAGGTCCTAGTTTGACATTCTAATCACTATACCACACTGGCTTCCTAGAATACTGCTATGGGAGAGCTATATAAATTAAGTAAGTAAATAAATATGGGTAAGGCAAACCTGGAATATTTTCCTTTAAGCTTGATTTTTTTTTGTTTAAAATATAAACCCATATAGAAATGAGTAATAATGATGATAATAATTCCCGCAGCAAAAAGAAAGGCACCTAAACATTCCATTGTAGCAACTGTAACCTAGGTTTAAGATGCCATTTGGCAATTGGCTTATATATGCGTTGTAACACCAACTCCAACCCCCTGCATTGCAGGAATATGCAGCTGTCCTGTATGGGTATTGGAACTTGCAACCTTGGTGTTATCAGCATCACATTCTAATCAACTGAGCTATAAAGTGGTACAGTGGAAACTGTGAGCAAAGAAGTTGGAAAGTAAGGGGGAATGATGGGAGAAAGGGCAAAAGAAAGATTCAAAGTTTCCTAGATTTCAGGATGGACTAAAGGAGAGTGCCGAGTCTGAAAAGGTTGGAAATTAATGCTCCAGTTTCTATCAAATCACTTTATGATCCTGTCTCATACAAAAGCTACCGTATTTTTCGTTCTATAGGACGCACCGGTCCATAGGATGCACCTCGTTTTTTTGGGGGGGGGGGGGGCAATGAATAAAAAATATTATTCCCCCCCCCGCGGCTGCCGCCCCAAGCCTCGCGTGCTTCGGGCGACAAGCTGCAGCCCCAAGCCTTGCACGCAGGGCGGGACCTCCCCCCGGGCGCGCGAGGCTTGCAGACACTCGCCCGAAGCACGGGAGCCCTCCGGAGGGCTCCCCGTGCTTCGGGCGACAGCTGCAGCCCCAAGCCTTGCGCGCTGGGCGGGACCTCCCGCCGGGCGCGCAAGGCTTGCAGACACTCGCCCGAAGCACGGGAGCCCTCCGGAGGGCTCCCGTGCTTCGGGCGACAAGCTGCAGCCCCAAGCCTTGCGCGCTGGGCGGGACCTCCCGCCGGGCGCGCAAGGCTTGCAGACACTCGCCCGAGCACGGGAGCCCTCCGGAGGGCTCCCCGTGCTCGGGCGACAGGCTGCAGCCCCAAGCCTTGCGCGCTGGGCGGGACCTCCCGCCGGGCGCGCAAGGCTTGCAGACACTCGCCCGAGCACGGGAGCCCTCCGGAGGGCTCCCGTGCTTCGGGCGACAGGCTGCCGCCCCAAGCCTCGCGCGCTCGGCGGGACCTCCTGCCGGGCGCGCAAGGCTTGCGGACACTCGCCGGGGCTGCAGGCTGCTGCCTGCAAGCCTTGTGAGCCCGCGGGAACTCCCACCGGGCTTGCAAGGCTTGCGGATAGCTTCCTGAAGCCTGGAGAGCGAGAGGGGTCGGTGCGCACCAATGCCTCTCGCTCTCCAGGCTTCAGCGAAAGCCTGCATTCGCTCCATAGGACGCACACACATTTCCCCTTCATTTTTGGAGGGGAAAAAGTGCGTCCTATGGAGCGAAAAATACGGTAACTTCCATTATCCATGCATTGCCTCAGTCAAGAGCTCCTCTCTTATTTCCTTCACCTTTAAGTATAAAAACTCATTTTGAGGTTAATATTAGCTGCACAGCCTCTAGAATGTCAGGTTCATCTAATAACGTATTGACCAAGTACATTCACTCACCCAAGCATGGGTAAATGGGTAGGAAAATGGGGAGGGGAAGAGAGTTTAAAGTGAGGCACATTGGACCAAAAATATTTCACATATTTCACATATATGCTCATGGGGTTTAATGGCCAGCAACAAGCCCTTGGAATCACAGTGGATAACTCAGTGAAGTAAAGATGGAAAAGGCTCAGAAAAAGACAAGCAAAATGATCAAAGGGATGGAACAACCTCTATGAGGAAAGGGGCTTTTTTAGTTTAAAGGGGAAAGTGAGTTTTGGTAGCAGCGCATAAAATTATGCATGGTGCAAATAAAGTGGACAGAAAGTTTTTCATCCTCTCTCATAACACTAGAACTCAGGGACATCCAATGAAGTTGAACACTGGAAGATTCAGGACAGACAAAAGAAATTACTTCTTCACACAGCACATAGCCACATGGGAGGGGTATAAATAAGAAATAATAATAATAATAATAATAATAATTATTACAGTTACAACTCTGGAGTTTTCACCCACAAGTAGTAGTGATGGTCGCCAACTTGGATGGCTTTAAAAGAGGATTAGACAAATTCATGTAGGTTAAGCCTATCAAGGGCTACTATCTATAATGGCTATATTCTACATCCACTGTCAAAGCAGCATGCCAGTTGCTGTGAATCACAAGTGGGGATTGTTATACAGTGGTACCTCGCAAGACGAATGCCTCGCAAGACGAAAAACGCGCAAGACGAAAGAGTTTTCCGTTTTTTAAGTCGTTCCGCAAGACGAATTTCCCTATGGGCTTGCTTCGCAAGACGAAACGTCTTGCGAGTTCTTGCGAGTTCGTTTCCTTTTTCTTAAAGCCACTAAGTCGTTAATAGCCGCTAAGCGCCGTGCTTCGCAAAACGAAAAAACCGCAAGATGAAGAGACTCGCGGAACGGATTAATTTCGTCTTGCGAGGCACCACTGTACTCTGCTTCTGCTTGTCTGCTTCCCATAGGGATCTGCTTAACTACTTTGAGAGCAGGATGCAGGACTAGATGGACCACTTGCAGGCTCTTCTTATGAGACATGACGATAACCAACTCCACAAGTACTGCCTGCAAGGCTGGTTTTATCTAACCTCACACTGAATTCAGCATTTCCCTAGCAAAGAGAGGTTAAGTTTTGAAGAAGGAAGATGACATCTGTCTAGCTACACTGCAGTAAATTTACTGGTTTACAGACAAAAAGCTTAGGGGAAGCTACAGCAAGGCAATTAACCTTGACCAATTTTCTAATGTATATTCTCTCAGCATGCAAGCCAAATAGAAAAGCAAATAGAAGCTGGCAGCTGTGTATTTGGCCAAAGTACAAGCATACTGCCAAGCCAAGTTGGCATACACTATTTCTACACTTAGCTTTTTACAGAAATTAACACTCATGCTTCAGAAGAGACTGCAGCCTCCAGTCAGGATTTCTGAAAATAGCTGAAACTGGATTTCAAAAGAACATTTTGGGCTAATGAAATGTACACCATCTTCTGCTCCCAATAAACTCTCAAGTGCCACAAAGGGCAATTACATAGATATGCACCAACATATAACAAACCTGTGTTTTTTCACCCCAATGGTAAAAGCAGTTAACACACTGCTGTAATGCACTTCAAATACCTGACAGCCAGTAGTGCACAGAGCTAGTAATAATAACAAATTCAGGTACTGGGCATCATCATCAGCCAATATTTAGGCACCTCGGCATAGGAAGAGCCTGGAATTTTTCCAGGACCAAACAGAAACATTAGCAACACATAAGCATATGAGAGCCCGAATTAATTTGTCTTACTTCTGTATTGAATTCAAATTTCAGGTATGCTTTCAGAGCTGAAACCATTTCATACTGAGAGCACCAGACAAAATTATGAGCCAGTGTGAGTCTTGAACAGAGCTAAATTTTCAGTTCTCAAGTACCAGCATCAAAAATTTAGGTGTGTAGGATTTTATCAGATCCCAAATTTTGAAGGGCAATATAATTAAATTAGATGAAGAATGAAATACTTCCCTGCTGGTTTGTTCTATCTGTTGGGGAGATACAGCAATGCTTGGAGAGGACAGAAACAGGACTCTTAAAGGAAACTAACAATTATCCTAAATGGAAACTCACATACAATTGTCCAAAAATAATCTAACTTTTACGATTTGCATACAATGCTCTGTTTATACTCTTACTTGTACAAGTGTTCAATATATGGCAACTTCTTCAGTGCATACACAGTCATGAGTACCATAATATTCAGCATTTCTCTACGTAATTATTTTGACCTAGTTTACCTTGATATGCCACAGGGGAAACTGCTATTAAGAACTACCTGCTCTTAATGAAGTCTATGAGAAGATTTTCATTCCAGAAGAGAGCCTGTTCTCTAAGCCTCCGGAGAAGAAAGCACTAGCTTGAAATTTCAGTCCCACAGTTACTAACACCTTTCTTTGAGCTCTTTATGGAGTTACCTGCTTTTTAAAAAAATTAACTCTTATTATTTTATCTTATCATGATGACTAATGACTTACCAAACCCAGGGCAGGTACTGCCAAACCAAATCAGATCACAAGGCAGTTTACCACTTCTAATAGTAGCTAATTACAGCTGCTTAAGGGGGAAATGAGACGCGGGTGGCGCTGTGGGTAAAACCTCAGCGCCTAGGACTTGCCGATCGCATGGTCGGTGGTTCGAATCCCCGCGGCGGGGTGCGCTCCCGTCGTTCGGTCCCAGCGCCTGCCAACCTAGCAGTTCGAAAGCACCCCCGGGTGCAAGTAGATAAATAGGGACCGCTTACCAGCGGGAAGGTAAACGGCGTTCCGTGTGCTGCGCTGGCTCGCCAGATGCAGCTTGTCACGCTGGCCACGTGACCCAGAAGTGTCTGCGGACAGCGCTGGCTCCCGGCCTCTAGAGTGAGATGAGCGCACAACCCTAGAGTCTGTCAAGACTGGCCCGTATGGGCAGGGGTACCTTTAAGGGGGAAATGGGGCCTGTCAACCTGGGAAGGTAGCTTATCTGGAAGAAGAAAAACTCTGATCCTAAAGCTCTGCTGACTTGCAGCTATACTCATGCGTGAGGAAAAACCTGTACTCGCTGCCTTTCAGGACACCTTTGAGAGAAGAAACGGCTAAGGAGTAAACCCTATACAAATCTGGAGTGGAGTCCCTAAGATGGTTGGGAGGAGTCCTGTACTCTTTCCTTCTGGCAACTCCTGCAGCCAAGCTGGTGCCAAATGTTTTGCTCTGCTTGCCTTTGGACCACATCAGTGAAGCACCAGGTGAAAATGTTCATCTTTAACCAGGCATTTGGTTGTCATCCAATGCCCTTTTAAAAATGAGGGGTTGGGGGGGGCTTGTTTGTTTTTATTTTGATTATGTATTCTGTTTTTATATTGTGATTTAATCCTGTGAACTGCCCTCCGGATGCAGGGCGAAATATAAATTTAATAAATAATAATAATCTGGGCAGCCCAGGACCTCCAACCACATTGCCCAGGCCTGCACCCTGGGGAGGTCACTGGGTGCTGCTAATGCAGCAAAAACAATGCGGGAGGCAGCACATACGAGTTATCTGTCTCTGTAGCCACAGCAGGAGCTGCGATTTTCCAGCTGCCTGGTTTAAGCCCTGAAGTAGCAGTCCATTGCCCAAGACAGACAGATGCCAACAACAGTTGCTTAGGAGGTGGTGGCAGAAATGTTTTCAGCACCATTTAGACATCAGTAAGTAACCTTCACCTATTCTTCTGTGCTTATCTATAAAACTATTTAGTGTTTTTTGGGAGAGCAGTGCTGGCCAAACATCATGAATTTAACAGAATGGCCCTCCATATTTGATTTTTAAGCACAATCCAGGATGTCCGTGTTGACCTCTACAGTGCTAGACTCACTTACCATGGAAGATGGCTGCCTAACTGCTGCAGAACACTATCTGCTAATAATGTGCTGCAGTCTGTGGCAAGAACAAGAAGTTTACATGGAGAACAACATTATCATTACTGTCACTTAATTCTACAACTTCCTACCCTTGGAGTCTGTCAAAGTTTAAGAACATTTCAGCAGTGATACAAAAACAGTAAACTGTTTAAGTGTCTGATGGTCTGAAATAAGCATGTTTATTTAAAGGCTAACACTTTTCTCTCTCAAAATACTAGTAAGTAAGCTGCCATGGTTTAGAAACAAGCAACAATACATTTTGAAGGAAAATAGCTTTTCTAACCAATTTTTGCTTCTGCAAGTACATCACTTATTTGCTTACCCATTATTTTAAAATTCTATATAAATATAACAGATTAGTCACTATTATTAGATTAGATTTCAATTAAAAAACTAATAAATAGGTCTAGGGTTTTCATTAAGGGCAGTTCCAAATGACAAGTTTCCTGGTGCACAAACACAGAGCTCTTCTTCATTTGTTATGAAGAATCCAGGCACCTTTCTTCAATGTTTTTTCTTTATTAAAAAAATTTCACAGGGGACAATCATATGGCAAGATCCATCAGGATAGGCAGCTTAGGATGCAATGGATCTGTTTCAGCTAGTGTTAAACCCCCAATCCCAGCTCAGCCAAATATGTGCAGGTGTAATTTGTTCTTCCTATCTGAAGTGAAGCTATCTGAGCCAAGGCCAGTGTAAGTCCTCAAAAGGGGGCATTCCAACGGTGGGACTGGGGCAGGGGAGAATGGATTTAGGCTGGATCATAATCTCAGTCACATGACCTGGGAACCCAACACAGAACTCTAATTTAAAAGATCATTCTCTCCCTCCGCCAAGCTTAGACAGAGCTGCGTCAGCCCCACTGATGACCAGGGTTTGGATTTGGTGTAACTTTCTGCTGACTTAACTCATACCGGCTTGCTTTCCATCAGTTTCTTGTACATACGATTGCTCACCGTCACATTGCAATATAAATTTTCCCAACTATATGAACATTTACAAACAAAATTAGTGCTTGTATTATTGGGCACTGCACTTTCCAGAGCAGAGACAATATTATTCTGGCACTGGGGAAATGCCATTCTTTCACCAACTAGTGCAGCTTTGAAAACGGAGCATCCTGCGTATAATGTGGCAGCATAAGGATCACAAGCCACTTCTTGAAACTATCAGTAAAAAGTAATAGAATTCATTACTTCTGCTCCTCCACCATATCTGCACCTATTTTGTGTATCTTTAAAGTTTAATTATAAAAAATAATGAATACTACCAGGAAGACTATCTAAACCTCAAAAATTATGATTACATAGACATTCTGAATGGTGTGGGATTACCATGCATCTGTGACCCTAAAGATGACTAGCAACAGTAGCAACAGTAGAAACTCAGATACATAAGCTAGGAGCCAAATGGCTCCTTAAACTCGGGTTTCAGTCGCCAAAATGGAATGTCTGGTTGCCATTTTTGAGCAAGACACCTCTAAAGTCTTATTTTTCAAATGAAGTACTGATTGTCATTGATTCTCAGTTAAGTATCTGGCTAATTCAGATGACAACTTTGAGCTAGGTTGAAAGTTTTGAGAACTTAGAGAAGAAAAGTCACTTGATCCAGGGCCCGTCCACATATATTGCCTCTTTTTCTGAATGGTGACTGATCCTGCTCAGGTTCCATTGAAAAAGCATTTTTATTCCAGAAATTCATTCCGACTGTGCAGATACAATATAACTGAAAGAATTCTACAGGATGTGTTGGTAGTATGTGTGAACATTCCAGATCCAATGATCCCCAGACATGTACTTCCAGATGTAGGACATGTCAGGCACCATCCTGGCACCTAGGCATCTTCACTTGGTCACAAGTGGTCAATTGCCAGGTGCAAAATGTGTCTGGTGCCTGGCTAATTTTGAACACTGATAAGTAATGTTCTAATGGGAAAAGCAACATTTTGCTAATGTATGTTAAATGTTTGTTTTTTTTAAAAAAAAAGCATCAAAAAGAAGGTACGTCAGATGGTAAACAGCTTTGTACCTGGCTATTTCTGTAGTCTTCATTAACTTATAAAAACTGAAAGAACATTCAAATCCACGTGACATGGATCAGTTTCATTTTGTTTTTCAGATGCATTATGAGATAAACAGCCCATAAAAGAATCCAGGCAACTCAAAAGATCCAGGAACTGCCACTATCAACTGTATAAACACAAGAGTTTCACATAAATGAGTGTTAAGCCAACAAAGGCTTCAAATGGAATGAGCACCATTACTACACACTAGCTACTGTCATTAAATTAATCTCTCTTTACCATGAAGCAATACACTAAAGATCAGCACCTCTTTTTAAGAAACCTACCTCTAGACTTCAAGACTGCCTGCCTCACAATTTCAGTATACAGTGGTACCTCTGGGTACGAACGCTTCAGGTTACGAGCTCCGCTAACCCGGAAGTAGCTGCTCCTGGTTGCGAACTTTGCCCCAGGATGCAAACGGAAATTGCGTGCCAGAGGTGTGCACACAGCTGGAGGCCCCATTAGTGAAAGCGCGTCTCAGGATAAGAATGGTTTCAGCTTAAGAATGGACCTCTGGAATGAGTTAAGTTTGTAACCAGAGGTACCACTGTACAGTATTTACTGCCTGGCATTTGTCTCCAAACAGCCCTGTTCCCTGGCCATGTTAGAAAAATGGTCTCTAAAATTCTCTAAGTCTCTGGATTCCAAAGCTGCTCAGCCTGGTCACATCAAGATGGAGACATGTATACCCCTTCTGCCTTCTCCAGCTAAAAACATGGGAGCCTTGGTTCAAAAGGCAGAGGGCCTATCAATAACAATTTGTCTTTGACAGCAACCTGCATGCTCAGTTCAATCACTCCAAAGCAAACTCTTTAGCTACTGTACACACTCTTCTTGCCTTCATTCTACCAACCCTCACAGTACTTCCAAGCCATATGACAACATAGTATAACCTAATAAACAAGATAACTAAGCTATGCCCAATGATGTGCGGTGGAAATTTTCCAAATTGGAAAGATTTTCTAAGTTTTCTTTTTCTGCAACTCCCCCCCCCTTCATAAATTCCTTTGTGACAATGAATCATAGAATCGTAGAGTTGGAAGTGACCCCAAGGGTCTAACCCCCTGCAATTTAGGAATCTCAACTGGATCATACATGACAGATGGCCATCCAACCTTTGCATAAAAACCTCCAAGGAAGGAAAGCGAGTGGATAAAAACTACATGAGCAGTATTAGGCAAACTTGACCATTTCAAAGTCTTCAGCTTTGTTTATTAAATATAAGCAAAATAAACATGCAAAGGTAGATCAATCTCTAGGTTATCCCAAATCTTAGCAATAAAGATGGAACATTTTCAATGGAAATTACTCTATGCAAGTTATCCTAATATGCCAAGGATTTCCCCCCAAAAAGTACTCCCTCTAACTGCCTATACCTATTCTATTACCATCCCACTCAAGAATCCAACTCCACCCTCTGTTATCCATGCAAGAGAATGCAACAACTGCCCTGGCTATATCAGAGCAAAGGTCCCACCTAATCCAGCACTCTGTTGGAATCCCCTGCATCTGATGGCCCAAAAGCCCTTTTCATCAAACCTATTCTTCAAGCCCTCCACCAAACCATCTCTAACAAGCACATCAGTTCTCCACACTTGAGAGATGGACGTGGGCATGCACATGTGTGGACACACAACAGCAACACCACTCCAGTGAAGTACCGGTCTACTGAAACAGATGAAAGCAGCAAAAACATACCTGGGCTACTTCCTGCTACGGGCTGTATAATAATACAAAACTCTTGACCGAGCGCCTATCTATGAAAGCTACTCCTTGCATGCAGAAAACTGAGCACATGTAGGAAATGAGAACCCAATGTTTTCCACGATGTCAGCTTTCCTCCCCATGCCAGAAAGCATTAATAAAAGTAATAATAATAATAATAATAATAATAATATGGCCCACCACATTACCACCTGCAACCTGAAGGGAGACAGTCTCTTTTCTTCTGTTATTTACACAGACCAGGCTCGTCTGGCCTATGCTGCTGCCCTCCTCTTTCGGCAGAGGGAGGAAAACATTACTGTCCCCAACCCCCTGCAATATAATATTATTATTCAGCATAATTTAGACAAAATACTGTACCGTCAAGGGGGGGAAATTATATGTATTGTATCGATCTGCAAACACCCACCCTCCTTTGCTTCAAGAGGCCTAAGGTCTCTCCCCCATGGAGACTGCTTCCTCTTCCCGGTTCTTCCCCCCACCCCACTTCCCTCTCTCCCTCCGACCTTCCCTGCCTATCCTTGATGTGTATTTGACCCCCCCCCCCAAGCACGGAAGCCACCCTAGCCCCAAATCCTCCCCAACGGGACACGCCATACCTCCCCGCTTCGCAGCGCTGGCACCTGCTCCCCGCGCCCCGTCCCTCGCCTCCCAGGGAGACACACCGGCCTGGCCTCTCCCGGCAATTCTCTTCCGCTTGGGAGATCTCGGGGCGGGGTCGGGGAGAGGCCCTGCCCCTCCGGGGAGAAAGCTGGCTGGGTGGGGGGACCTCTCCTGCTTGGGGTTCCTCCGAGCTGCGCCTGACGGGAAGCAACTAGGCCCCTCGCCCGGCCACGGGATTCTCCAAGGCCTCTTACGCCTCCGGGGCGGCGTAACCTCTGCGGCGCGGCTAGGCCCCGCGCAAACCTACCAGTGACCCCTGCGGACATTGCCGGCGCTAATGATAAGGGTAATGGGAATGGCTGAGGTAAACGACGACGACAACGGCGGTAAAGGCCGCCGGAGCCGCAGCAGTTCCTTACCTCCCCTCCCTGCCCCACCCGCCCCTCGAAGCCTTTTAGGGCTCCCGAGCGGGCTCCGCCGTCGCTGCTCCCGGAAGTACCAGCCGGAAAGGAAGCGCCCTCCTCCTCCTCCTCTCGCCAGCCGCCGCCGCTGCCGTTACCACACAACCAGGCGTTGTCCGGAACTAGCCGGCGACCGCGCGGGCCCATGGGACCTGTAGTCCGCTTCTCAGAAAGACTACAGCTCCCGAGAAGCATTGCGGGAGGGATGAAGCCAGGCGACGGAGGGGGGGAAAGGGAGGCATGAGAGGGGCCAGGAGGAGGGTGGGAGAGCGAGCCAATCAGGGCGCGGGACTGGGGAAGGAGGCGCGGCGTTGACCATGTATGGGAAACAACGGGGCGGGGAAAAGGGGGAAACTATTCCAGGCGCTGAGAGACGAGAGAGAAACAACCCCGGAGGCGGTGCTCGCGCTCGCTTGCTGCTTCTGCGTTCGCTGCTCCGGTGAAAGGAGCTGCTGCTGCTGCGGAGCGAGCCAGGGGTGCAGCCACACCTGCAAACAGCTGCGTCGCCCGCATCGGCAGACCGGCTCTCAGGTAGGCGAGCGCGCAAACAGCAGCAGCAGCAACAACCCTGCTGCAGCCAGCGCCGCTTGTGCGGGGTGGAAGAAGCAGAGCTGGGCTAAGCTCTCTTTCTTAAATAGGATAGTTATTTTCAGCGCTTTTGAAAGAACGGCGCAAGGGGTTGCGTTTGGCGGTGTTCTCAAAAAGATTTTTTTTAAAAGGTTCCCTTGCTGCTCAAAAGAACGGCGCGCTGCTCCTTTTTCTTTTATCGCGGATGCCAGATGTTTCAGGCAAACAACTTAAGCCACTTTCGATCTCTTGGGAAATGCCGCCTCGATTTCGTAGACGCGGCTTGGCGAATCCCTCCGAGGCACTGATAAAGAGCCGCGGCTGTTTCCTTCCCTCTGGTGCCTAAGAGGGTGTATATATACTGTATATATATTCTTGTGTCCGCATATTATGCAAACGAGACGCGTTTCCTCAGAAACAAAAGCCAAACTAAGCCCTGCGATCTTTTCTTTCTCTTTCTTTTCCTCATCGGGATTTTAGCCAATGCCCGATTTCTCTGAGTCATTAGAGAAAATGCTCCTTTTACTCGAAGGGAGTCTCGTTTTCACCCATTGCCATTCTCCGTAAGCGGCGATTCACATGTGCTCTTTGCTGGGAGTCATTCAGACAATGCTGCCATTTACTGTAAGAGATGTGCAGAACTTTAAAATGTAACGCTGAGAAGTAGCATTTTAGTGTTCGTGGGTGCGTCTCTCTGTGTGTGACAGAGGCGCTGTTATTGCTGCCTCTTAATATGTATCACCTTAGATTAGGCGCTCTTGATATTTATTCGAGATGCTATCTGTGTTAATTTCATACCTATCTCCTCCTACGGTGCCTTCTGCTGCAAAGCATCAGGGTTTCTTTTAATGAACTGTTTTTGAAACATGTTGGATGTTTTATATTGAATCTTTGTGTACAGTATATTGAATATCAGTCCAATAAAAGTATCCTCAGCCTATGGGCATTGTATATTTTCATGTCTACTGATAGAAACTGAAATCGGTGGCAGTTTTGCCATTGACTTCAAGTGCATCATTGTTTAGTAGTTCTAGCTGCTGTTAAAAGAAGAAAATGAAAGGAGTTCTCAAACTGTATATTAAACAATCTTACCAACAATAGAAAAGGAGGTGATGTAGTGATCTAGAGGGGGTGAATTACCAGTATGCAATTTTAACAAGCCATCTACATTTGGGTCTCCAGTACACTTAAGGTTCTAATTCTCTGTAAGCTGTTTTAGGAGTATGCCCCATTCAACACAGAGGGGTTTACTTCTGTGTAGAGATCTGGTTGTGTGCTGAGAAACTTGGATCTGCAACCTAATTCTGGAAATGTTTACTCAGAAGAAGGCCCTTCTGAATTCATTGGGACATACTTCTGGATAAGTGTGCAGAGATTTATTCCTATTAATCAGTGAGTCTGCTTTATATTATGCTTCCAATTATATAATCTGCATGTCTCTAGATGTTTGCTAATTCATACCACTTGCAAATACGAGACCCATCTTTGATTAGAACTTTGGAAGTTTCACATTTCATGTGAAATTGCAGAACCAAAAGTTGGTGTTTAAAATTAAGCCAGGGGAAAGAGAATCGGGAATCTTTTATACTAGTTGCATCAGATGATTGACCCTGTCAACCAGTGGTGATAATGGAGAACTACTCTGCAGAAAATCTGTGTTACCTTTGAAACTGCTGCCTTTGAAACTACTGCCTCTGTACAGTGCAAGTGAGACTTCAGCTATATTGGACAGCAGCATAGTGTGTCATCATTCATCACTTTTCCCCATTTGACAAAGAGTAAGAAGCAAGAATGTTATGAAATGCATCTGAATGTTACGTCCTCTTAAGAAGAAGAAAAATCTCCTTAGTGTGCTAGTCTTCACATTTTTCCCTTTCTTCCCATAGTTAATCACAGAGCGCTTCTCAGCATTGTGTTCTGTGATGCTACTTGTAGGCTAAAGGTGAAGTAATCCTATGACAGAGAAATGCAGACATTTCAAGTTTCCCAGCGTTGTGTTTTTCGGAACAGTCCATGAGATTATGAGAAGATTTCAAGTGTTGAGAGGAGCAGATGTTGACATTTTCTTAAGCTTGACAACTTACGCTTCCAAACTGGATTTAAGCCAAAATAATAATAGGAAACCAATGTCGGTAGCGCCTAGGTGAAAATAAAAGATTGACTAGGATTTTGTTTCGGAAGTTTCTGGTTTTTTTTTTTTTTTTTAAGGTGTAATCCGAAATGTGTTTACTTCGGGCGATGTCCTTATCCCAAACCATTGGTCCATCTAGTCCAGTATTTCTACACTGGAAGTAGCACTCAAAGGTTTCAGACACCTACCTGGTGATGCCAGTGATTGAACCTGTTAACTTCAGCTTGTGGAACAGATGTACCACTGAGCTACAGCCCTTCCACATAGTAAATAAGCTCAGATCAGTTCAGCAGAACTTATTCCCTTAGGATACAGCCAATTTATATTCTGAAACCTTTCATTCAGTGGTGAGTAAAGCTCTGTACATCATTAACAAATGTAATTGTTGCCGTCTGTGAAATTACTTTGGAGTAACTGATGAATTGCAGCACTTGGACCGGCCCATTTGTTTTGCTGTACTCCTCTAGAATGCACTGCCCTTTATATTCACTCTGACATTGTATATACCTTGTCAGATGCCAAAAATTCACCTAATTATACAGGCTTTCCCAGAAAGACGAGTTGACCAGCAGGAAATATCAGATTTCTTCTGGAAACTTGTTTCGCTATATCGTATTTACTGTATTTTCAGTGTTGTACGCCACAGTGATAGTTGCTAATATTTAACAGTCTTCAGGATTTCCAAATACTCCCTTTGAACATAGCAGTGGGTGCAGCGGTCTATATGCCTGGTCCTGAGTATGTATGTGCCAGTGCCACAAGGTTTTGAGGATTAGGCTATAGCTCATATTTTGGTGCTTAGATTATGCTTTGTATTCATGTTCCCCACTCCAGCTTTTGGGGGCCCATATCTTACATTCCCACAAGTTTCTGACTGCTGTTGCCTTTGGTTTATCCTTTTTTTACTAATCATGCACAAAATGAGCTGTAATAAGCATACGGAAGACAGGTGAACTCAGTGACACATCTAGAGCTGTTGCGTTCGGTCTTGCTTGCAGGTTTCCTGTGGGCATCTGGTTGGTCGCTGAGAGAACACGATGCTGGACTTAGATGAGTCTTCTGCCAGCAGATCTTTTCTTAGGTTGCTGTCCAGTGATGGGCACATGTGCAGCAACATACAGAACCTCCATCCAGTGCCTTTGCATTGGCCAACTTGAGCTTGCATAAGAGCAACAATAAGGAGTTCATCTCTCTGCTCAATCAGGGTAGCTCTGAATGTAGCTACTTCTCTGTCCAGTTCATGCCTGTGATCTCAGAATAATGGGAGGTCACCTAAGTCCCACCTTTCATAACGTCGCGCCTCTGGCTGTTGTTGGACATCCCCAGCCAGCATAGCCAGTGGTCAAGGATGATAGGAGCTGTAGTCCAGCAACAACAAAATCCCTGATGGATGGCCCTACAGCCTCTGCACCTCCACATAGCAAAGCCCATGACCTCTCAAAGTGGTCTGCTCCAACGTCGGACTCGTCTTCCTGTTAGGCCATTTAGATACAGGGTGTGTTCAGACATGGGGAATATTGCATTCGTTTTCCTGGTTGTAGTGCTAGCATTTCTGTTCCATTTTCTAATGTCCTTTCACACTGCAGTATACATGTTGGCTTTGGACCCAATATATTGCCATGCTGCAGCTAAATTTCGTTTGGCAACTAAACATTGGTAGGCACTTTCTGTCAGTAATGAGTGTTACTGGACAGCATCGCTCTCCCCCATGTTTTCTGCATATGTGTGCTTCTGTTCCCCCATGAAAATTGCAGGAAAGAACTGCATGCTTATGTACCACCCCCGGTTCTATCTCTTGTTCTGGTTTAAGGGGACTGCCAGCTGTTTTCCCCCCTTAGAATTAAATACCAGCGAAATCAGCCCTGCATATATATATGTCCTTAGTTTCCCTGAAGTGCAGTTTACATCATGTGAACGCTCAAGCATAATGCAGAAATGAACAAGTTAGGGAACCATCAGAGGAAATGGAATAAACTTCTGTGTGAATGCAGCCGAAAGCTGCTTCCACTTATTTGTTCTAGTCCTGCTCTACAAGCCTTGGAGAATAAGCTTTCTCCATCTCCTTCATGACAAACTGCTGTAGCTTTGAAGATAGTATAAAGTAGGTTTTTATTATGACATGAGTGTTTATAAATTGCTACCTGATTAAAGAAATCTTAGTGGGTTAATTATATGAGTTTTAATTAATTGTGAATTTTGATGACTAAATTATTGATTAAATCTGCACATACATACACATGAACAAAAGGCATAGTCCGGAAGGCAGAAAACCAAACTTATAGGTGATGCACCCATGATTTGTAGAAAGCACTATTTTAACTTTACTACATCAGGGTAGGCCATTTCTATGATGGCAGCCCCCAGCTACCATTTTTGTAAATATTTGAATTTTTTAAAACCCCAGTCCTGCCCATAAGGCAGGGCATCATCAGTTTTCATACTGATCAGCCGAACATCAAAGTTCTACAAGAAACCTCTGTTTCTGTAGGTTTCCATG